TTTGACTGTTTTCTAAAGATTAACCAGTATCTGTCATCAAAACATTTTATTAAGCATTATTAAGCATTGTAGACCAAAAAATTTCCTATCGAATGAGCTATTGCTTGAAGCTCTGGTATAACTCTATCATGAAATATTGACAATATTGCCCTGACCAAAAAAAGGTCACCCAATTTTTTTGCTTGCTATCACACGTAGACTTTGAAGAAAAATCCATGATTTTGCATTATACCCTTTTTTGACCATAACTCGACAAATACTCACTGGATTCGCACAAAACAAAAACCATTCGATAGCTCTACGTTATATCCATTATAATATAAAAATCTCAAGTACCAGATGTACGTTCCTTTCATAAATTTGCTCAAAATCATATATTTTATGAGCTACAAGCAGGGGATATTCAACTTTTTTTTTTATTTATCTATAATAGCCATACCATTGTATAGAGAATTGAAAAAGAAACAGAAGCTATTAAGTTTGAAGCTCTCGTTCACTTGGTAAAATTCAGAGATATGGCCATTTGAAAATCGGTCGTTTGGAACATTTTTCGTCATTACTCATCGACATCGCCCTCAATAACTCCACATCAAACATGCCCTAGTCAATCAAAGTACTCTCTACAACTTTCACTACATATACATTCCACATTCATATAGTAATTTAAAAAGTTTTACTAGCAGCATCTATTCAAAATTAACCAATTGTGAAAATCTTAAATTTCTCGGCAACTATGTCATTTACGCAAATATAAGTTGCACCATCGTTTAGAGGGCAGAAAACTGGTATAGGAACATGCTAGTCTCAAGGCTCTAGCATCAATATTTGGAAAATCGATTTTCGATCGTCCAAAAGTTGAAAACTTCAAAATCAAAAAACATTTTGTACATCCAGGTCCTCATAGGTAAAAAAAATTAGAATCTCGTCAAACTTAAATATGTTGTATAATAATAATATTGGAGCAACTTATAAGTGGAAACATTATATTGAAAATGCATACTTCATGAGATAATCAACATTGGAGATGCTATTTTTAAGCGGGGGAATATACATACTTTAAATTGGAAAAGTTATTATTCTTAAATAAAGCAAGCTACAGTTGTCTAGTCTTGACAACAAGATTCTTCAACATGTCAGGTATCCATTAATAACTTAAAACCAACAAGTTAATATGGCCCTTTTCGTACGCTCCGATTTTTAAAATGCTCGGTCAAATTCATCCTTGTGAGGTGTACACATGCGGAAGGCCAACGGAGCTTCAATTTCTATTGTTCTGAATGATGATCCATGGGATTCTGAAATCTATCGATCATAAAAGTACGCGTTTCTTGATAGTAACCACCCCTTCAAACTTATATGAAACTTGTAGAGAATTCAAAGGAAAATACAATGGTATCCATATCAAGTCTCTGGTATACATTATTCACCTGATACTTGGCACGATTGTTTTTGCAATTTTTTGACTGTTTTCTAAAGATTAACCAGTATCTGTCATCAAAACATTTTATTAAGCATTATTAAGCATTGTAGACCAAAAAATTTCCTATCGAATGAGCTATTGCTTGAAGCTCTGGTATAACTCTATCATGAAATATTGACAATATTGCCCTGACCAAAAAAAGGTCACCCAATTTTTTTGCTTGCTATCACACGTAGACTTTGAAGAAAAATCCATGATTTTGCATTATACCCTTTTTTGACCATAACTCGACAAATACTCACTGGATTCGCACAAAACAAAAACCATTCGATAGCTCTACGTTATATCCATTATAATATAAAAATCTCAAGTACCAGATGTACGTTCCTTTCATAAATTTGCTCAAAATCATATATTTTATGAGCTACAAGCAGGGGATATTCAACTTTTTTTTTTATTTATCTATAATAGCCATACCATTGTATAGAGAATTGAAAAAGAAACAGAAGCTATTAAGTTTGAAGCTCTCGTTCACTTGGTAAAATTCAGAGATATGGCCATTTGAAAATCGGTCGTTTGGAACATTTTTCGTCATTACTCATCGACATCGCCCTCAATAACTCCACATCAAACATGCCCTAGTCAATCAAAGTACTCTCTACAACTTTCACTACATATACATTCCACATTCATATAGTAATTTAAAAAGTTTTACTAGCAGCATCTATTCAAAATTAACCAATTGTGAAAATCTTAAATTTCTCGGCAACTATGTCATTTACGCAAATATAAGTTGCACCATCGTTTAGAGGGCAGAAAACTGGTATAGGAACATGCTAGTCTCAAGGCTCTAGCATCAATATTTGGAAAATCGATTTTCGATCGTCCAAAAGTTGAAAACTTCAAAATCAAAAAACATTTTGTACATCCAGGTCCTCATAGGTAAAAAAAATTAGAATCTCGTCAAACTTAAATATGTTGTATAATAATAATATTGGAGCAACTTATAAGTGGAAACATTATATTGAAAATGCATACTTCATGAGATAATCAACATTGGAGATGCTATTTTTAAGCGGGGGAATATACATACTTTAAATTGGAAAAGTTATTATTCTTAAATAAAGCAAGCTACAGTTGTCTAGTCTTGACAACAAGATTCTTCAACATGTCAGGTATCCATTAATAACTTAAAACCAACAAGTTAATATGGCCCTTTTCGTACGCTCCGATTTTTAAAATGCTCGGTCAAATTCATCCTTGTGAGGTGTACACATGCGGAAGGCCAACGGAGCTTCAATTTCTATTGTTCTGAATGATGGTCCATGGGATTCTGAAACCTATCAATCTTAAAATTACGCGTTTCTTGATAGTAAACACCCCTTCAAACTTATATGAAACTTGTAGAGAACTCAAAGGAGAATACAATGGTATTTATATTAAGTCTCTGGTGTACATTGTTCACCTGATATTTGGTACGACTGTTTTTGCGATTCTTTGATTGTTTTCTAAGGATTAATCAGTATCTGTCATCAAAACATTTTGTTAAGCATTACTAAACATTCTAGACCAAAAAATTTCCTATCGAATGAGCTATCGCTTGAAGCTCTGGCATAACTTTATCATGAAATATTGACAATATTGTCTTGACCAAAAAATCGTCACCAGATTTTTCGCTTGCTATCACAGGCAGATTTGGAGGAAAAATCCATGATTTTGCATTATACCCTTTTTTGACCATAACTCGACAAATACTCACTGGATTCGCACAAAACAAAAACCATTCGATAGCTCTACGTTATATCCATTATAATATAAAAATCTCAAGTACCAGATGTACGTTCCTTTCATAAATTTGCTCAAAATCATATATTTTATGAGCTACAAGCAGGGGATATTCAACTTTTTTTTTTATTTATCTATAATAGCCATACCATTGTATAGAGAATTGAAAAAGAAACAGAAGCTATTAAGTTTGAAGCTCTCGTTCACTTGGTAAAATTCAGAGATATGGCCATTTGAAAATCGGTCGTTTGGAACATTTTTCGTCATTACTCATCGACATCGCCCTCAATAACTCCACATCAAACATGCCCTAGTCAATCAAAGTACTCTCTACAACTTTCACTACATATACATTCCACATTCATATAGTAATTTAAAAAGTTTTACTAGCAGCATCTATTCAAAATTAACTATTTTCTTAAATCTTCTTTTTCTCAATAACCATGCTACCTACGCAAATTTCAATTGCACCTTCGTTTAAGGGGCAAGAGCGGGGTCTCAAAGCAACCAAAAACCCCGAAACCGGAGTTCGAATTATTTGAAGCCCATTTTTCTTATAAGGAAATGTTAATGGATATGTGCACTTAGTGGCATTAGCAATTAGAAGAAAAAATCACTTATAATACCTTTAGAGAAAAACTTACACATCAAGGGAGATGAGGAATATAGGCATGTGAATTGAGTAAATGAAGGCTGTTATGCATACCTATTATTACACATGGCCAACACAATGAATGAAATGTGTTGTATACGATCATATCATATTTCAACCTAGCGTTTTGCAAATGATGAAGCAAATTTCAAATTATTGATATCATTTCTAATATGCAACCATTAGTGCAAATGGTTAGCGAGCTATTTTCAAAGTATTTTCGACAATTAATCTTATGGCCATAGCAGAATGAGGTTTTCCTCACTCATGTACTTCGAAGAATTTTATAAAGGAAAGTATGTTACTGCAGCTCCTTCAACAATAGAGAAAGGATACACCCCCGTTAATCACATCGAAATTAATATTGAATCGGTCATTGATCCAGCAGCACTTAATAAACAAACAAACAGTGATTGCTCAAGTACTGATAACTGTATCTTCACATATGGAAGTATGCGAATCGTCCTATTTACTCATAAGGAATGAGAAATAAATGGTCAGTAAACACTCAAGGGATGAAAGACGCATCGTGTACTAGAGAATCATATATTGAATCCAAAAGTGTGGCCAAGAAAATGATAATAGAATCTGAACACTCCTCTTACAAACTTTTATCACATCATTCAAACTACCATGGATTGCTTTAATTGGAATTTGCATCAATTTGAAACAACAGAGGGCATCATGATTACCAACAAAGATTGATTCGATGATGGTATCTTTGAAAACGACGAAGTGCACTAAGAAGAAGACATTAAACTAGATTTGCTTCGCTTCAAAAAAGGTGGGTGATGCGCTTTCCTATGCCTATAATATGGGCGATAGTTGAAAACATGAGATTATCCTGCAAAAGCTCATGCCAGGTGAAAAGTGTAAAACGTATCCTAAATATGCTAGTGGCGCACCATCTTGTCCTCTTAAAGATTCTGATGGATTGGACGACTATGAAGGGCTTTGGGGAATTCTCAATGACAACAAGAATCCGAATCACAAGCACACAGCTGAATGGCTTAATTATTTGACAGGCTGTGCCAAATATGATCCCAAGCATTTCAATATAAGGGCTACTAACCGTCAGTTAACAAGTATTCAATGTAGTCGAGTCCAACGATTTGACCAATTTGATGGTATGGCCGTGATTTATTAAAAAACCTTAATCTTTCCATCGCGAACAGCACATGCTATGCGTTGACAACCTGCTTCAATCTCACTTGGCATCACCTTGATGTCATACACTGTCTCCAATTCACTGCCTGAGAACTCAGCATCCACATGAACACTGCCAGAAGCTGCTACCACAGCTGCTACAGATCTAGTTTGATAAACACTTCCATCCGCTAAAATATGCTTTAGATACAAGCCATTCTAGAAGATGCTTTATACTCGAACTTACCACTACTCACACAGAGTACCTTTTCACCATCTTCATTCGTTTTGATAGCAAGAGATGTGATAGCATATCCACTTCGCTTCCATTGCAACTGAGGGGTCGCAAGGCTGTTTTTGATAGAAAAGCATTGCACCACGCCATTTTTAGTACCGGTGAAGATGGTCTCTGTCTCTGGCTCGTATGCAATAGCAGTAAGAGGTGTATCACTGGTGGATGTGGCAAAGATCTATGCAGACGAATTAATACATCAAATCCACTGAGGAATAACTGTAACATGTACCTCTTTTTTGGTGCCCACATGAATACCACGCACACTTCCATCGTCTAGGGCCACCAACACAAGTTTATCAGCTGTATCCACCTCCATGGGGTCTATGCCAATTTCGTTAGTGATATACTGGGGATTTCTCTACTCTGTATATATATATATATCTACCCAAAGTTTCGATTTCAGCAGGCTTGTATTGAGCTGGAAGTTTCGTGAGGATCATTTTGTTGATGGCAAACTTGTAGTTTCCCATAGTTGCAATAGTCGAAGATGTACCACAATTCCATAATTTGACAGTGCCATCACGGGATGATGCTAAAAGAAAGTGGTCAAGGGAATATTCCAGCTGTAATTAGATGTAGAAATGCTTACAAAGTACATTGCGTCCTTGAGAAATAATAGCTGTGCTAGTAATAGCTATAAAGATGGGATTTGAGCATGTTGCGCTACTGCTTGCTTCATTTGTAATGTACCTGAAGTATGGCCCTGAAGTGTAACAGGGTTGCTGCCGTTCAATACAGACCAAATTTTGAGCAAGAAGTCTGAACCGCCTGTCAATACCACCAAGTTACTGGGAAAGAATTGGACAGTCGTAACATCACTAATATGGCCCTTGAGAGTCATTTGAATCTCTCCTGAACTGACAGATCCCAATGAGACTTCAGTACCATGACCAGCAGCAAACAAGCTGCCATTGGGGGAAATATCAATGCAAGTGACCTTGGTAAACATGTCAGCTTAAAAGCACAATCACCAGTAGATGCAACTTACAGCCTTGTCCTTGACAGGATAGAACTGGTTCTTGGGGCTAAACACAGTGACATCCTTCACCCCCAATGCTTCGCAATCCACTTTGAAGGTACGCTATAGGATCCATCAGTATTACATGCAAACATCATGATCAAATGTCATACAGAGTTCAACATGGTCACTTTGATGCCATTGTTTCCTTCGAGAGTGGCTTCGTAATTGTCTACACGACGCACATCGACTGAGCCCTGAACACTCTCTTTGCCTAGTATGAAGAATTGGGGAAGTTACATTCACTTGTATATTTTACGTATTCCAAAGGTTCCAACCTGTCATGTAACAAGCAATCCAAAATGTGCCTTCAGGGATGGTATTCGATGCGACTTCTCTTACAACTTCGTCCCAATCAGCTTGGACCGATACGAAAGGTAACGTTTCTACAGACATGATGAAAAGTAAAAGGATTGAAGAAAGACCACTTCGAAAGCAGAGGTTGATTTGATGGATTATAAATTCATGGACCGATGTGTTACGCATGTCCCCATTGCGAACGATGCTACATTGGAGATGAGTTCACCTCTATTGAAAGTGATATATTGCCATATTACTGGCCATAACACGTGTAAAGCCAGTGATACTGTTTGCAATGCAGTCAATATACATTTCCAAGGGCATTTTACGTCGCATTATGCTTAATCCATCGTACAAACACCATAAAGCAATGTCTGCGGCAGTCACGAGCCTTTGCTTTTCATGTCCCATCGTCGATACAACCAAGAAAAAAAAAAGCGCTCTCTTTCACTAGAACAGCATAAATTGCGATATGGGAAGACGCAAGGATTACATGGACGATGGGCAAGACTCTTCAGATGACGAGGAAACTGGAAGAATCAATTTTGACATCACCGAAGACGATCTCGATGCAGAAGTTGCTGGTTTTTCTGGGCAGCAACGCAACAGACGCCGGCAAGCACGATTTGGCGAGAGCGACGACGAAGATGACGAAGAAGACATGCGTGGAGGTTTAGGAAGAGGTGGACTGGGCCTTGGCCCTTCATTTTTGCCAGCGAAGAAAGCATCAGAAACACCAGAAGCATCACCTGTAAAGAAAGATCCCGTCAAGGAGAAAGTGCGAAGCCGATCCACCATGAGTACACCACCTCCAGGCCCAGGATTCGCACAATTCAACAAGCACTCCAAGGGATTCGGCCAGAAGATGCTGGAAAAGATGGGCTGGACTGTAGGCAAAGGTCTCGGTGCTGAGGGTGAAGGTATCATCAATCCCGTGGAGACAAAATTGCGTCCTGCTCGAATGGGTTTGAGTTTTAGAGGATTTGATGAACGTACAACACAAGCCAAAATGGAGGCCAAGGCACGCCGAGGCGAGAGTCCTAGCGAAGACGAAGAAGATCAAGAGCAAGGGCCTAAAGGAAGGAGACGCAACGCCTGGAAATCAGATGTATCACCCACGACTGCCAAGGAACAACAGATTCATCGAAAGAGAAAGCCAAAGACAATCTACAAGACAGCGGCTGAAATTCTAGCAGAAACCGAGCAACAATACATACCACCATTACAGCAAAAGATCATTGATATGACAGGGCCTGGCGTCCGTGAGATCAACTTGGCAGATATCAAACGTACAGATTCACCGACCTTGATGGAAGTGACGACTCGATTACCCGAATTGCGACACAACTTGCGATTGATGGTGGATCTGTCGCGAGCAGATTTAGAGAACCTATCAAGGGAAAAGCAAGCAAACGTCTTTAGAATGAAGTCTTTGCAAGATGAATTGGGCGCAATCAGAGAAAACTTGGACAAAGACCAAGAGCAATTACGAAAATTAGAGCAACTCAAGATGATTACTAGTCAATTGGAGCAGATCAGCAAAGACGCACTTGCTACGGGTGCTTTTGAAACGGGCAACATTACAGCTTTATTTGGAGAACAGTTCCAAGTGCTAGAAAGAGACTATATAGACGATGTCAAAGCGATGAACATTGATGCACTGGTGATATCTGTATGGGCGCCTATCATGAAGTACAAAGCAATGAGTTGGAACGTTTTGGAGGAGCCTACGTGGGGCGTTGCTGATGTCAAAAAGTGGAAAATGCTACTGACAAAGAACGATGATAGTGATGCAGAGAGAGGATGGACTCGTAACAGGACACAAAAGAGTTTGATTTGCACCCCTTTCGAGACAATGATGAATACAATTTGGCTAAACAAAGTGCGAAGCGCGATCAAGTAAATGTCTAGTTATTTTTTTTTTGTAGCGTCGTATACTAACATTTAGTTTCATAGTAATCAATGGGATATTCACGACCCTGATCCTCTTATTCAGCTAATGGAAGAATGGGAACCCGTCTTACCGAGATTCATACACGAGAACATCATTCACCAACTCATATTACCCAAAATCAGCCGAGCTGTCTCTGACTGGAATCCTCGCACAGACCCCATCATGATCCACACATGGATCCATCCTTGGTTCCCCACACTCAAAGCATGGCGCTTGGCAGAACTATTCACTCATATTCGACACAAGCTCTCTGTTGTTTTGCGTCAATGGCATCCCTCTGACGAATCAGCATTGCATATCATATCACCTTGGAAAGATGTCTGGACAGCAGATCAACTAGAGCAGTTTACATCGAAATCCATTCTACCGAAATTAACGCTTGTCCTTCGAGAAGAGTTCCAAGTGGATCCCAGAAACCAGAACCTGGATGCGTTCATCTGGTGCTTGGCATGGAAGAACCTACTATCGGATACCGTGTTGGGCCTATTGCTCAAGAATGAGTTCTTTACCAAGTGGCATGCTGTGTTGGTGCAATGGCTGAATTTAGACATGTACAGTATCAATTATGACCAAATTAGCGACTGGTACCGCTGGTGGAGACAAGTATTCGACGCCTACGGACTGGATTCAAACAAGATTGTAATGCAAGAGTTTAGACGAGGCCTAGAGACCATGAACAAGGCTTTGGGAGGAGAAGACCTTTACTCCATGGGACTGTCAAAGGATCATTGATGTCTCAATTCGCGAAATGCGCTTAAATAAAAAAATTCTGGTACACTTTCGCGATTATACGTGTCTCTTTTTTTTCATTATTTAATTTATGGTTAGAATTACAAATAGTCTCTATCACGAAGCATATGAATACATCAAGCAAGACTCTGCCATGGGAGGCAATTGCATTATATTCGCAGCTTCTGATGTAGATTCCATTTGTGCGGTTCACATCTTTCAGGTATGTCGGATGCTTAGAATGGCATGCTCGCTCACTCTTTAGTAACCACACACACACACACACACACACACATACACACATGACATCAGGCACTGTTAAGGAGTGATATCATACCTCACAAAATTGTTCCTGTTTCAGGCATGAAGGATTTGGAAGACGCCAACGAGAAGCTTGTGTCCAAAGATGAAAATTTGCGTTCCATCGTCATGATCAACTGTGGGGGAAGCATCATGATTGGCAACTTGTTTACGGCGCATGCGGATACAAAAGTGTACATCATTGATAGCCATCGACCACTGTTGCTGGAAAACCTGCTGGATGACAACAATCACATTTGCGTATTTGATGATGAAAGCAATTCACATCAAATGGGGACGGCGATCAGTGCATTCGAAATGTTGATGGCAGCAGAGGATGAAGATTCGAACGAAGAGGACGATGAAGAGGAAGAAGAAGATGAAGATGGCAGACCACTTAATCCTCGCAGTAGACAAAGAAGACGGCTCAATGAAGCGTTGACGCCAGCGCAGAGAAGCGAAAGACGCAAGGCCCGCCATACAGTCATGGATTATTACAACCAAGGTGTATTCTTTGCAAACTCAGTATCTGGATCAGTGTATAATTTGGCGCAACAATTAGGAAAGACGAATAACGATTTATTATGGCTGGCCATTGTTGGAGTGACATCGCAATATGTGTTTGAGCGAATTGATACGATCAAGTATGGAGAGCAGGTGGATATATTTCGAGATGACAGAGCAAGACTCAACGTAGACATGGGCGCCGACAATCACTCGCAAAACAAAAACACTGCTGTCATCAGATCAGAGGACGAATACAGATTCATGATGTTCAGGCACTGGAGTTTATACGACAGCATGTACCATTCTGGCTATATATCCAGTAAATTAGCGGTCTGGAAAGACGCAGGAAAAAAGAGACTGAACAACATGTTTGCCAAGATGGGCTTCTCTTTGCAGCAATGTCAACAAGTATATACCCACATGGACATGGATTTAAAGCAGATGCTCAGAAACAAAATCGAAGTGGTGGCCCCACTGTACGGCCTCACTGATATTTGTTTCCCCAGTTTTACGAGAAGCTATGGATGGGAGTGCTGTCTATCAGCAAGTGATGTTGTCTATTCATTATCGACCATTCTAGAGACAAGTCCTGCTGCTGCTATTCGGTTAGGCGTTGAAATTGAGCATCGACATGGCAATGACGATGACTGGAAGCCAACACATTTATCCTCAGACACAGCAGAGTTACGATGTGGGAGAAGGGATTGGTGGATGCGAAATTTCTATACCGCTTATGATGCTCTGAAAGATACATCACCAAGGATCATTTCGCAAGGCTTGCGGTTGTGCATGGAAACTCAAAAAGCAATTGTACGACAAGGCACCTCCGTCATTGACAAGCGTATGGTCAAGCTGCTAAAGAACTTTCGATTTGTGAATATACGAAATACAGCTGAACTACCCATGTTTCAACACCCTTCCTCATTGACAAAACTTGGCTTGTTCTTGACAGATGCGTACAGAGTAAGTTGCTAAAATTCAGGGTAGATGTGCCAGCCAATTGACCGTTTTAAACTTCATTCAGGAACACGGAAAGAAGAATTTACCCATTGTCATCTCTTCGTTTGATGAAGAATACAATACATGTCTAGTCATCGCACTCTCAGGTGCACCCATATTCGGCGAAGTGCGCAAAAAGTAAGTTTATATATGAGATTGCCACTTTTCAAATTCAAAATCTCACACTGTTTATTCATGGCAGCACATTTGGCTTGGCATTTGAAGAAGCCGTGGAAAGCACCAAAGCTAGAATATCGTTTGACAGTTTCGATCAAACAGTCATCCAAGTACATAATAACGATATTGAGCATTTTATTGAGTCATTGCATTATAAAACACGATAAATCCAATGTAAACTATTCCCATCTTAATGCTTTTTAGATTCTCTATATAAAAATACAATAAATACGAAAAACAAGGCAATGAAAGAAACATTAGCCACTAAAACTCTATAGGCAATGTCTTGTGCATTCTGTGTTTGGCTTGAATCTATGGCTGTCAACGTGTCATTGGCAGTAGTCTCTGTCGTTTCCTGTAATGTTGAGTTGGGCCGAGTGAATTCGTCTCGAGGTCTGGGCGTCCACTTGGGCTGATAAGGGGGACCATCCGCAATATAATTCCACTTTCCCGAGGCAGAACAAGTATCGTCCACCAAGAAGAGGTTGGCTTCATTTGGGTCATGGTAGGTAAGCTTTTGATTTGGATCACTTTTGTATGACCACCAAGGTAACACACCACGACACACAGAGCAGTAGCTTGATTTTTGGTTGAAGTCCATGGTATCATTCCAGCGACTAATGAATTCAGGTTCTAGTCTATTTTTTGGTGCAACGTCAATGGCGTGTTGTCTGAATGACAGGTACTCTAAATAAGCTGTATCGTTGTTGTGTAAATAATTAATGTAATCTGCTAAGTCCTTTGGATCGGGATACGCATCCATGTAGATGACAGAGCGGTTTGTTGGTATATAGCCAGCGTAGCTAGCGGGTCCATCCACAATAGGCACCGCTGATAAGGCCAAGGTATCATATAACTTTTCAGTGGCATAATCTTGGCAATTAGAGTTTTCAATGGACAAATAAAACTTGTATTCCGCGATGAGATCTGTGCGGGACTTGTCAGATGGAAATGGCTTGTTGTTTAAGCAATCACCGTAACTATGCACATCCACGTATTCCATGAGCTTTTCAATGTATTTCTCTCTTCCATTGGTTGCTCTGCAGTTTTTGGCTATCCATAAAATAGGTGCAGATTTGGTTTTTGTTTTGATAAAGTCCCTGGGAAGTGGTCTGTTCACGACATCCATGATCGCAGGTGAAAAATACGAGAATAAGAAGGTGGATTTGAAATGATATGAAGCCAAATAGTTGAACTTGGTCATGATGTCCTTATCTGCTCTGAATAAACTTGAAAATGGCGTTTCTAATGACTCCAATATCCAGGGCTGATTGGTGGTATCTGTTTTTAGAGAGAGAGAGAGAGACATGATTAGTATACGAATGCATTGGGAAGACAAAAGGGCATGCTCCTCATATGGTTTAAACCTACGATCTGGCAATTTGAATAGCATTGTATCTGGCGCATGGAATATCAAGGCAGCAGCATCCTCCATATCATCCGTTGTGCTTGTCAGTGTACACCAATGACTTTCATTTGTATCAATGTCGAAATCATCTGGTATGGGGCATTCTTTTGCGCTGATTTTCTGGTCTTCCACTGTTCATTGTTTCAGGGGGGGAGGGTGTTAGATATCAATTGCAGCATGTTGCGTTCAGGACACCCTTACTGAATTTTCTAGTGCCAAACCAGGGAGTAGCATACACGATCTTCAAAGGCGGCAAGGTAGTTGGCATGGCTACAAAGAATGGAATTCAAAGAGGAAAAAAAACGGGAAGAGAGAAAAACGCCAAGATATAAAGTTTGGATGAAGTGGAATTTACATATTATTGTAACACGGTTCTTTAAATAAATGCTTGTTTCAAATCGTTGTTCAATGCCCATTTCGCCGTGGATTAGCAAATTGATCTTCTTTATCACAAGCTGTAATCTTACAGCCATGCCCCTGAAGCAGCTCCTAAGCTTCATATTGCTCTATTTTACTTTCCATCAGAAACCAAATGGATGTAAGAAGTTCGTATTGGTCTGTTCTTTACATGGACATTTACTGTCATCAACAAAGCACAAATCGATTGGATTGATATGCCGATGGTTGCAAATCTTAGTCGATTAGGTTGCCAAGGCAACGTCTTGGTAATTTTACGCAAAAACTTGGCCTAAATCTGAAAGAAACATCGCCGTTTGTGGCACAAGTGATGAGCAAAATGAAGAAGGCTGAGAGAGATTGTATGAGGAGGCAGGTAAAGCGGCATCTTGAAAAGACCTTTTTTTGAAACTTGATCTACCGTTCAGTTGAAGGAAAGCAATGTATACTTTTAATGGGTTTGTAAAACTCACACGTATCTTGCTGTACTCGCATTTCCGTTCTCATTCATTGAGTCGCCCATTTTTCCAGCAGTGTAATCGGTGACTTGGCTGATTCTGATGCTGTTGGGGTAGCCTTCCAAGCAGTTGGAATTTCGCACATGCTGCCAACATATTGCAATTACGTATTGAAAGGAACACAGCTCAAGTTGGATCATTAGCAAACAAGCATGAATTCATTATTACAACGTGATCTGGGTTATTCATGCATTTGACACACAAGTTTAATCATACCGATCTTTTCCAACTCACCAACAAATGCAATCAAGTGCATGAAAACTCTTGAATGAAGGTGAGCAGTTACTGAGTACAGCCGTTTTTGACTTTAGTATCGACCAGCATCTGAAACGCACAGAGTTCTCCAGCTTGCAGATCCCTGGCTGGTATGTAACGCAAATTGTTATCGTTGTTCTCTCTTAATTGGATCGACCAACATAATATTTATGTAATAGTATATAAGAAAACGACTTTATTACATAACTAGATAGAAGTGGTGATATCTCAAGATAATAAAGGAGTTGATTCACCAACAACGCTTGATTTTAAGCTAGTAAAGACACCATTGAAGATAAAGACACCAACCACCAAGACGGTAAAACCGACACACTCCAACCAGGAGAAAGAATCCCAACCGTAATGAACAGCAATAATCCAAGTAAGAACGGTTCTATTTTTGATGCCAATGAGTCAGTGATGTGCTAACGATTTACATATAAAAAACCAACCTTGATGTGTCAATCATGCTACGTCCAGGTACCCCGATCGTGGTACTGACTGCCAAACCAAAGAAATTAAAGATAGCTACCATAAATGCCAACAGCAAGGCACTTTGCCACAAAACATAAGAGCTGAATACGTCTTGCAGCCCTTGCGTGATATCAAATACGTTTTGGCCGAATAACGCAGTGATAACCAATGCAACACTCAGCAACAAGGTACCAAAAATACCCTCGATGCCCATGGCTCTGACTGGATCAAGATTGAAACGATCCATCAGATACTCCTCCAAGATAAACTGAGCAGCGACAAAAAGTTGTGCTACAACTAAATAGATAGGGCCCCAGTAATTGAACTTATCCTTGTAGAGAACAGAGCCGATGATGGTGACAGTGCCTATAAGTATTGCAGAGATGGATACCCATTCCTTACCCAAAAACTTGCGAGAAAGGAACAAACAGCTAAAGATGGCAGAAAAGCCAACAATGCTACTCTTCATCATTTGGTATACAGAGGGGCTGGTATAGATCAAACCTAGATTGAGCAGCTGCATGTGGCATAGGTCAGCTTCATCATGTATACATCTTCCATGGCGCTATACATTACGGTCGTAGCAATTAAATCGCATGCGCTGGGCAGGATAAACCAAGCAGCAGACCAAGACCAGGTTGAAGTACGGGGCATCGTCCACTCATTATAATCACTGTATGAGTTGGGATTGTGGGGCTGGACAGCTTCAAGCATAGATCTATCCAGCATGGAGGGCGTCTTTGTCACCAAGTGGATAATCAAGATACAGATGAGCTCACCCAGGAATATCATGGACGTTTGCAGTAGAGGCTGGTTGAAATAGTAAAACTCTTGCTCATCTGGTGTTTTGTCATCTTGTTTGACGTAAATCTTTTGATTATCCTGAAACGTTAATATCAAAGGGATAGAAACGCCTGTTTGGCGTTGTCAGTCTATCTCTAGGCATATGTCTATGGAGTTCCAAGCTAGAGACATACCTGATAACAACAATCCAATGGTTAAAAACACGGTATAAACCGCAGACATGTTGTGTATTTTGCTGGAAAAGAAGAGAAAAAGGGAATAAAGAAAGAATTACGAAATAAAACAAACATCCCCTTTATATTATAACAGCATCTCCTTAAATTTTCACCTTCACACGCCACTTTGTAACATAAACATACAAACACGATGGACTACAATTTTATTCGTCAATACAGGGCAAGCGAGAGAATGCAAGGAAAGGGTATTGATTGTATAAGTAGCATACAGTGTAAGTTACAGGGCAAGATGGGGGGTTGAAAGAGTCGGCAGCTTAACCCAACATCACAAAGCGAACGAGAGCGAGACGACGATAGGGGCGAGATGACCCACAAAAAGAGAAAGAGAAAGAGAGGTGTTTGAAGATGGTATGCTTGTGTTACCACTGTAGTCGAGTTCTTTTTTCATGCAACATGCATAGCTTTGCGCTTTGACTTGTAGTCTCTGATGGCTGATTTAATGGCGTCCTCGGCAAGCACTAGATTGCATAGTTTAGAGATAGACGGATGACTGATATCAGAGCACTTACTAGAACAATGAAGTTTGACAGGTGGTAGGCATAATTCCTGTGCGATCTCTGTGTTCTTGATGGCACCAGCTTGATCCAGTGTCATACCACGAACACGCTCGGTGACGAGACTGGAAGAGGCAATAGCTGAACCACAGCCAAACGTCTTGAATTTAACATCTGTGATTTTACCGGTAATATCGTCTACTTTGATCTGTAATTTCATGACATCGCCACAAGCAGGAGCACCCACAAGGCCCGTGCCTACGTTCGTGTCTGTCTTTGGGAAGGATCCGACATTGCGAGGCTTTTCATAATGGTCAATCACCTAGAGTTGGATTAGTAATGCGCGGCTGTTGACGCAAAATGCCACATGTACCTTTTCATGATAGCATCTTGTAGATGATAGCAACATGGATCTCTTGGCGTGTAGCACCGCGCTTTGCTTGGATATGTGGAAAGCAGTTCTGAGCATGTTGTATACACTAAAGCAGAGGAAAAGAAAGGGAATGATGGTCATCATCTTCATTTCAATCTGATAAAACTTTTTGAACATGTTTCATTTGAGCATGTTTATCTGATTGGCTCAACTTGACAAATGTGTCAATCTCTGTAATCTGATGTGATCTTTTTTAGTAGGTGAGCATGGATACAATTGGAACAGCTGATGGATATTTTCAAAATGATTTGGTTTATTATGGTTTTAAAGATTACACAATTTAGATGTTGGAAGGATAAAGCATCTGTTATAAAAAAAGATTAGTTTCAAGGCCGTAAATCCCCATCTCAGATAAACACTTACAACACGAACGGAAGCACCGAAAACCTTGGGAGGCAAGTTCTTTCTGAAACGAGCCTTGACAACACCGTTAGTACCGTGAGTACGGGCAATACGACCCCAGATAACACGAATCTTGGAACCATTGATCTCACGTTGAGCACGGTAGACATAGGCAACACGCTTACCGAGGTAGAATTGAGCATCCTTGGTGGTTTGGACACCCTCAACTTGGATCAAGGAGACATTGGGGTTTTGGGTACGCTTAGCACGCTCGAAACCCAAAACACGGCCCTTACTGTAAAGACTATATATACAGGATTATGTTAGTACATTGGACTCATATGCATCCCGAAAGCAATACACCACAAAAGAGTCGGGCAAGAAAGAGAGAAAGAGGAGAGGTTACAATGGTCAAATGTTTAATATCCCATGCTGACTCATACTGCTATGTTGACATGTGGTTTACTCTACAGGACCAAATAGTACCTGCGAGGTATGTTGTTGCTGTTGCCTACGACCTTTTACTTTCAGGTGTAGAAAAAAGGCACACATTTCATCTCTTTTTTTTTCCATCCATCATGTCTAATCCATCCATCGTATAGTCATCTCAGCGTTGCTCATCATGCTTCCTACTTCATCTCTGTTTCTCTCTCTCTCATCCAACATGCTGATTGTAGGCATCTATCTCAAAATCTTAATCTAACGTACCGGTCTGACATATTGATAAAAAGAGGAGGTTCTTCAAGCTTTGTTGATTGTGTCAATCACAAAATGCTCTTTCTCAAAAAGCAAGCCTTCCATGAAAAAAAAAAAAAAATTACCGGACTGCCGCGAGTAAATTGTATATTGAACCGGAGTGCTTCGGTGCCTGTTGTGTGCAGCATTAAGACTCCACTCACATACACTAATATGAGCGCTGCCATGTGTAAGGCAGATCTCTTAAAGAGGCACCATACTATAGCAACATTGCTTTCCAATATGTCGTTTGAATATGGACGCTATAACGACCATAATTGATTGTCTTTAGCGCGAGTAAACTGCCAATGTTCACTGACGTCTCAAGAGTCATTGGTGAATGTATGAAATCAATGCCATATGCCGCTAGTTATCCTAAGTGAGATGATAGCAGAGGCACGTCATCATTATATATATATTGCAACAAAAACATTAACTTATAAGAGAACTCTACCGTAGCAAAGCGAAGGTGAAAGACAATGTCAATCAAGCATCTAATCAAACATTTGTTAGCATTGATTTATATAAGGTTCTTACCCTAGCAAAGCGAAGGTGCAAAACCATAGTATCTAAACATCCAATTCAATACTAGGTAACAGTGATCTTAACGAGCGTTTTACCGTAGGGAAGCAAAGGTGTAAGACCATAGTGTTCAAACAGCAATTTTGGGTTCTCATTCTCATTATTAACAAGCTTACCAACAACATAAAGCATCAAAATCCGCATGAATGAGCTCTACCAAAATATATATTCCTTCTATTCGAACTAGCAATTGCACAGGCTGCAGAATTGCCCTTCCAGAAGAGTACAGCTACCAGAGGTGTGATTCATGCCGTGTAAATAATAGCTATAAAGCAAAAACATAACCAAGTTTGACAGCTTTTAAGCCTTCATATCTTGACATGTAGACCTTTCTGAGCCACCGGAATGACGCTAAACAACTGTACTCGAGTAGGAGTAACTTCCTGGCACCTTTGCTCAACTTTCTGGGAACCCAAAAAACATGGCCAAAAATTGACCCAAAAAGCATGAGGCACCCCTCATGGTTTTCATCGAAAATTAAACGATCGCGGTTTTTGCCTTGAAAAATAAAGACTTTCACTATGGTACATTGTGAATCAAAATGTCTCTCTCGACCCAAAGCAACTTCTGACGCCGCTTTTATGAGACCTTCATATGCAAAATTTCGACATCTTGTCCAAAAACCTCATTTCACATTTTCTGAGATTGCTCAATAGGTGCATTCAAACCATCAAGTTTACTTGGTACCATTGGAAGCGCCTTGAAAAGTACTCCAAGGATGTATTAGAAAGTAGGGGCTGATCATTGCAGTTTACATAGTCGAATAACGCAAAACAGTTTAAAGAAGTCGAAAAACAACAAAATCTGGCCAATGTTGAGAAGAAAAATAGCTGAGTTTTAATCTATTCTCGCACTGCTGGCTGACCAAAATACCTTTCTGACAATAACTATGATGATTGGGATGTTGGGCAAATGGGATTCATGAATCTGAAGGAAGTATCGCTTAGCTTGAATACTTTTTTTTTTTTTTTTGCTTTTGTTGGGTGTTTTCATACCTGATAACGCTATTCAGCCTGGCTCACCATGAAAATACATGTAATTGCAACTTCCTAATCATGGTTTACAGCGCTTCAATGGCAAGCAGGGAGTTTGCGTTTCATTGATTCATGTTAAAGGGACTATTGCTGCTGGCTAAAAAGTTATCTCGGTGTGTGATGGGCATATTTTTGCAACTTGTATCATAATATCCATAGGGAATGACGACTGCAATCTTGTTGACAGTTGGTAGATTCTGAGTGCGTCCATGTCCACCAACAATTAGCTCCAGTCTCATTTGAGGGTTGAGTTGAATGTGAGCATCCTTGTTGATATGATTTCAGGCTTGTCGTTTTTTCTTCTTCTCTACTCAGGATCTCATGAGCATGTTTTCAAATGCGAACAAAGGTTAGGCCTTGTCCGGTGCTCAGTGTTCTGAACGCTCTAAAGGTTCTAATGCTCTATCCCTTTGAATGACCATGATGACACGTCTTTAGAGTATATGAAGTACTAGCCGATCAATCTCGCTGCGCTCGATGATGGTGTCGCTTTGTGGGCTCTGCCAAAGACATTTCAAATCAGAGATAATAACAATATGGCATAAAAGTAGATTTTAAACAACCAATTGATAGTTAAAAAAAAAGGCTATATCTGAGTCAGGAGGGGGAGATATTCCTACTCCCTTTGCTTATACACTGGTATCAACGGAAGCTATTATTGAAACAATGTCAAAGAGAGATCAAGTTTTATGCAGCATTTTTATACTGCATTCTTCGTTCGTACTACATTTTTTTTTGGTAGTAGAATTGTCGCATTCGCTGATGCTGTTCTTGATGAGATGGCGACATAAAGCTGACCATGCATAAATACAGGACTTGTGTAAGATCTGCAGCGATTTTTTTTAAAATATTGTCATTGCAAAAGACGCCTTTACAGGGAAAACTACTCATAAAACAAAGTATTTGGGCTAAGCAACTGTTCTTTCAATTCCATGATCCCCATTTAATCAGTATCGCAATCATTATTGTCATCATCAGAAAGGTTTTGGGCCAGTCAGTAGCAGCGCCGTCCGCCGCCGTCGTCGTCAAAACATTCGAATTCAGCTATTTTTCTTCTCAACATTGGCCAGATTTTGTTGTTTTTCGACTTCTTTAAGCTGTTTCGCGCTATTCGACCATGTAAATTGCAATGATCAGCCCCGACTTTCTAATACATCCTTGGAGTACTTTTCAAGGCGCTTCCAATGGTACCAAGTAAACTTGATGGTTTGAATGCACCTATTGAGCAATCTCAGAAAATGTGAAATGAGGTTTTTGGACAAGATGTCGAAATTTTGCATATGAAGGTCTCATAAAAGCGGCGTCAGAAGTTGCTTTGGGTCGAGAGAGACATTTTGATTCACAATGTACCATAGTGAAAGTCTTTATTTTTCAAGGCAAAAACCGCGATCGTTTAATTTTCGATGAAAACCATGAGGGGTGCCTCATGCTTTTTGGGTCAATTTTTGGCCATGTTTTTTGGGTTCCCAGAAAGTTGAGCAAAGGTGCCAGGAAGTTACTCCTACTCGAGTACAGTTGTTTAGCGTCATTCCGGTGGCTCAGAAAGGTCTACATGTCAAGATATGAAGGCTTAAAAGCTGTCAAACTAGGCTGTGTTTTGTACATTTTGCCTGTCAAGAGGCGCGTTTTTGTTATGATGCAATGGCAGAAAGACATTGTATTCATTCATCTAGACTCAGCGCATGCTGTTACGTCCAAACATTCAGCTGGAAATATGAGGTTGAGTGGCACTGGTGTATCGCTGTATCATAGCACAATGATACGCAGCTTAGTAGTGAGGTCATGGCAGTTGTAGTGCGCGCTGGACATTTCAGACGCAATATAGTCTGTATCTAGTGCTCTTTATATGGTAATTTGCTCGAATGCAAATTGATTTTACTTTGAACCCCTGTGTGAGATATCAAATGTTAGTGAGTAATTCTCTTGGCGCCGACAACCGACCCACTCTAACAATGACAAGAAACAAACTACGCTTTATGTACATATAAATTCAAGATGCGTCGCGAAACAAACCTTTTTCTCACTACTCTCTCTTCTTTCTTTTGTACCATAGTTATTTGGTTTATATCTAATACATCCGAGTCATTTCACTGTGAAATCTTCAACGAGTAGACTATATACCATTTGTTTGATAAAAGAGTAGCATTACTACTATAAACTACTACTACAACAAGAATAACAACAGCAACAGCCATCTGTAGACCCGAGTTTTGTTCATACATTTATATATATATATATTAAACAGCCATGGCAAACATAAAGACATGGAAAGTGGGTTTTCTTCTTTTTTGTATCTTGGCAACGTTTATTAGTACATTGCATGCCGAGGAAATTCGCTTGGTAACTATACTACAGACTTCTCAAGACCCAAAAAAACAATGCGAGATTAATGCATTTATGCTAGACCAGCGATGACTATTCAGCAACCTCTTGCTCAGGTGTGTGGAGCAAAGAATCTATTCCTGGTGGATCCCAACCATTTATCCAAGGCAAGTTTTCATTTAGCAGAGCCCATCGTCGTAAAGCCAACGTTAATCTTTGGATACAGTGTCTCTTGGAAAAGAGTCTCGTGGCAACGTTTCATTGCTTGTATACGAATGGCAGGATTTCGAGCATCTTGGAGCTTACGATGAAAAGAGTGGAGAGGTAATGCCTTTCTTATCGCACTGACCTAGTGTACTGATAACTGTCATTAGACTGTATACGTTTGCGATCAATTAGCTGTTTCTCACAAACTTTGCTCGTCCTCAGACATTGGACAATTCATCACCAACCTTCCATCTGATAAACAGAACAGCTCCAGCATCTTGACATCTACTTTTACTATGACAGGAAATCAAACTGAAATGGCTTTGTATAAAGTGGATTACACTGGCTACTACTGTGTGGCTTTGGTTCCTGCAGGAAACGATAATGGCACTTGGTTTGAGGCTTGGGTTGAATGGAAATTCCCTTATGGCGAATTACCAGCTGTTGATTATCCCAAGCTTTTGGTAAGTTGGATGTTTATAGGTAATACTAGAGTTTACTCAGACGTTGTCTAGTTGTATGGAACCTTCGCTTGTGTCTATTTAGCTGTGGGTATCTTTTGGTTTATTCAAAGCTATCGTAACTGGGATGATATTTTGCCTGTTCAAGTAAGTAAACATTCGTGTACATGGCCTTTTGAGAGAGATGCTCAGAGACGATCCATCTAGCACTTTTTGTCAGCAGCCATTTTCTATCTTATTGTCGAAATGGCATTCAATTTTGGTTTCTGGGAAGCGTATAACCAAACTGGAAAGACCTGTAAGCATTGCTTGTGCGTTTCGTAATATAAGACTCTCATCTTTTGTATAGCTTATGGTCTTTTAGCACTTGTTGCATTATTAAATGCAGGTAGAACAAGGTAAATCAGAAAGTACGCTGGGAGACATGGATGGACGAGCTAAATGGTCTATTTTCTAGTATGTCCTTTTTCATGCTGCTGATTGTGTGTATGGGCTACAGTGTGGTCAAGTAATGTATTTTGTATATACAACACCAGAGTACCTGTACTAATTCGCACGTTATAGGCCTAGTCTTGGATCCATGATGAAGAAATGCATCATCCTCGCTTGCACTCACTTCTTTTTCGGTGTCATCTACACACTAGGCACTATGCTTTTGTCACCAGAAACAGCAGGTCTTTTGATCTTGCTGGTGATTTTCCCTCTCTCCATTACAATGACCACTTTCTACGTTTGGACACTCAATTCTATCACAGGCACTATCCATGATTTGGAATTACGCAAACAGCATGTCAAGGTGATCATGTACAAGCGTCTTTATCGCCTCTTATTGTTCTCTGTGCTCGCCGTGATTGCCATCTTTATCATCAACATGTTTGCATTCTCTGGTCGTATGGCCATTGATTGGGCTGCCAACAACTGGAAATACCGTTGGGTCATGCTGGACGGCTTGCTGAATGTCTTGTACTTTATCGTGTTTTTGGTTATTGTCATTTTATGGAGACCTACTAGTAACAATGCTCGCTATGGTTTGATGCAAATCAGTCAAGATGAAGAGGAAGCCCTGGATTTGGAAGAGCGATTGAGACGAGCCGAAGATCAAGAAGCACATCAAGGAGGACGCAGTAATCCTAACGGATTGGGTGGAGCAAATGCAAACCATCATGAAATCGACGATGATGCAGCCATTTTTGAATTGGGCGGAGAGCTCACAGATGAGGAGGATGAACGCGATCATCAACCCATCACTAAAAACGTCGAGTTGTCTGATTTGAGCACGAAAAAGAATACTGGCAGTGGCTATCACAACCCCAAAGGAGGCAAGGGAGGTGAACAGAGTGCGTTATTACATGTAGATCAAGATGACGAAGACGACGATGAAGAAGAGTAAGTTATTGTTTTCAAAAGATTCGCAGTACTAGAATGACTCACGTTTGTATGATGTACAATAGTTTGGATGATGGTGAAAATGCACACTTAACAAAGAATGCCAGAAAACAGACATAAAAATAAAGATATCTTTTTTGCTTTGAGTATTCCCAGAGAGGATAAATGGAAAATAGAATGTTCCGTGAAATGTACACAAATACACATTCTATTGCTTTTGTCAAAATGCTGTGCAACAACTTGCGCTTCGGAAGACATGTAGGGTGACCAAGCTGGCTAAAATTACCATTTTGTCTAAACCAATGTTAAGGATTGTGACCTTAGTATACCGTTGGGACAATTGGACTCTTGCATTTGAAACCATACATGTTCAAATGATATTTGACAAGAATGGTATAAAATATTTTTTCATTGCAATTAGGCACAGCAGCTCCTATCAAATGTGCCACAAACGAAAAAGCTTATTCCGTACTGAAATCAAGTTGTCTAGCCCGAAAAAGCTTCTGCTTATACCAATATATATAAACTGCAGTTCCCCAGATTGGTGAGGCGATTGATCAGCACAACAAAACAGAGCTCGACCATCTCAAAAAGATCAAGGAGATAGGACGCCTTGTAGCTAAAGTATCATCCTCCTTGTATATAGACATTCACCTAATTGATACGGATGCTAGTTCATGACGAAGAAGAGCATACTTTCTCTAGTACAGGAGCTATCGTAAAGAGCTTAAACACAACGTTTTTTTTTGTTTACGGCTAGTGTCAATGATTACTAACATGAGGAAGAGAAACTTTTATTAGAGTTGAGTAACTTATAGTAGGCGATATATGGAAAAAAAAAAAAAAATACGTGTGCATGCGGAAAAAAAAATGAGCATAATTTTGTAATAGAATAGTGCTTATAAAGCAAGAGCTAAGAATAAGTGTCATGGTATATACAAAAAGATAGATGTAATGTGTGTGTGCTTGCGTATGCGTGTGTGTATGATGGATATAGAATCAAACGAGTGGATTTCTTATTTTTGTCATCTGCTTGCCGTTTCTTCAATTTTGAGTATTTGAACCGTTAGGAGATGTACCGCTATCTGCAAATGGAGTACATGGCGTGGGAGCACCAAATTGATTGACCCAGTATATTGGTATCTTGGAGTTAGATGTAGCATTTGCAGGATACTCTGGGGGCAAAACCATGTTTTGATGAGGACCTTGCATCATGAACTTATCGTTGTTTATGCTCAAATCAGGCAAAATAGGATAATGCTGATACTGGTGCTGTGGTTGTGGTTGCTGTGGCGGTAAGGGCAGTATTGGGTAGGATGTCCTTCTGGGTTCATGGTGTGCTGCATAAAGATGAGATGCAGCATTGCTGTAAGGCAAGATCTGCTTTTTGTTTGCGAGTATCCTGCTACTTCTTTCCATTAGATTGCGAACACAACGAAGTCGATCTTCAGCCGACAACTTGTCTCCAGCAGCAGCTTTTTGATGTACCTTGAAATGGCGTCTTAGATTGGACACAACAGAGAATGAGCGACCGCAGTTGGGACTAATACATGTGTTAATCTTTGACACACAACGCAGATGTAAATGTGTAACTTACCTTCGACATTGGAAAGGCTTTTCAGCCGTATGAGTGTAAGAATGTGTTTGAAGAGCACTTGGACGAGTGAAGCTTTTTAAGCATTTGGGGCATTGATACTGCTTCTTCGGCTTTGGTGGCGGCTGAGAGACCAAATGTTGGATAATGTTATTCTTTGTCTTTTGGTCATCAAATTCAGGCTCGGGAGTAGCCAAAGAAGACGACGCCGAGGAAGAGGAACAGGTAGAGGATCGAGAGACAAAGGCGTTATCACTATAGGATACGCTGTGAGGCGACAGTGGTTGGTACGGCTGATTTACAGGATTCATATCAGTAGACTAGAAGCAAAAAGAAGAATAAAGAATATAGAAGCTAGAATATATGTTGGATATTTATAGTGAAATAGAAAAACGACTGGTAGTACAGTGCGAAATCATTTGAGTGAGGATATGCGTCAAAATCATATCAAGATTGGGGAAAACCACTGCTATATTAGGAACGTGCATTGCTGCTGGTCATAAGGAAAGTAAAATGCCAAAATAAGGAGGTCTGTTTTTTTTATGTGTAGAGTCTCTTTTGGAAGTACAAATTACATCTTGATAGCCAATTTCTTTTTACCCTAAGCTCATTAAAAGTAGATTCAAGAAAAGGCCATGTAAACGCTGCATAAAATGTCATACAAGAAACATGTTTAGAAAGTAGCTATTGTGGGTGCGTGGTGATGCGTCTATTATTACTGCTACTCAATCATCTATTCTAGATCTTCTTTATAAGAAAAATTAAGAAAAAGTAAAGAATCAAACATCTATTTTCCTGGCAGCTCAAATTGCTATGCGAGATCAACTAGGAAAATGCTGACAATTGCTTACAAAAATTACAGAAACGGAGAAAGGTCATATATAGAAGAGAAAGAAGCAGCCTATAAAAGCGCAGAGGAGGGGAAATCTAGAAGAGGTAATCTGAATCACCATGTTTTCCAGATTCTGTTACACGAAAGATTCTTTGTGTCGTTACATTCTTCTCAAATCATCTTCTTGCTCAATGACTAAAAGCCTAAAAAGCAAGGCCCCGGTAGCTAAACTAACCAATAACAAAATTCATACTGTATCCAACAATGCGTTTGTTGCAAGAGGGAACAAGACCAGATCTGGTCTTCAGATAAAATATGCCTCATATAATGTACAATGAAGCTAAGAACATCAACTGTATCAGCTATTTCTCGGTGCTGCCTTGCCAAATGCATTGTTTATCCATCTTGTGGTATCCGTCTCTTGACTTTTTGTTTAAGAGTGAATATAGACACATCGTTCTGGGGGGGGGGATGCTGCTAGAACCATCCATGATAATATAATGAAATAAAGCACAGATCAGCGATTTCCCTGTCCCCTCCCCTCTAGCGTGATCCAATACTAGCGCAAATTTGACAATCTGAAGATGCCAAACAAACAAAACCTTAGTGAGGAAGGCAAATGTCGGTTATCCAGATATGCACAAATAGGAGATTAGAGCCCGGCTTCTCTAAATTAAGCTTTTCTCTATGATATGTGGCACAAAATGCCAATGTGTGGGTAATTATCCAATAAAGAAGACGATTAAAAGATCAACCCACATTTTCAAGCATATAACAAACAATATGAAAGAGAAGGCTCTTGAAATTCCATCATCTCGCAGAATCTTGATTAGCTTATTTCATCTGTCAATTGTATTTAGGGGAGTAGGTAACAACCGTATACAGGAGTGAAGGAGATATAAACAAAAGAAACGGGAGAGGGAATATCAATGATGCGCCAAAGGGCCAAGTAACGTGCATTATGATTTTTTCAGCCTTCCACACCAGAAAACAACCAAACTAGCAATGGCTACAGCGATGGAGACGTTAAACAACGTTTGAGACCCGTAATTGTCATATGCAAAACCACCTAGAATACAGCCCAAACCAAATCCAAGGCCTGAAAACAAGGCAGCCAAGATGCCCTGAGCAACAGCTCTTTGGTTCACTGGAAACATTTGATCAACCTCTGACACACATGTTGACCAAATCATTGCATACGAAAAACCTTAATAGCCAGCAACAACAAACAAGATGTGAGTTGTGTGGTGGGTATCACTCAAGATGTGATGTTACATACCGTTCAATAGCTGCAAGGAAAGTGCTATCCAAACCGTGCTTTGCTGACCTGGAACCAATGTCTTGTAGATTACATTTCTCAGTATGATGGTCAAATGTGAGCAAGTGACCAAACTACGAATATCATACTTTTTCAGCAACTACATACATAGATTGCACCATTTAATAAGAAACACAGAACACACACACACACACACACACACACACACACACACACACACACATACAACAGTACTTACCAGCCGTGACACATAGAAGGTTGAGACTTCTGTAACTCCTCCAAGTGGACCTGTCCATCCTATGATGGATGAACTTAGATTCAAGTCTTGCTTTAAAAATAGGAACAAGAACTGTGCAACCATCGAGTAGAATACGCCAAATAGCAGCGTCATCAACAAGAATGTCCAAACTTTGACTGATCCGAATATCGTGCTCTTGAGACTTACGCTCAGTTCATGTCTCTCTTCTTCGTCCATGATGTTGGCAAATACCGCTAATGAGGTATCTACGGTGGGTATATGCGACAATGCAAGACCCAAGGGCGGTAAGCTATCTATTTGATCCAGCAGCAGGCTAGACTCGTCATAGACATCCCGAGCGGCCAGAGAGGTGACGGTGCGTTGTAAGTTTAGTAGGCTGTGTTCGCCATCTAGAAGCAGTGTATTCGCGTGGCTACTGGTGGTGCTACTGAGACGTCGCATATTAGATGAAGGCACATCCAGGTCGAGCATCATGTCAGTATTTGGATCTGTTGTGTAAAATCCCTTGGTTGGTTTGTTATTTCCTTGTGAAATCAAAAGTGGTTCCCGCTCCCCGTCTGCCACGTTGGTTAAACTGCCCTCTTGCGCTGACGGAATCACACTTGTACAAAGTGCAATGGCGATGAATCCCATTACACTAGCTCCAAATATGTAAAACGCACAGTTGATGCCAAATTGGCCAATAAAAAAGCCAACCATGAGTATACAAACGCCATTTGATATCGATCCCCATAATCGCTGATCACCTATCCATTTTGACGCAGTTTAGATTGTGTACCCCTCATCCTTGCTGACCCGCCCTTACCATAGTAAATTCCATTCTCTCCCAATATCTTCAATACAGCACTGTCTACCAGCACAGTAACAGGCTGGCCAAAGAACGCAAAGCTCACTGCAAGCGCAATCGTGATGGATAAGATAGCGGATGTTGCATTTTGAGGTATCAGCACGGGTATAAACATCAGCGCTATCACACTGAAACCACCAACCAGCATCAAGATGGCCATCAAAGCGCCATGCCATTGAGGCCGCTTGTCCACTTGCAGTGTCCAAAATGGACACGCTACGCTTTGAATGAACGGCGCAATTGCTAGAATGATACCAATTTGCTTTGATGGCAGGTGCAAGCTGTCTGCATAAAACAGCGATAGATAAGGGATGGCTGAACCTAATACGCCATACAAACAAATATAGAGTAATTTGGGTATAAGGTATTGAACCATCAGTAGTTGCTTTTTTATCTTGAAAATAAGTGGATAGAAAGAAGAAGAAAGGAAAAAAAAAAAAAAACAATGTAGTGTTATAGTTCCTAAATAAGGTTTCCTTGATAGAAAATCAATCTCTGCATGATGAGTCTATGATGTCAGGTTACAATTGGTGTTATTGCAATAATTCACCGACTAAGCGGGTGTCCTCACATTGCCAGTCTGGCGTGCAAAGACATATGAAAAAGAGGGGGGGGGGGGATAAGACGTACCTATAAAAAAAGTAAGAGGTCAAAAAATCTTCTGATAGATCCCAGTGAAAAGGCCAACTTACTTATCAGGATTTTGAGCTCGACTGAAAGGAGGCAACACCTTGTTGTCAAGTGAGACCAGTGCCGAAAAACCAATGAGGGCAATGTTACTCGCTCCTTGCTCATCACGATTCATGGTAGTTTGTTTTAGCCAGCCTTTTTGGACACTCAGGGTTAAAGCATGTAACGGCACCGAGGTTCCTCTTCATTCTATTCTCCTCACCACGCACCAGTTGTTTCTGTGTCGCCTTGAAACATGAGCAGCAAATTCTTGTAGAATTGTATTCGTCCACCAATCTGACTGTGCTTCTTGTGGACAGCGTTGACATGTACGGCTTCATATATCGAGTGCTGTGGCCACGGAGGTACTGAGTATTGCGACGCCAGTTTCCTATGAAGGAAACCATCTTTGGCTTGTTGAAGGTGGACATGGTTGCAGCAGATCTGGCTTCACTGGCTACCAAATGTTGGTGAAGTTTCTTCAAGCGGATTCGTCCAGTTGCCCTTCCTTTCTGTAGCTTCTTGACTGACGACTTCTTCCTCTTCTTTCGCCTATTGGAGAGGGCAGCATTATCGACTCTTGTTGGCTGTCATTTCATACTTGACGAATGTTTCTTCGTTTTCCAAGAGAGGTTGCAGTGTCAGAATAATCTTGCAGCATTTGAAACCGATTGATCGACTCAAAAAGAGTGAGAGAAGCCACTAGAAACGAATAATTCCTAAACACTGGCACTGATGTCGTCAATAATTGCAATGGGATTGACGCTCTTGCTCAAACCACAATCAAATAAATCAACAGCTTTGATGTCAAAGAAAGACATCTTTTTCTGTGTCGCATGTTGACCAGCCAAGACCAAATCGACCAGTATGTCAACAGCCTTCGACAAGCCGCGAATGCATGAGTGGCAATTAGCTTGGAACTTTGTAATCACTCCAAGAAAGACTCCGTGATCAAAACGAGGATGAATTATGGCCTTCAGAGAATGAGATACACTTCGAAGCTCTATGGTTGGATCAACCATCGCTCCACCAGTTGCCTCACCAGCTCCAGCACCATCAGCTCCAGCACCACCTGCCTCTGACCCAGTGGGTTTGTCATCATCAACTTCAGGTTCATCGTTCTTAGATTTACCACCACTTGATCCACCACCATTTGATTTACCAGCACTTGATTTACCAGCACTTGATTTACCAGCACTTGATTTACCAGCACTTGATCCACCAGTCTTTGGCTCTGCAGCTTGTGCCGTCTCTAGCTTCTTCTTCAACTCTTCGCAGAACGATTTAATGTATTTCGTAGTGGAGAGTTGCTTCGCCTGTCGTAATCGGGCAATTACGTTATGAGTCCAACCTGGTTGTATGTCTCCCAGCTCCTTTTCCATCACTACATGCACATTGGACACCATCTTGTTGGGCAATGACTTAGTGGAAAGAGATTTCTTAAAGTCTTCAACGGTATTGGACGACCCTGGGTTTTTCAGGAACTCCTCCCATTTGTGCTGGTATGCTTGATAAACTTGAATCTTGAGCAGCTCCATGACTTTCCTGTCTAACTCGTCATTTGAAAAGGTTCTCTTGTGTATTGTTTTCTTGGAGCCTTCTAGGCATTGATGAGGATAGCATTACCATCTCTGAGATTGGACATATAGCGGAATACCGTATAGGCAATGTATTGTGTATATCATTCTACCACAGCTCAGATTTCGTATGATACCTTGTTACAGAGTATGGTACTTGATTCCGTAAGCACAGTACTTGATGTTGGCTATTAGATATTGACAAGGTCCATGTATTGTGCTTGCCTGAACATTTACACGAGGCACATTTCATGATGATTGAATAGTGCATGCCTCTTTTTTTTTTTTCAAGAGATCTCGCAGCTTTTTTCAGGCACCAAATCAACATTATTGAACATAGTAGGGTAGGTCTTGACAAATATCACCTTTTATAGCTCAATGAAACCACTGCTTGAAGAATAATCACCTTTTATGTTAATGTTTGGATGAAAGCTTGTTCTGTTCTTAAATTGGTCACACCTACAAGTTTACAATAGAATGCAATTGTGTCTCGCAACATTTTATTGCCGCAATTTTTTTTTTGTAGATTACTGATCAAGTTGATTAGCTGATCTCAGTGTATGTATGAGCATATCTTTACTTTTTGTTTACTCTATCAGCAGCAATCCATCTTTGGCGTGGCAAGAATTGTGCTTCTGGCACATATCAAAAGCACGCGGCATGCCATTTACTATGAATGCAATCACTTGATCCATCGGCTTGATGGACATCACACTTGGTAAATGCTATCTGGCAATAAGCAGCACTGCATAGTCAGATCAAACCCATCTTCAACTTTGTGCGTCTTAGGAAATGTTATAAAAGCATGACCTACATACGAGGCCGCGACTAGGCCTCCTTTTATTGATTGAGTAAGCTTAAAATTGAAAAAAAGAGGTATATAATGGTTGATAGATATCGCTATATTAGATAGCTCCACTTAGTTCTCTTTCCAAATCATCGACTTCCATAGGATGAGTAGTGGGTGGATTCACGGCAGTTTCAGCAACAGCTAGCCCAGAATCAGCAGCTGCTGAAGGTTCGAGCGTGGCTCTAGCTTGTGCTGCTGCCAATGTTTCACGATCCTGAGCAGACATACTTTCACGACGCTTCAAGTTTGTGCCACTGTTACCAGCATAGCGTGGATCAGAGCTCTCCTTGTTGGCTTTGAAAGACATGACTTCTTGTGCAATCATGCGACGCATCTCATCGATTGAATCCACCACCTCAAATGAAAAATCAAAAGTAGAGCTATGTGTGGGCTATAAAAAAAAAAAAAAAAACTCGGCTTAGCTTTGTCGTCTTGTTGAATGTTTTCATGTTACCTCGTCGTCTTCATCGTGATAGGCACTAAGGTATGGATGTGCTAATGCTTCATCCACATCAATGCGTTTAGATGGATCAAATTCCAATAGTTTGTTCAATAGATCGATTGCCATGGGATTCGCTATATAATAGTTGACATCAATGGCTTGGTTTTGATGCGGCGTTTCCGCATTTCATACCTCTAGGATACAAATTCTCAAATGGAATTTTCGGCATGCGAGGTAAACTGCGAATATAAACTTGTGCCTGAAGAGGACATTCGTCAATTTAAACTCCTTTAGCATTGCCATCTTGACAACTTACTCTTTCGCTCCCTACACGGCATAGGGTCTCTTCATCAGGTGTACCAAGGATACCCAAAATTTGATTCAGCTGATCCACATCTATTACAGAAATGAGTAACAGCTAAGCAGATGCAATGCTCTCAAAACTCACAATCTCTTCCCTTGAAAAGCGGTCTTCCACCAAGCATTTCAGCAAAAATGCATCCTACAGACCACATGTCGACTACAAGCAGACAATGTTACTAACTAAACAAGTTGTCTTTCAAGAGAAACTCACTGGCTTTAGTGTAGTTTTGGAAACTCAACATGATCTCGGGTGATCGATACCATCTTGTTGCAACCTTTCAAACAAACAACGTTACACCATGTCCACAATCAAGCATCAGATAAACTTACATATTCAGTCATGAAACCAACATTGTGTTCATCGTTCTCAGAATAACCACGAGCCAGGCCGAAATCACAAATCTATGATTGTCTTGATTTAATATACGAATCACATACACACTGTACAGCCTGTGTGGTATTACCTTTAATTCACAATCAGCGTTGACAAGGAGGTTGCCTGTTTATAAATTATCACATGATAAATACCAATACGTGATCTGTGTTATGCCGTTTATTCGTAACTTACCTGGCTTGAGATCTCTGTGCAAAACCTTGAAACCAAAGACTATGTATTAGTACACATGAAATCTAATGCTGCCAAATAGTCTCTGTGTGCTTACATTGGCACTGTGAATGTACTTTAGTCCTCTACAGATTTGATAGACAAAGTATTGGAAATGAGCATCCGTCAACGGTTGACCGGAGCGAATAATCTGGTGAAGATCAGCTTCCATGAGTTCTTGCACGAGATAACTACACAATGGATAGGCAATGAGCACTGACAATCGCTCGCACACTGGTCAGCCTATACGTACATTTCATTAAAGTCTTGCAAATTAACGATATCCATGTCAAGAACCGAAGTGATCTAAGAAGATGTATCTCGTCAATCAGACCTTTCCTCTTTTATCCACGGCCCATCATCGCCTTACATTTTCATGTCCATTGAAAAACTTTAGCAACTTGACTTCACGCAAAGCTCTTTTCGCAAGAATGGTCTTTTCGAATATACGGCACACCTGTTATGGAATCACAAATGTAAGCGCGTATACATCAGATACCATACGGTTGTCTATTACCTTTTTGATGGCCACCTGTTCATCTGAATCTGTGTCTTTGGCAGCACTGTGCCGTCCTGTAAGCTTCTGATATTCCATTTTTTTTTGTTCTGTTTACTTGTATACTTTACCATACGACACCGTATGCACCTTGTCCCATTTCACGAATAAACTGAAACTTTTTATCCACAATGAATTGCTGATTTAGTACAGGGAAAGCTTGATAGCCTGAGTTAGTCATGTGTAAACTAGTACGTTGGATGCAGATACAAAAAAAAAACGAAAAGAAAAGGAGAAGAGGAGGAACACGTTTACGCAAATATTGATTGTGGTATTTATACGAACACTAAAGAGAGGAAGGTACCACAACAAGCTTAAACCGTTTAGCCAATGACGGATGATGGCTGCTATCGAGTAGAAAATATGATGGTTTGCTCATGGCGATGTAAGCATGATGGAACTATATGGCTTACAAAAATTGTTGCAAAGTGCACTCTCCTTGGCTCACACAGTTGGCTGATATTTTATGTCACAGCATTTGTATATATATTATGCGCTTTAGCTTGGTGTTGCCAGTGAAATTTATGCTTTCATGCATTTACACAAAGATGAAACCGATAGGAACACCGAAATACAGATCACAATAATCGTTTACCATGATCCCAGTACAACTGAATTATCCTCATGTGAGACTGATGAATTCAACGCGCTGTTTCTCGAGCTTAGCAAGAAACATCTACATGAAAGCCTATATTTATTGATCTGTAACTGTAGATTTGGCTCTTGTAGGATACTACACGTCTGTATTAATGAAAACAGTTCACGTGCGAGCAGATAGTACACTTGCACAACCTCTTACTATTCAAAAATATACAGAACATAGGGAAATTTGGATGCCTTTGACCCGTGTTTTCTCGCGTCAGAAGCTGTTTTAGACAACCAGAATAGCATCAAATAATTGCTCTCGTCCAGCATTCACTTACTGACGCCTTTGCTCAAATTTTTTGAGACCTGAAAAACATGGCTGAAAATCACCTCCAAACAATGAGGTACCCCTCATGGTTTTCATCGAAAATCAAACGATCGCATTTTTTACCTTGAAAATGAAGACTGTTACTATGGTACATAGTGAATCAAAATGCCTCTCTCGACCCAAAGCAACTTCTGAAGCCGCTTTTATGAGACCTTCATATGCAAAATTTCGACATTTTGGCCAAAAACCTCATTTCACATTTTCTAAAATTGCTCAGTAAGTTCATTCAAGCCATCAAGTTTACTTGGTACCATTGGAAGCGCCTTGAAAAGTACTCCAAGGATGTATTAGGAAGCGTAGAATGATCATTACAGTTTATATAATCGAATATCATAAAATAGATTAAAGAAGTCGAAGAAAGACAAAATCTGTCCAATCTTGAAGAGAAAAAAATAATTGAGTTTGAATGAATGTTGGCGGCAGCGGCAGCGGCAGCGGCAGCGGCAGCGGTGGGCGGCGCTGCTGCTGGCTGGCCCAAATGCATTTCTGATTAAGTCATATTAATTTATACACTCATTCTGATTGAGAAGTTGTTTCAAAGTAGAGAAACATAACGTATTCGGCCAAAGCGCATCAAATAAGTCAGGGACGACATAGCATCGGTCTGGCCTGCATTACAAATCATGAATATAGACATCTCATCCATATACCTGCCAAGAGCAACCATCTGAGCGATCTCCGGATCTACCATTGCCCAGACTCACACATGAAGGCTTTATTGCCTACATGCAACATTTAGAGAGCACAAAATACAAAAGAAATCATAGCTTTCCCTTATGTTTATCATCGCACAGAGACATTTCACGTCCATTCAAATGGATTAGGTCCCATTTTAGAGTAATATTTCCAATTTCCGCGGTAAAATGTCAACCTTTGATTCGAGTGAGTCATGAAACTTGAGCGAACGTTACAATGCAATTCGAATAACATCAGCTCATACATGGCATTCAGTAAAAGTATACATCTCGGCCTGGTGCGCCCACGCGTCAGCCTTTGATTTACACATTGACATGCTCATCTTTTATCCGCCTGAGAAATTCATGGCCTAGCAGCTATTACAAACGAAAAAGCTGTGGGGAACGATAGAGAGAGGCTCCTCAAAGTCAACTGTGTTTGTGCCACCATGTATGACTTATGCGATACTTTGTATATGATTGGCTACATGTAATAATGGCCCAAGCAGATCAATTTCTTTGATTGGCCCAATGTACCAAATTGGTCATAACCTATACTTTTATTTGATGGATGTATAAAATAGACTTTGGTGTTTTGCATTTTTCTTTTTTTTTTCTCTCTCTCTTTCTTTATTACATTTATAAAAAAAAAAAAACCCCAAAAACTACAACACACCATGTCTACTGATAAGCTCATTATTTTTGATACTACTCTCCGTGATGGTGAACAGGTAACAATGCATACAAATGGAATCCCGAATCCATCAATGCTAAACTATCATTAGTCTCCTGGTGTCACTTTAAACACAGAGGAAAAGATTGAGATTGCAAAGACCCTCTCTCGTCTTGGTGTCGATGTCCTCGAAGCTGGTTTCCCTATTGCTTCGGTAGGTGATTTTGAAGCAGTACAACGTATTGCGAATGAAGTCGGCCCTATGATGGAAGGCAGAGAAAAGATTGGTCATCCTATGGTAAGAAAAGTTTGATATACTCCTGATGATGGCAATTGACAATTGACGTTGTTATGCTGTAGACAATTTGTGGTCTTGCTCGCTCCACACCTGGCGATATCAAGCGTTGTGCTGAAGCTATTGCATCTGCTCCTCGTAAACGTATCCACGTTTTCCTTGCTACATCTGATCTCCATCTCAAATACAAGCTCAAGATTGACCGTGACGAATGCATCAAGCGTGCCGTTGCTGCTGTCACCTTGGCTCGCTCCTTTGTCGACGATGTTGAGTTCTCTCCTGAAGATGCTGGCCGTTCCGATCCTGATTTCCTCTGTCAAGTGCTCGGTAAAGTGATTGAAGCAGGTGCCACTACTCTTAACATCCCTGATACTGTCGGTTACAACATGCCCGAAGAATATGGTAACTTGATCAAGTACCTCGTCCAGAACACACCCGGCTCTGAAAAGGCCATCTTCTCTACTCATTGCCACAACGACCTTGGTTTAGCTACTGCCAACACGCTTGCTGGTATTTCCAATGGTGCTCGTCAAGTAGAGGTGACAATTAACGGTATTGGTGAGCGTGCTGGTAACACAGCCATGGAAGAAGTGGTGATGGCTATTCACACTCATCCCAACTTCTTCCCTGTGCACCACACTATCAACACTACCATGATCTACCGTACTTCTCAAATGGTGTCTTCTTTATCTGGTATGATGGTTCAACCCAACAAGGCTATTGTAGGCCGCAATGCTTTCCTTCACGAATCTGGTATTCATCAAGATGGTGTTCTCAAGAACCGTCAAACTTACGAGATTATCACTCCCGAAACTGTGGGTGTTACTGACATCAACCTTGTTCTTGGAAAGCATTCTGGCCGTAATGCCTTCCGCGAGCGATGCAAGGACCTTGGTTTTGGTGATATTACCGATGACGATTTCCAAGTTGCTTTTGATGACTTCAAGGCTCTCTGTGATAAGAAGAAGAATGTCAATGATGCCGATATCCTTGCTATTCTCAGTAACCAAATCAGTTCTCATGCTGCTAGCTCTTTCTATACTCTTGTCTCTACTCAAGTGGTGGGCGGTGCTGCCACAACTTCTATGGCTAGTGTCAAGCTCTTTGATGTCAAGGCTGGAAAGGAAATTGGTGATGCTGCTGTAGGTATCAACGGTCCTGTTGACGCTATCTTTGAGGCTATTCAACGTAGTGTGGGCCGTCGTTTCCGTCTTACCAAGTTTGATATTAGCGCTGTTGGTGAGGGCAGTGATGCTTTGGGTAAGGCCGAGATTCAAGTCAAGGCTGATACCGACGCCATCAATGGAAACGCTGCTGCTCAAGATGAGCGTGTCGCTAAAGCTGCATTTGCCTCCAGCATTGCTGATGTCGACATCATTACTGCTGCTGCCAAGGCTTATCTCGGTGCCATCAACAAGCAATTAGAATGGGAAAGTGAGTTGGCTGCTGGTACTGCTCGCAGTATCGGTGAGGAACGCAAGGTGGATGTCTAAATTATCTGATCCAGTAAAATATATATCTATTCCCCTTCTTTCCTTGTAAATACATGTTTAAAAAAATACGTTTATATTAATAAAAATGACAGCTTGTATACATGTCATTTGTATAAAGCTTGCAGTTTTTGCTCCAACACTACTTTTTGTAATGTGAGGTGGATCATTGCCAATCTTGTCTCTAACCCTAAACACACACAACCTGTCCTTTGGCGACTGTGAATCAAACCATTATTCAAGAGAATCAATGGCCACCATTCGATTCCTTTCATTTTGAAGACTCTCTAGTCAATTAATTTACTATAAAATCGATATCATGGTTGCTTATGGAGGAGGTAATATGACAAGACGACTTGATAGCTCACTGCTTTAACCACAATTACGCATAGATGAAGTAAATGCTCTTGTTTTTGACATGGGTTCTACCATGACGCGTGCAGGCTATGCAGGCGAAGATACACCTCGCGTGATGTTTCCTACAAGCTTTGGCTATGTAGATGTGGAAGAGCAAGTGGCGGAAGCACCCACTGAGCAAACAAATGCTGAAGATACTGTCATGACAGAAGCGTCAGAGCAACCACCAGCACCAGCACCCCAACAAACTGGTATTAAAACCACAAGAAAGTACTATATTGGTGATAACAAGATCAACACATTCAGAAGCAACATGGAAATAAAGAGCCCGTTGAGTAACGGCTTAGGTAAATAACGGACCTTTGAAAGAGATGCAACACACACTGAGCGCTAGAATTGAACAGTGGAAGATTGGGACGCTGTGGAACATATTTGGGATGCCACGTTTAACCAAATGCTTCGAATTGATCCTCGCAATCATCCATTACTATGCACTGAAGTTGCCTGGAATACACCAGAGAACCGACAAAAGACAATGCAATTAGCATTTGAAAAGTTTGATTTTCCAGCATTTTACCTCACACCCGATGCCGTCATGACAGCGTATGTTGACTCGACAGACACTACAAACCACAGTTACATTGACATGCGTTGAATAGATTCTCTGTAGGTAGAGCCACGGCATTAGTACTTGATTCAGGAGGAGGAGTTACAAGCGCAGTGCCAGTGTATGATGGATTTGTGTTGAAGAAGGGGATCTTACATCAACCTCTTGCTGGTGACAGTATAGTCGACAAAATCAAGCAACAACTTGATGCTGAATTGAATTACACCATCACACCTCATTACAAAATCGCCAAAAAGAAGGCAGTAGAGAAGGATCAGCAGCCAGACATTGAACTTCGTCCACTAGAGGGCATTACAGACAGCTTTAACGAGTATCAGATCAACAGAGTGCTCAACGAATTCAAGGAAACCATATGTCAAGTAGCTGATACAGGGTTTGAGGAAGAGTAAGTGGAGCTTTTCGGGCTCATGCCACATTTGACTCATTCATTCACGATAGTGCCTTGTCCTCAAGGTCAAAAAAGACGTTCGAGTTCCCTGACGGATTCAGTCATTCGTTTGGTCTGGACAGATTCAAGCTTCCTGAAATGCTCTTCCAACCCAATGTATACGATAGTACTGCTCCTAAAAAGACTGAAGAGAAAACAGAGCATGAGGATCGAGAAGCCTCTGAGGACAAGGACAAGGACAAGGAAAAAGAGACGACAGAAAAAGACGATGCCATGCAAGTAGATCAAGAAAAGGACAGCAAGTTTATTGGGGTGCACGATATGGTGTACAACAGCATAAACAACTGTGATATCGACTTACGCCCACTTTTATTCAATAATGTGGTTGTCACTGGAGGAGATACATTATTCAAGGGGTTCAATGAGAGACTGAACCACGAATTACCATTGAAAGCACCAGGAGTAAGTGGTGGCACGCTATGAAAACACTCGCACAGTTACTAACACCAAGAAATAGAGCAAAATCAAGATTCATGCTGCTGGTAATACCACTGAGCGTAAAAGTAGCAGCTGGTTGGGTGGCTCCATCTTGGCCTCCCTGGGTACATTCCATCAGTTGTGGGTATCACGAAAAGAATATGAAGAATTTGGCGATTCCATCGTTCATAGAAGATGTTAAAGAAAGATAAATATTTTATTTCAATTATCATACAATTCATGTAGTTTTTGTCTTTTGTTATGTGGAGTCTGACTATGTACAGAAGAAGAGGAAGAGGAAGATGCAGGTGAAGATGAAGACCATATCAATTTCCTATTGCTGTTGTCTAATGGCTGCCAGTAATCTGAATTGTTGGTGTGATGTTGCTGAGTAGGCGATGTGGTGTTGGGTGTGGTCGGTGTCGTTGTAGCAGATGTGGTGGTTGATGTTGCACTCGCTGGGGTATATAGATTGTTATCATCTAAAAGTCTGGGAATCATCAATTGCTCTGTCTGTGAATGTTGCTGTTGTTGTTGTTGTTGTTGTTGTTGCAACTGTTGCTGTTGCTGAATAATCTTGAGATGGGAACAGTGCTTCTCCAGTATGTCATACAACGTATTCTTTGAAAAAGGTTTTGGCAAAATGTCATTCATGCCGATACCGATGTACTCCATAATATCATTGTGTGTGAAATTAGATGTCATGGAAACAATTGGTGTGAGTGAGTCATACCGCCTGATATTTCTTGTAGTAGCAATACCATCCATTTTGGGCATGACAATATCCTACATGTACAGTGTCAATGTCATGATTTGCTCTTTTTCTAGATGTTTCCAGCATATCCTACCATGAGAATCAAATCATACTTCTCTACACTCATCTTTTGTAGAGCTTCCAACCCATCTTTTGCTAGATCAATGGAGCAGCCCACCATATTCAACATGCGACCACTCACATCTCGATAAACAGAGTCATCATCGACGAGTAGCACACGTGGGGGTGTTGTCCAACTAGCCATCATCTTCTTTTTCCCTTTATCTAGAATAGTGGGGGTTTCAGAGAGCACATGATGTTGTGGCTGTTGCTGTGGTGGGTGAGGATATGGCTGTGGTTGGGGATGCTGATGCTGTAAATGGTGGTGGTGTTGTTGTTGTTGTTGTTGTTGTTGCTGCTGCTGCTGCTGCTGCTGCTGCTGCTGATGATGATGATGATGATGATGATGATGATGATGATGATGTTGTTGTTGTTGTTGTTGTTGTTGTTGTTGTTGTTGTTGTTGCTGGTCTGATTTACTATTTGAAAGTCTACCAAGTGCTAAAAACGTTAGTCCGTCTGAAGTCTTGATAGAGGAGCCAATGAGACTAGATCCATTTAATTGAGCTGCTGCTGCTGCAACAGAAGCTGTATCTACTGAACTCTGAGATGGTGTTGGTAAAAAGATATCAGTCAGTAAGCTTTCCAATGGCTGTTCAGCCCAAGCCTGAGAAGATGCATTTGCCGTAGATACGGCATCAGATGATGAAATAATGGGTATTTCTGGATTTTCCAATTTAACATCTACATTTTGATTCTGTAATGAGAATGAAGTTGCTCTCTTGCAATTCTAACCCGATCTTACCTGCTTGCTTTGAGTTTCCCTGTTGTTGCAGCTTGAGGCAATCCTTGAGCAGCTCATCTTTGGCTAAAAGGCTTTGCTGCAATCCCGAAAGCTCGGTCATAATGATTTTTTCCTTTTCACTCATGCTTTCCAAGGTAGATTCCAATTCGGATTGCGATTGTTTGAGCAGATCAACTTGAGATTGAAGGCTTTTCGTCAGTTTATTCAGCTGCTGAAATGCTGCCATCTCGGACATGGACGATGCATTGGATGCTTTGTATTGAAGCGTAGGAGAGGGTGTTTGAGAGAGTAACTGATCTTGTTGTAACTGTTGTTCCTTATCAAATTTCTTTTTCTTTCCAGGCGTTTTTCTCTTGATTTCTTCCAGCAAATCTTTTCTGTCTCGTCTGAAATGCGAATGTTCAAACTCCCAAGTCTACCATGTGCATTAATACAAGGGAGATCAAGTTGTTATTGCTCTTCTTACCTGATCCCCGTAGAGCTTTTGAGTCTCATCGGTATTGCTTCTTATCTTGTGAAAGTCATACTTGTTTAGCTGCCGAACAAAACTAGCGAAATTACAATGTTTGAAATGCTTTGGTAGAATCGACTTTGAAAATTCGTTGGTATCCTTGACTAGAAAGCTGGTTCCTGAGGGACCCCAACAGAATACATCTTTAAATGCTTGATTTTCTAGCATGCTACAGGGGAATAGATCTAAATAAGTTTCATCACCTGATATGAAGTAATTTTATATGCTAACCGAAACAATTTCTGTATAAAGTCAGGTACCGTTGAATTGCTACTAGGATCGCTTTGATTGGCATGCTTTTTGCTGCCCTTCTTGCCCGCTGTAGACTTGGGAAGTGATGCCATGTATCTCTCATCCATTTCCTTGAAAGTCTGAAAAAGAAATGCAGGTAAAAAAGTATAATAGAAGAAAGGGAAAAGCGAAAGAAAGGGAAGAAAAGTAAGCTAAAATATCAAAGACCGTTTTACCTTATGTTTTTGGCTTGGTTTGGAAAGCATTTTAAATTACATAAACCTGCGTTCTGCAGCAAGGCAAGTTGGCCAATGAAACCATGGTTCGGCTCGATTTCTGCCTGTATAGATGGCTTGCTCGGATTATGCCGACACATGAAGTTCACAAACATTTGTGAATTCTGTACACAGCACCTTGATGGGATCTCAGATAACGAATCAAAAGCTTTTCATGTATATACAAACATGGTAAAACATTCTAAATTAACTTGAAATGAAACTCCATATAGAGTATTTTTGATTTCCTGTAAAAACAGCTTATTCCTTAAAAATAGTTCGTCTACCTTTAAGGAGGAGGAGCATGTACCGCATGTAAAAAAGTTGAGCTTCAGATATTGAGACTCATTTGAGGGATGGGCTGACATGTTGGAAAGTGGATAAGCAAGTTCAGGCACACAACGCACTGGCTTGTTCTGTAACACTAAATGTCTTAAAATATCGTTGATGCCATCACTGATTTGACATTGCGAGAACCGACAACAGGCATACAAAAGTAAATGAGCTGCAGTTTATTGGTAAAATGTACAAATTATTACGGTAAGTCTAATCGAGATGTAAGATGATAGTTGTTAGAGATTAATGAATAGCCTGATAAGTGACATTTTCCCAGTAAGGTTGTAACACATTGTTACAGGTCATGGCAGACACAACATTGAATGTCTTTTTGACAGTTGGCAACCATGCTTCAGTCATGTTTACAGTGGCATGATTCAGCTCATGCTCCAGCACCAAGACACCTTCCTTATTCTTGCCAGCCTTCTCTTGCTCCAGCCAGGATCTGAAATAACCGTCTACTTTTGCTGGAGGCAATTTTCCTCCACCTGGAGCTGGCATGTCCCAATCATTCTATATAACAGACGACAAGAAATCAGTAAATGAATGTGGTAAGCTACTGATAATACAACTTACGGTATCACGGTTCCATAGCACAGTTCTCATACCCATCTGATGAGCAATAGCACGAACACGGTCATCAACATCACCTTGAGGAGGTCTCCAGCACTTGACTGTAACACCAGTAGCTTCCTTGATAGCCTTCAGAGTCCAATAGAGCTCAGCAACAACTTGCTCGTTCGTTTGAGTTGTCATGGGAGGATGTGACCATGTGTGAGAGCAGAGAGTATGGCCATCAGAGAGAGCACGACGAGCAGCAGCAGGGTATGTCATCACATTGGAGCCAATATAGAAGAGGGTAGCCTTCAAGTCTTCCTTTGCTAAAAAGTTGTATAATCTAGGCTCTGCATAGGGGTTTTCAGTCTTGGCATCATCGTCATCTTCATCAAGAAGGTTGAATGGTCCATCATCGTAAGTGAGACCCCAATCACCCTTCGTAGGACAATTATATAAATCAGGAGGCAAATAAGAAAGCTTGGGTTCAGTGCATCCGCTAGCTGACCACCAACAATCAGGATCGGCGTCTTCATCGTACTTTTTGAACACTAAATCACCCTTCTTGGACTTGCGCTTCTTGATATTTGGAACGAGGTCCCAATCGAGACGGGCGATCATGGCTTGGACCTCGGGGTGCTTGGGGTCAGGGCTTTTCCAGACTTCTGGATAGTTTGTCAAGTTCAATGTTTCTCTGGAAAGAGTAGAGTTGGTATCAATGGTACCATTGTTGAAATGAGGCTCAGGAGAAATAGCCATGTTGGAGAAAACAGGAGAGATTTGAGCAGCCCAAGAATCGGTAACAGTAGGTGTAGTGGTTACAGTAGCAATACCAGCTGTCATGGTGGCATTGGTAGTTGTCATAGTAGCATTCATGATGGTTGCCATGGGAGCATCGGGGGTTGTCATGGTAGCATTGACAGATGTCAATGTAGCATTAGCAGGAGCAGCGAGGACATAGTGTCCAGTAGTTGCGAGGAGAGCAGCAGCAATGAGAGCAAGTTGCATGTTGTCCAGTAATTGATAAACAAAATGTCGATTCTTCTTTGTAACGAATTGGTACCCTTTTTATACGGATCATAGCCGAGAGTTCCAAAAAATTAAAGGGTAAGTCATAATAAATCTGCTACCCTTTGGTTTCATCGAAGCACTTGGTATATTTCATAATGACATGACATGTGGCAAGGGCTCGCTCAACAAACTTGAACGAGTGCTTCATTGTATTGATTGTCTATGCATTTATAGAAGTGTAAATTAAAGGCAAGTATTGCATTTGCAATAATGAGTTTACCAACTGCTTCTACAGTTATTTGAATAAGCGTGTCCGCCTTTAGATGTGTTACTAAACGATTCTACAACTGTCACGGCTATCATACCCATTCAAACGAGTGTCTATATATATATATATATCTACTTTAAGCAAGTTTCATTTATCCGGGAAACTTGTAAATCTCTAAATATGGGAATAACACAATGCACTGTATCGCAATTTTCCAACAGCGAGGTAATAAATGTGCTTAATATTGTATAATTAATTGCAATGTTGCTCGTCGTATAAGCTCTGACTCCAGAACTGCAGAGCATGGCAAGTATTTGTACAAGAAGATTGCCCGGGAAAACAATATCATGTCAAATCATTCACATTGTAGTCATTTTGACATTTTGATTCAGCAGCCAAATGTACGTTCAAGGCATTGATTTGTACTACACAGGATTAAAGTGATCAATGCGCACATGTGCAGAACGCGAATGTAGATAGAGCCGGAAATTTGCGATTCAAATGTCAGTGAAAAATGTATATAGAGCATCGCTGTGCTTGTTACCTTCATGTGCTTTAGCATGCTGTGATGCTGCTTGTTTACAATTGACAAGAATCCAGGATTTTGAACTACAGGATTTTGAACTCCAGGATTTACAAACACGTTGTTTCCTGTTCGCTATTTTTACATGGAATACGGCAGAACGTTATGGCAGCTGGAGCGAGATTTGAGCTCACTTATAATATAGCATTACAATGAATATACCGATCTTTAGCGGACCTACCAATCCAATCTACATATCAAATATAGTTACTAACCACGGTTACATGATGGCATCATTACGCTTAATGGAAATTTCAGGGACAGGGCAATTGATGAGGATTGCAACCATTTGAAATGTGTATTGTACCCCATTTGCAGCAGGCTAGTCTCATTAAGAAATTGTACGGTTGTATTTCAGATGCTTGACCGTATAGTTGTGTTCTTTAAGTTTATTTGACAAACATATAAAATGCGATAGTAATTATGTTATGAGCAATTTAAGTAATTGTATCGAATGTGCCTGGATCGTTGAGCGCTTAACATGCAAGTCTGGCATAATAACCTGTCAGACTTGAAGCACTTTGCCAGCCGCATAGCACGAGCTTCCTATTTCCTGAAAGTAGCTACGCTAAAATACAGCATTGCAAAATGTTGGGATATTTACCTTTGCATCCGTTTCTCCTACGAATAATTTCTGGATTTTCTACATAGACAAACTTTAGCCGACCTATCCGTTCATAACACACTGTAGAATATCCGTCTGAATTGACGGGTGTTCATTCTCGATTGTATTCTGCAATTATATAAGGTTCAAATGATCTCATCATCCGAGGCAGAAATGAACATCTCGTTTCAGTTTAGGTCAAAAGCAACGAAATCGGGGCAAGAAAGAAAGAAGGGTCCCACCTCTTGTTAGACCTGGATTTCAAAAAGAAAGCGCATTGTATGCTTACATCAAACTTTTTCATATGAAATAGGACCCTCAATTGTGAGTGAATTTACTGCAATTTCCTATGTTCACGCAAGACCACAATTTCTGGCGACAAGCCTCTGAAAGAACCTCAGTATGAGTTGTTCATTTGCTTTTACCAGGTATCAACTGATAAAGACATGTTCAAGCGGAGCGCTTCTCACAGCATGTTATATTTATATCTTGTTGAAAAAAACACAACTTTTACACGATGATGACAAATGTGATTATATTTGTCATATCAATAAAATGGGTAAAGCGCACAGTGGCAATTGCAACGGCTGTACACGCTTCTTTAATCCCTAAACAATGCGTGCTTTACCATCATGTTATGACAGTTCAATGCGTTGTAATGCAAGTCAGACAAAATATTGTAGAACGAGTAACGGAAGGAAGAAGGTTTACAACAGGGTAATTGATCCAAATGATGCTGGCGGATACTTAACGCTGTTATAGCTTGCAATTCTGGTTTATTGCGTTACAGAAACGAGCTTGATTCATATTTATTTATAGACGATACGGCATCTCTACTTTCATCATATCACGCACGATTTTTTTCTGATCTAAAGGGTATAAATACAGAGCAAATAGTTTTGGTTTTCTCATCAATCACCACATTGTTCATATCTATAACATGCAAATCTCATTCATCAGTGCTGCTCTTTTAGCAACTGCTGGCCAGTTGGTCTTTGCCATGCCTGCACCTCAAACTGCCAATATCACTGTTCCTACTAACACTGATTCAGAGACTGCTGCCAATATCACTCTTCCTACTCACACTCAAAACGGCTGGGCCCCTCAAATCTCTCCTGTGTTCTCCAACTTGAATGTATCCAAAGATGCTCTCACCAAGTACAACGATGGTCCTCTTGATGTCAATTCCACTTTATCAAGAGAAACGTTAGACCTCAGCTCGTATCCAGGCGCCTGGGAAAAGCCAGACCCCAAGCATCCCGAAGTTCAGGCAATTATCAAGCAAATCAACTGGGACCTTGTTCCCAAGTATAAGGTTCGTAAGGTCAAGAATTACGATCTGGTCTTTGATGGTTATGATGAAGACGCTGATCCAGATTGTTGGTGGTCCGCCAACATGTGTACTGAGCCAAAGGTCAAGTATTTGCCTCCTGATCTGTACGCTTGTCCTACTAAGGGTGATTGGGGTCTCACTTACGATGATGGACCATTCAACCTTCTTGATGAAGATGACGATGATGCCAAGACTGAAAACCCCTATGCAGAGCCTAGATTATACAACTTTTTAGCAAAGGAAGACTTGAAGGCTACCCTCTTCTATATTGGCTCCAATGTGATGACATACCCTGCTGCTGCTCGTCGTGCTCTCTCTGATGGCCATACTCTCTGCTCTCACACATGGTCACATCCTCCCATGACAACTCAAACGAACGAGCAAGTTGTTGCTGAGCTCTATTGGACTCTGAAGGCTATCAAGGAAGCTACTGGTGTTACAGTCAAGTGCTGGAGACCTCCTCAAGGTGATGTTGATGACCGTGTTCGTGCTATTGCTCATCAGATGGGTATGAGAACTGTGCTATGGAACCGTGATACCGTAAGTTGTATTATCAGTAGCTTACCACATTCATTTACTGATTTCTTGTCGTCTGTTATATAGAATGATTGGGACATGCCAGCTCCAGGTGGAGGAAAATTGCCTCCAGCAAAAGTAGACGGTTATTTCAGATCCTGGCTGGAGCAAGAGAAGGCTGGCAAGAATAAGGAAGGTGTCTTGGTGCTGGAGCATGAGCTGAATCATGCCACTGTAAACATGACTGAAGCATGGTTGCCAACTGTCAAAAAGACATTCAATGTTGTGTCTGCCATGACCTGTAACAATGTGTTACAACCTTACTGGGAAACCGATTTTAAATATCCTGCCATCCATAACAGCACCACCTCCAATTAGTTGTGTTGATTCATTTTGCCTCTTCTTAATTAGATTCTCCATTGTACCATATCGTCGCCATTTTACTTTTCTAATAGAAATAAATCGCTTTTTAAAATCAGCGGCCATTTTGCACTGTCTTGCAAGACACAACCCTTTCTAAATTAAACTGCAATTTCAATCTAAATGCTGAGAATAGCTTTCCAATATAACTGTGTCGTGTACTAGATGTTGAGGGAATGAGTTTGCGAGCAGCCAGCAGGCACCAAACCTAAACTTAAAATCAGATAATCCAACTGCTCCAGATTGGCTAAATTGTAACCAAAATCGACTTGATTTATTTATTTTGCTACATTCGACTATATGAAATGTGGTGATCGTCCCAACCTCCCTTAAGCAGATTATATTGGCTCTAGGTGCCACACCTTATTAGTAGTAGATTTCTTTCCCAACTTAGTTCAAAAATATCTTATTCCCCTTCATTGCAGACATTGGGTCCACCAACAGTCTTTTCTATCACTCAGTATGACATTTAAAGGACTTTAAATAAACCTGGAGCTCGTCTCCCCTACAAAAAAAAAACCTCCCTTAAGCTTCCTTGGACTACTTTCCAAGGCGCATCTTATGGTTCCAATTATAATAGGTATTAAGAATTAGCTACTTGAGCAATTTCTAAAAATATGGAAAACGGTTTTGTGCCAAAATGTCGAGATTTACGTATAAGGGTCTCACAAACAAAGTTTTAGGGGTTGCCTCGGATCGAGAGAAACATTTTGATGTAATATATACCTTAGTAAAAGTCTTCATTTTGGAGGCCAAAATCGTGATCGTTTGATTTTTGATGAAAACTTTTTTTTTTTTTTTTTTTTTTTTTTTTTTGGATGATATTATTTTATTGATAGTAATTAGAAATAAAACAAATGCATCAAAGAGATGGACAAGTGTATGGAGACAAAGTGACTTGCCATATATAAATCTTGAATAATAAACTAATGGGAGAGTTGCCTAAGATTTGACAATCTTAATGATTTTTGATGAAAACCATGAGGTATCCCTCATGGTTTGGAGATGATTTTCGGCCATGTTTTTCAGGTCTCAAAAAAGTTGAGCAAAGGTGTCAGTAAGTTAATGCTGGATGAGACCAATTGTTTGGTGCCGTTCTTGAGGTCGAAAACGGATTCTGACGCGAGAAAACACGGCTCAAATATACCCAGATTTCGCTGTGAAGTGCATAACTATGAGTAGTAGGTGATGATACAAGTATGTTGTCTGCCCCTATATGGTCGCTCTCGAGTGTATAGACGTGAAGCTCTCTCCCCACTCCTCCCTGAGAAGTGTCCAATCTTCAGTTACAGGTAGTTTATTCAGAATTCTTGCATGATGATTCCAAGTAAAAAGGGGGCATTTCGCATATATTAATAGGAAGACTTGGATGCATCAATCAAACCTCTTATTTAAGGATAAACCTTCAAGTATCGGTTACGGCTAAATGTCGCTCTCATAAATGCAGTAGGATTTAAATATAGAACAGCTCATCACCGCTTCAGTTTTTACATCAAAATCAAGACTAAGTTGTATTCAAATCGCAGCGTCAGTCATAGTGACAACATCTGTTTTTATGGTGTCATATACTTTATGTGATTTTCTAAAGATGCAAACCACGGCCGAACTCGCGCATAGATAGGTATTTAGCATTTAGATGGATCATAACATTTAATTCCAAGGCTATGCAATAGTTGCTCCTGTAAACAGCGCATGTTTATAGCTGACTTGATTGTTATTATTTCAAAGCGGCTCTATGTAACTCAAAAAAGCACACGCTACAAAATCAGGTATCAAATGTTTTGTCTCCGCAATCAGGGCAAGGATTTCGATTTAGCGATTGGGCTATTGCTACATATAATAGTGCAATGAAACTCGAGTCTGTGAGAAATCCGATGAGGAGTTGCTCCAAACTTGACATATTTTGTTTGCGTTGCATGTCTTATTGATCACAATGTTAATCTGAAAGCTCACATACATTGAATTATCATTATGAGAGCTTTAATTCAGCGATTTTGCCACCAAGAAAATCAAATGTGTGAAAGAAGTCGGTCTTTCTTGCTCAACTAATTATGTGGGATGAGCTTCTCTCCAAACAACGCTGTATGTCTTCATAAAAATAACAAAAAGAGTATGCAGTGTTTGTTCAATGTGAATCCGGCTTTACGCGACGAGACTAAATGTATATCAACAGTATAAAACCTAAGCAAGCTATACAGATATCCAACCTATCAGTAACGGTACACTCTTTGTGGTATTCTACCACAACTTTAATCAAATGTCTACTGCAGCATCATTTCAAATGTAATTTAATTATAGACATGAACTCATTTCTCTTAGGCAACGCGCTGGGAGATCATGCCAAATCGCTCTACGCGCAAACTTCAATGAGCTGCTTCTATTACAATTAAAAAGTGTTGATTTAAGTCTGAATGAAGAATCTTTACCTAAACAGCGATGTGATTAGTAAGAGCAAATGCTTCGAGAAAAACCTTGATTATTCACAAGGTAGACATTTATGCGTTCACAAAACTGAGAGAAGCAGAAATAAATCTATTTTTAAAATCCTAAACTTCCACGCTTGTGCCATGTTGCACTCACAACACCCATCCTTCCGATTGAATTATTAAACTTTCATTTTGTGGGTGGTACAATGGCCTTGTACACAATCAAATACATGTCATACAATGGAACATTGCTGTGGTTCAATACTCAGCTGAATGCCATTTTGCAAAAGAGACAGTAGCAATATAGCAATGGAAGAGAGAAAACTCGCAATTTACCAGGCTTTAGATTATACTATTATTTTTAGATTGATAGACAGCATGGGTATAGAATGTCTTTTTGTGTAATTCAGATCTATACAGTGATATTCATCAAATGACATGTAGATATTTATAACTCGCAATATGGCTGAATCGTATTTTAGTTCGCATGATTTAGGAGAGTGATCTTGAGGTTCCCTGACTTTTCGATCTCTCCAAATAGGTATTAGTCTTTCAATTTCTTCATAGTCAAAGCTGCAATCTGACGAATTAAGAAGATTTTGCCCGTATCATCTGCCCAGGGTGTCGCACAACTCGGGCAGACAGCAGCTTATCCAAAACACCACGCATTCCTAGAATAGTTTTTGCCCTTTTCTTGCTTTCTCTGTGGTCAGTGAATGCGTACCGAAATATCATAAATTCTTGAATGCAAATCACAAGCAAAGAGCTGGAATCCGGCGATGAATTAAGCGGAACTTGACGAGTGAGTTGTATGTTGAGCAGCCTTTGTATAGCCAACTTTTACAGTGTATAATGAACGCGCTTTATTTATGAAAAAAGAGGGAAGGAGGCATACAATGAGTTTTTATATATATATATATTTATAAGGCATGATGAAATTGAAGGGCATAATGTATAAAGGAAGGAATTATCTATGATCTTTAGGAATATGTATAATGAAAAAGAAAAAATGTGTGCATATGTATACATGTAAACTAACCGTTACGACTTACTACCGCTTCCGCTACCACTCCCACTCCCACTCCCACTACCGCGTTTTGTCACTGATGATGTACGACGACGGCTCTTTAGATTGAGTAATAGCACACCAGTAGTTGGATATGTGTTTGGTGGTGGTGTAGGTTCTGGAGATGGCTTTCGTCTCGTAGTCTGATATGGAGATGAGGATCGGCGCAATTTAGCTCTAAGTGCTTCCATCACCTTGTCATGGTCTAATGGCTGTGGTGGAGGCGCGGGTGGTGCTGAAGGAGAGGAGCCAGATTTCTTGTTCATATTCAAATCATCAAGGCTCATGACGCTTTCATAAGAGAGAGTTCTGTGCATATTAGCTGATCTTCCGGATTTGGATCTATTTTGCTGTGAATGAGAGGGAGGAGGAGGAGGAGATAAAGAGGAAGAGGAGACTGCAGGAGTAGTTGCGGGCACAGGGCTTTGACTGGGTGATTTTGTCGAGCGGTGGAGTTTCTGGCTGCTGGTATTACTAGGAAGTGTGTGTGATGGAATGATAGGGGCCGGTGTCAGTGTTGTTGTGGTATTGGAGCAAGGAAAGAGAGGTAGATCATCCATGTCAGGAGGAGAGCAAGACATGCTCTGGGGTCGCTGATGTTGATACATGTCAAATGCCGAAGGAGAAAGTAGATCTATGGAAGGAGAGGAGGAAGCGACACTGACAGCTTCTTGAGGATATTGATGCTGCATGAACGCGTACTCAGATATAGATGTGCCAGGTAATGGAGGCACGTCCAGCCTTGCCTGCAAGGAATTCGGTAGACCAGATGAGGAGAATTGCATTGGCTGATCTGATGCTTGCTGGTCAAAGTATAATGGATCAAACATGGTGGCATCGTTTTGCTGATGATGCATCAGAAAATTGTCTATTTTAAGCCATGAAATTAATGAGCAGACCCTTCCACGATACCAATTGACAGCACAGATCTTACCTAATGATTGACTGATATCATTGTCGCTATTGCTACCCTCCTGACGTTGATTCAATTCGAATTCAATGTATTTGGATTGCAAACGAGCCTCTTCTGCTTGGCGCCATTCCTCCGCCGTTCTTCTCTGTATGCACTACATGAGCTATTCATTCTACCACTCATACACACTACCAGTACTCACCTTGTCCTCCTCTGCCTTTGCTGCTAGTATGTGATTCAGCAATTGCGAATTGTCTTGATATTTCACCAGCAATTCACCCACCGAGATGTCACTCAGATTGCTCGTCTGGATTGCATTTTGATAGAACGATTGATTTTGATCATCTGCAGCAATGCTAGAATTTGTTGAATTACAAGCATCACTTGGCTGTTTCGGAGGCATGTTTAATACAGTTTTTATTTATCTTTCTTCAAATGCTGAATGATAGCATAAATGCAAATGTCGCTTGATTTTTCTTGCTCTTATTTTTAAACTTCGCCTCCCTTTTTTTTCGGTGGAGGTTCTCTTTTCAGATGCAAAAAAAAAAGAAGAAAAATCAATTGATGTGTAGAATTTAATGGAAAGGAGGAAAAGGAAAGGGAAATATCAAAAAACTTGTTGCTTATATAAAATAAAGAAAAAAAAAGGTTTAAAAATAAAAATCGGTAGCTTAAGTCGGTGCATTAAACCCAAATACATCATCATATGCCTAAAATGTTGTATGTAGAACAAAAGGGTTTAAATTCCCCGCATGTAGAAGTTTTATGATATCAATTGAGTGTGCGTGTGTGAGGGAAAGGGGTGAAGAGAAAATAAAATGCAAGTTATTTGTGTGTAATATAAAATTGATAGACGTAATATTGAAAACCACGTTTTGTGTGGCAGCCCAAAAAGTCAGGCACAGAATAAAATGTATGGGTTAAAAATAAATCTGCATCAGAATTTGGATCTACCACTAATATCTCTTTGTGTACCTTGATCTTTCAACATTTGCTCGAGCAAACCGAGTGATGGGAAATGTAGTTGCTATCATGGAATGCCAATTGAATGATTGCTTGTATTTTGGTTGCAGTTCTCGGTGCAAGCCCAATGCGGCATGAGTTGCTGGGAATGATTGTACGTGCGCACTATGAGAGTGCCGTCTTGATTGAGTATAATATTATCTCCTTATTGACTGACAGCGCAATCACGATAATAAGAAACCCTCGCGCTATAAAGAAAATTTATGCTGCCATTGATACTAGTTTAGCATCTAAAAATAACTCCTGTATCTTAAATTTCGCAATGCATGAGTTTTAAATTACCAATGCTCCATCACGATTGATTCAAGCGAATTGAACCCTGGTAGCCACGGCAGCCGCCTTTCAATTATATTATGAATATGACCTTTGGCTGATAAACGTTGTTGGATGCAATTGCAACTTAAAATGTAATGGCAAATGTATAAGAAACAAACTTTAGTAAACACAAACAACATCAGTACCAACAAGGTTTTTTTTTTTTTTTTTTTTTTTTTTTTTCGCAGATTGGATTTCTTTATTTTTAGCAAAACACTCTTTTTTTAGAGACCTAATGTTCTGCTTAAAGAAAACTTCTTGCAACTATTGTTAGATTGAACACACACATAAATAACATCGGAAATGAACATTTGTATTTTATCTGTTATACAGGCTGCTTTTACTCGATGAAAAGTTGTATAGTGGAGCACTAGATCCAAGCAGAAAATGTGAAATCCAGACAAATGCTGCTTACACCGGGTAATCTGTTACAAATCCACCGTTTGAATTACGTTTGACTCGCGTAATCGTGATAGACATCCTCAAGTCGGTTTCAAAATTGTCTAAATCGCTTCAAAAACGGTAGCTTCATTATAGTAATATTGAACGTGTTGACAATGTTTAAAAATAACTGTGGCCAGGAAGAATCCCTGAATGCAGCAAATACGAGAAAACACAAACATTGTGCGCGTATGACGAAATATTACAGTTTATCGTAATTTATAAGCCCAAAAAGCTTAAATTACAGTTTTAGATAGGATGATTTTAAAGGATTGGGGGATGTAGCACATACAATTTTAATTTATTGCAATCACACACACTCACACTATTTAGATCTTTGGATCTATATTTATACATCCATTGCCCAACAAGTTGCATTTTTCACTCGGCAGGTGGGATCATCCCTGGAATCAAGTATTGCTGGATGCAAGCCATAGCTCCCATGATACAGCACATACCGACAGAGTGTATTAATGTGCGTCTCAGAATTTGCCCTTCTTTGCCTTGTAAGCCAATGGTAGAGACACCAGTAGTCAAGTTTTGAGGAGACACCATTTTGCTCGTAATGGCACCGGCAGAATTGGTAGCAGCCATCAATACAGTTGAGAGTCCAATCTCCCTGGCAGCCACCACTTGCAAATTACCAAACAATGAATTAGCTGATGTATCGCTGCCTGAGAGAAAGCATGCAATCCAGCCTAGCCATGCTGACAAAAACGGAAATGCACGACCCACAGATGACAGTTGGTAACCAATTGTATAAACGATACCTATATTTACATGCTTGTATTAATAGATTGTATGTATGATATTTATACTTTTTTAGTACCTGAATAATTTAAAAGGTACGCAAATGCCATTATGAATGAAACTGTGACAACGGGTCTGTAGAGTTGCACAGCGGTATCCTTTAAAGCCTTAGGGAATATTCGGGGATGAACTCCATGAAGCATAACCAGAGCTGAAAATGGTATGGTAGATACTAAAATAGCGGTTCCTGTGGCCAAGGGTTGGAAGCCCCAGATGGCATCGTACTTCTTCCCATACAGCGTAAGCCAAACCTTTGCATGTTGAGTTGCCATACTTAGTTTTTTTCTGGTTTACTGGTTTGTGATCCATGAAATCAGTCCTACCTTTTCATGCAGATGAGGCCATTGAACATTAATCTGACCTACATGCGACACTTTTGCAAAAGACCATCTGGTGAATACATGTCAGCTAAGCTCGATATAACCTTGTTTTTCACGCTTACATCATTACAACAATGACTACAGTGATCCATGGCGCCCATGCCAAAACTGTTTCTCTCCAGGTCAATTTCTCCATACTACCCAGCTCTTGTCTTGTTTCTGCGGTATCTATAACTTGGGATTCTGTCGCATTTTGATGAGTAATACCACCATCTTTCTTTGCTGATATAACATCCACAGATGATGATGAAAAGTCAGTAGAGGACGCTGTGGATTCCTGATGTTCCACCATCATTTTCCCCTTTTTTGGGCTTGCTGGGTCGTCAAAATGCTCTCTGCTGCCGTCGACTGAAGTTGTCGTCATTGAGGAGTCGTTGGCGAGTAAAAAGTCCATATTGGCTTCGTATTCTCGTCGATAAGGTGGTTTCCAGTACTGTACAAACCCCATTACGGAAATTAAGGACACCAAGCCAGCTATCACATCTGGTAATTCTGGACCCACCCAATTTGCAAACACTGCTTGTACAATGGCAAAGACGAAGCCTGCCACAAGTGCCACGGGCCAACATTCAACAAGTCCAGCTTTGAATCCAGCGAAAATTGATAATACATATCCAGGTAAAAGTACACTGATAAATGGTAATTGACGACCCATCATGGCCGACAGCGACATGACAGGCAGTCCAGTTAGGGATGCAAGTGTTGTTACTGGAATACCTAAACTGCCAAATGCCACAGGCGTTGTGTTGAATAACAGGGTATATACAATCGCATCGAACGGATCAAAACTATTCATTAATTCTTTTTTGTTCAGCCAAGACACATTAAATAGATACCTGAATAACTTACCCCAAGGATACCAACATGGACGAGCAAATGGCACCAGGCACGCCAAACCCTGCTACACCTAATTCTTGATGTTATTTCAACGAGCATCTCTTCCTAACTATGAAACAAAAACCTTCTAGTAAAGATCCAAAGCAAAATGATATAATCAGCAGGATGATTCTCTTATCAGGAGGTGTGTTGGTCATCATCCATTTTCGAAATAAATGAAAGGCTCCAGATCGAATTGTAATGTTATACAAGTACCTAAAGAATGTGTTTATATCGCCTACCCAGCGTGTCTAATAATGCAACCTTACATTGCATTCACCACAACCCACATAATGGGCCAAAGTGCGTAAACAATGCCATTTCCAATTGCTTCAAATGCTTGCTGAGCTGGCATATGCCAACCAAAGATAGCGATGAATATACTAACCAGCATGAGCATCCATGAACCAAACGAAATGCATTTCCACTACCTTACCAAGTGAAGAGTCCACTTGCTGCCGCACCATAAGCAGGTACACGGAATATACCTAGCAGTGCGAGCACAACGATCAACGGTATGATGCCCACAAAGAACGACCCAATGAGACTATCGCCAATAGGGGTTAATGGTTGTATGAAAATGCCTTCCTTTATAACTGAATCTGGCGGTGGGATACCTAATGCCATTTTATTGTAGTTAGTGTATGAAAAGTATAAAAGAAAAAAGCAAATGAAGAATAAAAGAGAAAAAAGAAGAAAGAAAAGGAGAATTGTCTTTATCGTACATAATCTGCTGAAAATGCAATAGTAGCTCATAATTTGCTTTTATGCATTAATTTTCAGAGGCATCATCATGCATAAATCTATAACACATGTACATAGGTACATCAAATGATGAGCCTCGTTCTATGCTGCTGCCTCTTGCACCTTGTACTTTTGTTATTAAAAGCATTAGAACATTCTATTTGAAATGACTCAAGACTTTGTACGAAGGGGGGGGGTGCTTTTGTATTGTTTATTGGTAATGCAGATCTCATGTACTTTGTGCATGAGTACAGCATAGTGTATCAAGATGAACAAATATTCAATCAAAATCAAGCTCTATCAAGCTATGGATATATAGTGTGTAAGGCAGATACCATCCTTTATTAGGTCAACACGAGACACGTATTTTCTGTATGGCCTTTCTGTAATCCAAATGTGCACGCACTTGGCTCTTTACAATGAAAGCTATCGGATACTTCAAGTGCTAAGCCGTTGTTCCTCTGCCCATTTGAAGGAGTTGCTAAAGGTATAAAGGGAGTTCATTCACTACATTGGTTGTCAAACAATTAAGCAAGTAAAGCGTAGGGTAATCAATAAACACAAACCAGTATTTCGACGCCATAAGCTGCACAACTGCCAACTCAACCAGGCTTCTTGTCTATTAACTTATTTTTGATTTCCTGTGTTTACTTTACAGAGTGAGACCTCGTTCAGGCGCCTACCATACTTTCAAAAATTAAGTTTTCAACACCCCAAATTACAGTGCTTTTACAGTGGCAAAAAGACGTTTTTCCTTAATAACAGCACATGAAAGCCTATGTGGTGCTCAAGTCTATGATATAAATGAACAGTGAGCATTGACTAATGCTGGCATACAAGAAGAAATTTATATGCGCCACGGTGGCAAAAGTCAGCCTTGAGCGATCGTTTTTTCAACAATTTAAGCTGGGGCTGATGATCTACTGGTGCGCACGGCAGATCTATGGAAACGAGCGATGCAGCTTCGAGTAAGACCTCAAACGATAGCTAATTCTTGGCTCCACACAATGAGCAATACTTTAACTTTATGTGGTGCGGATTCAGTACAACATATCCCCCTTATTGATTCTCGAGACTATACAATAAAATAATAAGCTTCGTTGTGTACAAGCTATATAGTATTGTTGTAAATGTCTGAAAGTACGTGAGAATGGATATAAGCTTATTTCAGTAAAATCAGATGGAGAGAAAAGGGAAGGGTGAATGTCTACTGCTATTTATATGTATGATTTATGGATTGCTTACACACCCGTCTAGAATGGTGTTCTCAAGCTAAGTTTTAGTGTCAATCATCACTTTTGCTAAATGGTAAATATTTCAGATATAGATGATCAGTCTAAATATCTTTAGTTGCTCTTGGCAACGTTAATTACTTACATTCCTTATCTGCTATTTTTTGACACATAGAGAATAGCTTACTGAAACTTAGCTTATGTGAATATCATGGTTATCGTTTACATGTTGATACAGCTTATTTACATATGCTCCATATGTGCATAGTTTATTACTGAATTCAATCTACGATATTGAGATTCAGGAGCAGTTAGATGTGTGAATACAACAATATCTACCCATCAAGAATACCTTAATCTTTATAGACAGTTGTAGCCCTTCTGGCACCACAACAGGTTTCGTTTGGTGCACATGCATCTTAATTCTTTACCAAGTTACGTGGCTAATATATCTCTATTATTTGGAATAGTTTGACAAGTTTTTTGCCTGAAAGTCGTAAAATACAAAATTTCCGGGAAAATCAGGAAGAGAATGCATATTTGGGGCTTGAAACTCTTAAATCACGGAAGACCCCAAGTAAAAAAGCTATTAGTTGGTTGTTTGTTTTATCTGAATTTGATGCGCCTTTCCCAAGATATGACCAAAAATGCCGTCCTTCAGCATCATCGATTTTCGGCCCAAATTTATCTGTTCGAGAGCAGGGCAAAATTTTGAGTGGCAGTTTTTTTGGAGGTGCAAAATTGTTGATTTCTGATGATAAAATCATGCTAGAGCATTTGAATCAGGGTTTATTCGATAGGGATGCTTTTTCTCTACAATATTAACTACTGCTTTTTCTAGTAGTAGGACGTGTTTAAATGTGCGGCTACTGCTGATGAGTAATGCCGGAAAATAGTCAGGATGATTGATTTTCAAAGGGCCATACTACTGGATTTTACTAAGTGAACGAGAGTTTCAAGCTTAATAGCTTCTGTTTCTTTTTTAATTCTCTATATAATGGTATGGTTATTATAGATAAATAAAGAAATTTTGAATATCCCCTGCTTGTAGCTCAAGCATTATAAGATTTTGGGCAAATTTAAGAAGGGAAGATACACCACCTGGTACCTAAAATTCTTACATTATAATGGATATAGCGTAAAGCTATCGAATGGTCTTTGTTTTGTGCGAATCCAGTGAGTATTTGTCGAGATATAATAAAAAAGGGTATAATGCAAAATCATCGATTTTTCTTCAAAATCTACGTGTGATAGCAAGCAAAAAAATTGGGTGACCTTTTTTTGGTCAGAGCAATATTGTCAATATCTCATGATAGAGTTATGCCAGAGCTTCAAGCAATAGCTCATTTGATAGGGAATTGTTTAGTCTACAATGTTTAGTAATGCTTAATAAGATGTTTTGATGACAGATACTGATTAATCTTTAAAAAAAAGTTAGAAAATTGCAAGAATTATCCCACCAAATATCAGTTGAACAATGTACACCGGAGACTTGATATAGATATCATTGCATTTTCCTTTGAATTCTCTACCAGTTTCATATAAGTTTGAAGGGGTGGTTGCTATCAAGAAATGCGTACTTTTATAATCGATAGATTTCGGAATCCCATGGATCATCATTCAGAACTGTGGAATACATCCACTATGATCTGCATTCCGACAGTTCATCCAGTTACCAGATTTAGATATAAACTGTATGTACGCTGGATTAGATGTACGATATCGATTTATACTATAAGAAGATATGGACTTCAGATACGCTAGTACTATAAGATTCATACTATATAAGATATAGGCTATAGATGGCACCACGGACATGGATGGCACTATAGACTTATACTTGTATTCCGACATTGACTACGGATGTTTACCATATCTGGATAGGCACCAAGATTAATGCAATATGAGCTTGTTGCTTCAGATGTGCACTTCATGATCCACGCTATAAGACACATGCTTATATCCGTGATACTAGCTACAGATACTTTATGTACTACAGACTTGTACTATATATGAGACATGCTATAGACATGCATACGATATGCTATAGACATGCCATATATCCAGATACATGCTAAAGATGTATGCTTAGCGATATACACTCAGATATGTACTATTAATATAGACTAAGAAGACTGTACCTATCGGATACATGCTACTAGATCGATATTAATTATCCTTATGGAAAGGATAGATCAGGGTACTTCGGATGAGAGTCTAATTATTCATCCAGACAGAGCTAAATCATGATTAGCTTGCTGGAGTTGTCTTTTAGCATGATTAGACATTAGTTGATCTGAGTTGACTTATTTGTCAATCTAATTAATAGAACTTTTATCCATTGTTATAGTATATAAGAAGGATCATCTACCTGGCCAGTAGAGAGACTTCAGTTTACTTTACACCTGTCAGTTTGATAATAAAATATACCTTTATCAAGTTGACATTACTGTTTTTTTATTCTTTTTTTTCCGTGAATTTTAGTCTGTAAAGCCTCAAATTCCACAAGAACAATAAAAATTAAATCTCTGTTGAGCTTTCGCATGTGTACACCACACATGTATGCATTTGGCCAAGCATTTTAGAAATCGGAGCGTACAAAAAGGGCCATATTAACTTGTTAGTTTTAAGTTATCAATGGATACCTGACATGTTGAAAAATCTTGTTGTTAAGACTAGACAACTGTAGCTTGCTTTATTTAAGAATAATAACTTTTCCAATTTAAAGTATGTATATTCCCCCGCTTAAAAATAGCATCTCCAATGTTGATTATCTCATGAAGTATGCATTTTCAATATAATGTTCCCACTAAGAACTTGCTCCAATATCATTATTCTGCAATATATTTAAGTTTAACGAGATTCTAATCTTTTTACCTATGAAGAACTGGTGTACAAAATGTTTTTTGATTTTGAGGTTTTCAACCTTTGGACGTTCGAACTTCCATTTTTAAAAAATTGATGCTAAAGCTTTAAAAGTAACAAAGTTCTATGATAGTTTTATGCGTAGAAAATGATGGTTCAATTGGATTTTAGATCGGATGCGGTGATAATAAGAAATCTGAGATTTGAAAAATTTGCAAATTTTGGACAGGTGCTGTTAGTAAAACTTCTTGGTTAGTATATACGGTATCATTTAGAAACTACGTTCCATACAGTGCAAAACATTTGGTTCATCAAACAAAATTGTAATTTACTTACTTCTTTAGCAACAAAACCTAGTACGCCTTATTTTTAGGCCAGATTCTGTTCAAATCTAGCCATTTTGAAGCACGAATAACTCAAGCTACAAAGCGTTGTAGACGCTTGGAATAGGACCAAATCACCCTTCTTTGATACGCTTTACTTACTGATGCTTTATCTCTTTTTTTTTGGGTCATTGCAAATTCATGAAAATTCTCATATTTTCATGAGTATTAGCAAGGCAAAATTCTTGAAAATCAAATGATCGCGTTTTTTACCCCAAAAATGAAGACTTTTTCTATGATACATATTAGATCAAATTGATCGTAAAAATGGAATACAGCACTGGGAACTGTTTCTATGAGACTTTCATATGCTAGATTTTGACATATTCACAGAAAACCTATTTTCATATTTTTGGAAATTGCTCATTATTTTTGGTCTGAAAGCTGAAAGTAATCAGCACCATTCGATGCGGCTTTTTTAGTCCTCTAGAGATGTATTAGAAAGTTGGGTGTGACAACGATAGTTTTCATAGTCGAATTTAGCAAAAACGTTCGAAGGATATTGTTGTGCCAGAAGGGCTTCAACTGTCTATAAAGATTAAGGTATTCTTGATGGGTAGATATGTCTGTGTTGTGCAACAACATGGACAAGCTATGATAAGTGAAGTGCATCTCAGCTATCTAAATACTGAGGTTCACCAGATGTGATAAGCGTTGTACAAGATAAATTGCTACTTTGGCATTCAGAACTTAGTATAAATAGAATAACTCTTGTCTTCATCAATAAATCTTTAGTTTTTGTGTCTGATCTTATTCAAATAAGTCTTTTCTTGTTTTTATAATATTGAACATTTTTTATAAGCTACAAATAATAATCCTTTTATTCTTTGTGCTTAACAGATATGAAATCAAGTCAAGTTTGAACACGAAAATACCCACTGCACAATTTCAAATTAAATTACCGCAATTAGGGCTGCTACGGTACAATACTGAGGCTAAATCTACAGGCGGTGACGTCGGATAGGGTGCCCTCTCATTATTCCATAAACCCGTTTTTTTTCCCTTTTTGCGAAACGCGTTCAGCATCAAACCATGGTCGTTTTGGAAACTGTTTGATTGACATTAACACTCTAGCTTCCGATAACTCTGTCTTGTACCGTTGGAAGAACTTGATACTGCTTTTTTGACGTGGAATATGCTAGGTACCATTCGATCACGAGCACTAAAACGCGTAGAATTAACACTGATTGAATTTGTTTATTAGGCTTTGATAATTCTTTTTGTTTGTTTGACGTGGATGCTGCTGCTGCCATTGCTTCTCTGCTTTCTCTGCTGTCTGCTTGTTTGGTTTATCATTTCTGGTGGTTGCTTCTTTGGTCTTTGTTTGGTCTCTGGTGTCGTTCATTCTTTGATTTTTCTATGGTGCTGGTGTTGCTGCCGCTAATCTGGTCTTTCCTGGTCTACTGTGTTTGGTGCATGCTTGTTCTCTGTTCTGTCTCCAGTGATTGCCTACACTCGTATGGTCTATTTATGGTGGTGATAAGTGGTAAGTAACTTCTTTGGCGTTTGTCTGCTCTCTGCTGATGGCGTTCGTTCTTTAGTTTGTCTATGGTACTAATGTTGCTGCTGCTAATCTGGCCTCTTCTGGTATAATACTGTATTTGGTGCATGCTCGTTCTTTGGTTCATACCCGATGATAGCGTAATATCTGGTCTATCTGTGGCTGTGGTAAGTGGTAAGTATTATCTTCTTTCTTCTGGTCGCAATGATATAAAACTTCGCTGAACGCTTATATCATTGCTTCCTTTTTCGTGATAATGCATTCATGATGTTTGCCTTGCTGCGCTTTTTTCTTTTTTTTTCTTTTGCTGGTGGTGCTTCCTCTGTGGCTTCACATGAAAGAACATTAGTCATTATGTTATATTGCAAACTTATAATCCCACTGTTGCTTTTGCAGTTGTGTGCGTTTGTTTTGCTTTACATCCGACTATTACTGCCATGCATGATGCTCATATATGCATTTTTGTTGCAACAACAACGAGCTGTTGTGAACATCTTTGATTTTGTATTTGTTATGCTTTTCTTTGACTCATTGCGTGTGAGTATCCTTCTTTTTTCTTTGCCTACATATACTACTATACTCCTATAGTATTGTAGCATGTTCTTTTCTCCATTCTTTTTATATTATTATGTTTCTTTGAAGCATACCTTTTTTTACGTTGTGGTGAATGTGCCTATCGCTGAAGCTCAACAAGACTTTATCCGAGACTAGGAGGTGGATAGGCTGCCTCCACTTGGTTATCGCTACTTACTTTAGTGACGATTGAGGGTCTCAATGCCTGAATTTAAAGCTAGGTGGTGTAAGTAAGGCATGCTCTAGCACTTGGGGAAAGTTTGATGATAGCAGCGGCTATATTGCTATTATAGCGGCGCTTAAAATTTTGCCTCACATCAAAACAGGGGGAAACCCTCGCAAATTTTTTTTAGGTCAGCGGAGTTTTGAAGCAATTTGATTGGCTCAGAGGTTGAGACAGCGAAGGGCTACAACTAATTGATTTCCTGTTGATTTGTCATTTAGTATGATTTTGTTCCTGTAATAAAACGATATTATCTTAACGGATAACATTTAAATTTTTCTTTGTTCAATAGTGCCGTAAGGTAGAGTTGTTTGATCTGGCGTCTAAGGTATTACACAGTTTGATGTAAGGGGTGTCTTTTAAATTTATTATTTAAGGGGAGTTATATAAGTACTTCTTCAGCGCAGTGCTGTTTACGTTGTTGCCACAACAATGCTATGTCAAAATACAATGTAAAATTGAATCTGCCAAAGAACGATTGCGTTTTTATTGAGAATGCATCCAGAGGATGCATTTATATACTTTTCATTACGCTATAGCTTACAGCATGATGATGAACGATAATACAAGTAGGCTTACTATCTATCCAACAAATGATTTGTAAATCACGATTAGCATGATTTACCCAAAGGACCCAAGAATAACCCAGAAGTCTTAGTGTGAGACCTTGCCAGAACATTTGACATAACAAAAAACGGTGTTTATTCAGGGTAGTTGCAAGAGCAACTGCTCCAATGCTGCTGAATTGAGTAGAGAGCCCTGATTCACCATAAATAACTTAATAATAGTAGTTAACAAGACCATGAATTTACTCATGTCAAGAAAATCGTTTATTATATTATTGGGAAATCATAAGACGGCTTATATACTATTCGAATTAAAGAAGGTAATGTGAAGATAAGGTATAAAATGTGGTGGCCAGGGTGATAGGGGTGCTAGATACAATTTATTATCTTAAACAAGAACACCAACATCATCGACTAAATTTATCGGTTGCATTTGATTCATTGTTCATTCAATGAATTATGGAATCACCAAACCAGAATAATATAGCTTTGAAGCATGATGATTCACTTACTTTCTGATAAACAAAATCATTTATTCACAAAATTATGTATGTTGTAAAGAAGGGGGATATGCTGCAATATTTAGAATGCAAAAAAAAGCAATAACAAAAGGTCTATATATGAATGCTATTAATTAAAGATTGAATTTGTACATGTGTAATAAAGTAACTATATAAATAAAGCAGGCTTATCTTCTGCCCTTTCTCTTCCAATAAACAAGGCCTAAAAAGACAATGATATTGAAGATAAAGAAAGCAAACAAAATACCAAAGTTACGCCATTTGTTGGCGGCACTCCATCCCATGTTGCCCTCGTAAAATTCAGGGCCTGATTTGTAGGTACAGTAGCCGCATTGTTCAGGTTGAACAGCATCAGGATTGGCGATATAGCCAGGAGCACCATTTGCAAAGAAATCAGCGGTGTATTGACCACAAGTTTGGCCTTCAGGAACTGAAAAGCGCAACAAATCGCCATCTGTACAGACAATCTTCAAGTTTTCAAGTTCATTCACAGTAAGACCTTCAATATAGTAATGGAAAGGATCCAACCAGTACATCCAAGAACTCCAGAACTTAGGCATAGCCTTAGGAGATTGCATCAAACCACAGAACAAGATAAGAAGAGAGAGAACCAACGGATTGATGATAGCAGCCATAGTGGGCAATTCAGCTACAGCGGCAATCACGAAACCCAAGGTGACAGCCCAGCAAACAAGGATGACAAAGGTAATGTAAAAGTATCCACAAGCAGAGGCCGTGTTTTGCATACCGGTAGTCCAATAGAAACCAAACATGAAAGTAGCAGCAAAGAAAAAGACATAAGGAATTTCAACCAAGATGGCAGAGACACCCCAGGGCAACCAACCGTAGTAACTTGAAGCATATTCGCGACGGAAATACATACGCTCTGTCATAAATTTAGGCTGGGCCAGGATAATCATGGTGAAACACATGATGAAGGTACCAAACAAAGCAAAAATCTTGTACATCATATCAGATGAGCTAGCACCCAGCTTCCAAAAGGTAAAACCAGTGATAAGCGATGTGAACATGAGATTGAGGAAGCGGCCAATATTGTAATCAGATGAACGCCAGTAAGCAAGAGCCATACGACCATATACGAGACGGAATTGAGTTGTCATTGATGTGGCATAGGTATGAGCTTCACGAGTGGGATTCTTGTTTGCATTAGCCTCAATTTCATCGAGTTCAGCATCGAGTCTTTTACATTCCTCTGAGTTTTGCCACACTTCAGCCCAATCCTTGGTGACTTTACCAGCGGTACCAGCACCGACGACTTCAAGAATGTATTCAGCAGGGTTAGCATCAGGAGAACACTTAGGACCACCATTGGACTCAAAGTAATCAATCATGGTACGAGAGTCCTGACCAATTTCACCATAGTAAGCAGTGCGGCCACCTCTGACCAAGAGCAACAAGTGATCAAAGTGTTCAAACAGAATGGCAGAAGGTTGATGAATGGTACACAGCACTGGCCAGCCGGCATCAGCAAGCTTACGAATAAAGCGGATAATGTTGAAAGAAGATTGAGCATCCAAACCAGAAGTAGGTTCATCCAAGAAGAGCAATTGAGGCTTGCCCACAAGCTCCATACCGATAGTAAGACGCTTACGCTCCTCAACAGAGATACCAAAACCAGTTTCGACTTGACCAATTTGAGCATCACCAATATCGGTCATTTCCAAGAGTTGAATAATTTGCTCAACATATTCCTCCTTTTCTTCCTTGGAGACTTCAGCAGGTTGACGCAAATAAGCAGAGAAGCGAAGAGCTTCACGAACAGTGACAGCAGGTTGATGGACGTCCATTTGCTCACAGTAACCAGTGATACGTTCGAAATCAGTCATAAGAGCTTCATTGTTCAAAAAGATCTCGCCTGAAACAGTACCGAGAGTCTTTCTGCGAGCGAGTACATCCAAAAGAGTAGTTTTACCAGCACCAGAAGAACCCATCAAGGCGCAGAGATGTCCCGGTTTGACTATACCATTGATATCATTGAGTAATTGAATGGAGCCGCCCTTGATGGGAACAGTGTAGTTGACGTGTTGCCATGAAAAGGTAGTACCAGTAGACATCTTGTCCATGTTTTCAGTGATCTTGTCTTGTTGACGACGACGTTCATCTTCTTCTTCAGTAGTACGAGGCTTAGGAGCCTTGCCTGGCAAATAAAGCTTGGTCAAACTTCCAGCCTTGTTCAACTTGACGTATTCCATAGCCAAAGCAGTGAGAATGGTAAAGAAGATGAAGAAGGCAACGACAACAATGAAATCAGGGGCCCAAAGGTCCTCAGGATTATATGAGAGAGCAGTACGAAGGTAATCATCGCCACGAACAAAATTCTCGCCCGGGTTACCGCCAGCCATAGTACAGACTTTATAGTTCCAGTCTTGATAAGTAGGTCCAAAGGGAACAGCATTACCAACACCCTCACAAGAATACAATTGACCTTCCATTTCATTGGAAACCAAAGCCTTGTAAGCATAAGTAATGGGATTGATATAATAAATCCAGAACAACCAAGGGTGCATCTTGTCATAGGGAATGGTATAACCTGTATAAGTGGTAGTGGCAATAAGCAAGACACCAGTGATTTGAGTAGCCATGAAGAAGCTAGAAGTGATAGCACCAAAGAAGCGGAAGAATCCAGTCATACACATTGTCAAGAAGAAGAGAATGATGAATGAAGTGAAGAATCTGCCAGCTGTCAGATTGAGGCCCATCATAAAGTACGAGCAAATGTTGTAGAGCAAAACTTGAGCCAGACTGTAAGGAATATCCATAGTGACTTGAGCAATGTAGTAAGCAGAAGGTCTGTACAAGGCATATTGCTTGTGCTTTTCAAGGATGGGCCTGCCCATCAAAAATCTAACTAATTCTGACTGAGAGATGAAGGTGTTGAACATGGCCGAGAAGAAGATGGCACCAGCACGAGAGAACTGAAAATTCGGTTAGTAAATCAACAAACTATGTACAGATAGAATCCACTTACAGCACCACTGCCCGTGAGAGGAAGCAAGTAGAAACAAGAGGCAGTAATCAAGCCTTGAATAAGCATAGTACCGTAGCGAGAAATTAGAGCTTCTCTATCCTTGATAAGCAAGTGATGTTCACGGATAGTAAGAGCCTTGACTTGTTGGAAAAAAGAGGCAATGTAAGGAGTCTTCTTGGGAGCACGCTTTTGATGTTCTTCACGAACGGCATCTTCAAAAGCATTCGCCTTGTTCTCGGCAGCAATTTTGTCTTCATAGTCTTCCAAATCACGCATCATAGCCTTGTGGACATCAGATTGGTAGTACTTTTCTTGGAATTCAATGGCATGCTTGGGTGCGGAATCCTCGAATCCAGGCTTAAATTCACGCTCCAAAGGATTACAAAGACCAGTCAAGAAATCAGGAAGAGATTTGCGAGGGGGACAATGGAAACCGAGATCATCAAAGTATTGCTTGGCTCCACTGGTGGGACCAAAGTAGATACAACGACCTTCATCCAAGAGAAGCACCTTGTCAAATAAGCTGAAAATGCTGTTGGATGCTTGATACAAAGTAGCAATGGTAGTGATATCAAATACGTCAGTCATAATTCTCAATGAGCGCACATAATCAAGAGCTGAAGCGGCATCGAGACCACGGGTGGAACAATCCCAACAATTGATGGTACTACTGGTTGTCATTTGTTCAGCAATGGAAAGACGTTTACGTTCACCACCAGATAAGCCACGCACAAAGGCATTACCGACCATGGTGTTCATCTGCTTTGTCAAACCAAGCATATTACCAAGCATGTAGAGTACACGATCAACGAAATCGTTCTTGGTTTCACCGGGAATACGTTTTCCAGGAGTCTTGGTGCGGAGGGCAAACTGGAGCGTCTGTTTGGTAGTAAGAGTAGGGTAATGCTGATCTTCCTCTTCATTGTAACAGACTTGACCCCTGAAGCGCTCAGCAAAGGTCTTGGGATCAATACCACCGTAACTCACATCACCACCAATGTAGGTATATGAGTCTCGCATGTTGGCAATCACTTTGAGGAAACTGGTACAGCCTGCTCCTGGGCGACTATGGAAGAATCAATGTTAGTAACAAGACAATTTTGATCAAGCATGATAATTACCCCAAGACAAGAAGCATTTCGCCGTCTTTGCAGCAACCAGAAAGATCATCAATGATCACTTTAGTACTGGCCTTGCTCTTTTGGAAAAATTTCCAGAATTGAACAACGGAGAGAATGTTACTGATGACAGTCGGAATTGTGAAAGCGTCGGCACCAAGACCCTATTGTGCATGTTTAGCGTATGGTATTGATAGATCAACAAATAGCCAGCGTACCTCCACATGCAAATTTCTCCAAGCAACACCTAGATGTTTGCGCTTGTGTCCATTTTCATCTTGTGCTTTGGAAATGCCATGTAAAAATTGGTCTAGATCAAAGTCTTCGGAATTTGATGCACCTTCCTCAGCTTTGGAAAGTGATAAGCGCTGACTTTTTGTACTCAATTCTCGACGAAGCTCTTGATACTCATTCTTGGCATCTATAGGTCCAGTTGGATGTTGAATGAGCGCAATGTCAGGGCTAAAAAAAAGAGCTTTTCTTACCTTCAATGTTGACTTGATTTGCTTCTGATTCGCCAAATGTGTCGTTGTGGCCGATATTCTCTTTGTTGGCATTGACATCTGCATCAATGGTGCTGTTGTTTGAATGTGCATAATTCGGCTGATCTCTCAAATGAGCTTCTTCTACTTGCTCAGTGTACAGAGCGTTCTTTTTCTCTTCCATGTAATGATGCTAATGCTGAATCAGAGGGGAGAGAAAAGTGAGACTGAAGAAAAAGGAAAAAGACAAGAGAAAATTTTTCTTTCCAGAATCAACATGGTATTTATATCTTGATTTGCCCTTCAATTTAGAAAATCTTAAAATACCGAATCGATTCATTTTAGGTATCAACCGCAGCAGTAGACCCTAAAAAAGGATCGCAGTAGCAAATTAGAAGCTTCGATCATTCACTAAATGTGCCAAACGTTACGTGGACAGTTTACAAAATCGGAAAAGAGATCTTGATGATTCCAAACTCAATTCAGTGTCTTGGTGTTGTATTAATAATCAATCAAGTCCCATATACCACCAGTGGATGCTTTTGAAAGCTTTCTTGACAATCCACGCTCTCTAGATCTCACCACAAAACGTCAAAAATCATCGCACAAAAGAGCCTTGTTGGCGTGAAAAATTTGAAAGAAGTTGGGAAGAAAATTTTTTGTAGTTCTCGATCTGTGATCTCGGAAGCCATTTTTCCGAAAGTAAATCAACTATAGGATGTGAATTGCAATAGCTGCCAGCAAGGGACCTTTTATCGACCTATCTTACGTGTATCTCATGTCAAGTTTGGTAGTAATTTGAGCAAATGTTTCCTTTTTGTCAGATTTGGATTCTGCAAAACGTCACTGACCAAGTGTGCACCATTGCCTGCAGATCAAACTTCTGCTTCTTGAAACGATTGTGTAACATGTCTTGTTTTTTTCCAGAGTGCATGCACTGATCCTCCCAATCATCTTGCTTGTTGATGGATACCAAGAACCTACATTGGCAAATCCATTTAGCCTTTTGGTAGCACCAGAAAGAACACTTAAATTTTGTTTGTTTCAAACCAGAGCGTCTTGTTCGGCGTTTCTGCTTTCCATCAGGTCATGGGCAATCTAGATTAATACATAGTAAGTAATTTATCTCGTCATGGAAAACTAACATGTTGCCGCAGCACTTTACATTATCCTGCACACCACTTAACCATCATCAAAATGTGATCTTGCTTCAAAAGTAGATAAATATCATATAATGCATGAAATAAAGCTCCATTACATGACTCAAATGGAACATCCAGGTCTCTCTGCTAGACCTATCGTAGAGAATTGATGAGAAAAAACGCTCCCACAAATGTCAATGTGATGTGTTTCCGGTTCATCATAAATCTAGATACCTTGTCAATCGTTTCTAAATCAAGTTGTGCTATTTCAAAGCAGTGCTTGACATTTCAACTTCAACTTAAGTTTCTGGAATGCCTAAATGATAGAAGCTTGTGTTTGGCAGATCAGTAATTCGCGGTATAAAAGCTGCAAATGCGCAACCCATTGGCAAGGGATACAGTGAGTAAAGTATGCCCCCAAAAGATGCACCGTTATGCTGGTACAAGGTGATACCAAGTGATACAGGAATTGTAACTGGTTTCAGACTGGCTAAAGATATCCATGCTTGCCATGCTTCACTTCTGCTAACATCAATTATCCCAAACACACGCATCAGTCATATAAAAACTTTTATATTCTGCACTACTAACTAATATACACTAGAACTTCGCTCTTTAACCTTTCACTATCACGTAAGAGCTCTTTATAGCTGTGGATTTAACTCTCTCGAAACGCACCACGTCTGCATCATTGGGAGCAATTCATATACGGGCAGATATCATACTTGCAATATCGCTTATTACTTCCAGCTATGCAAGGCACAGAGAATTTCGGATGCACTTGAATCATGTTTTTCCGTGTTAGAAGCTGTTTTAGACCTTTAGAATAATACCAAACAGTTGCTCTCATCCAGCACTTACCTTTTGACATCTTTACTCCACTTTTTTGGGATTGCCAAAAATCGACTTCAAACCATGAGGGGTACCTCATGGAAAATTAACAAAAACTAAACGATCGCGTTTTTGATCCCAAAATTAAAGGCTTTTACTAAGGTATATAATAGATCAAAATGTTCCTCTCGGTCCAGAGCAACCCCTGAAAGTGCTTTCGGGAGACCGCCATATATGAAATCTCAACATTTCTGCCCAAAACCTCATTTTACATTTTTGAATAGTGCTCAATAAGTCTATTCAAATCATATTTTTTAATTAGCACCATTAGAAGCGCCTTGAAAAGTACTCTGAAAAAGCATTAGGAAGTATTTTTTTTTTGTAGGGGAGTCGAGCTCCAGGTTTTATTTAAAGTCCTTAAAATGTCATGCTGAGGGAAAGAAAAGACTGTTGGTGGACCCAATGTCTGCAAAGAAGGGGAATAAGATATTTTTGAATTAAGTTGGGAAAGAAATCTACTGCTAATAAGGTGCGACACCTAGAGCCAATACAGTCTTGCGGAAATCGTCAAAATATAGATAATGGATAGAGTACAAAAACACCAAACGAGGACATCAGTACTACGTCAAAAAAATCAAACAACTTGCGTTCACCAGGATTTGAACCGGGATCCTCCCGTTGGCATACGGGAGTTCTACCACTTCGCCCTACCACCAGGGACGCTACATTAGGAAGTATAGGATGATTATTACAGTTTACATAGTCGGATCTTGCAAAATATACGAATCGAGTCGGTTTTGATCAAAATTTGACCAATCTGGAGCAGTGCTAAATCTGCCTTTGAATTAGCTTTTGGTGACGGCTGCTGGCGAAGGCACAAATGCTCTCACCGAGAAAGCCATTGGCGTTTTAAAGCTAATATAAAGGGGGACTATGACGTGAAACGTGCCATAGCATAGAATGAACATCATCCTTTGTTTTTTTTTTTGTTGCAAATTCTTGTATTTTATGGATTGAATCATTGCAAAATGCTCACCCAAATGCGAATCTCACTGCTAAATGCAAGATTGCCACTTGCTCACAATTGCATACGATATATCAGGTGTAAACCCTCTGCGGTATATACAAAAGTTGAATTCTTGGCTTTGAATTAACGGCTTTCGAATGACCTTGTACGTGATATCTCCTAATATATACTGTATATTACCAGCAACATAGCGTATCAAAATTTGCATGAATCAGCTTTACCAAAATCAATGTTCCTTCTATCCGAATTAAAATTTTCTCAAGCTACAGAATTGTCTTTCTAGTAAATTGTAGCTACCAAGGATGTGATTTATGCCATGTAAATAAAAGCCATAAAGCAATACATAACCAAACTTGACAGTTTTCAAGCCTTCATATCTTGACATGTAGACCTTTCTGAGCCACCGGAATGATGCCAAACAATTGTACTTGAGTAGTAGCAACTTCCTGACATCTTTGCTCAACTTTTTGGGCCGAAAAAAAACATGTCCAAAAATCGACCAAAAAGCATGAGGTACCCCTCATGGTTTTCATCGAAAATCAAACAATCACGTTTTTGACCTTGATAATGAATGCTTTTATTATGGTATCTATCAAATCAAAATGTTTCTCTCAATCCAAAAGCAACCTCTGAAACCACTTTTATGAAGTTTTCATATGCAAAATATGACTATTTTCGCTAAAAACTTCATTTCAAATTTTATTAAACTGCTCGACAACTTTAGTCAAAACACTTATTGCAGTTAGCACCATTGGAAGCGCCTTAAAAAGTACTTCAAGAATGTATTAAGAAGCGTAGGGTGATCATCACAGTTTATATAGTCGAACATCATAAAATAGATTAAAGAAGTCAAAAAAAAAAGACAAAATCTGTCCAATCTTGAGCAGATAAAAAATAAACTGAGTTTGAATTGATTTTAGCGGGAGGCGATGCTGCTGACTGGCCCAAATGCCTTTCTGATGATGACAATGATAATAACAATGATGATAACAATGATGATAACAATGATGGTTGCGATGCTGATCAAATGGGAATTACAAAGTTGAAATTACAATTGCTTAGACCGAATAATTTCTTTCTCTTGGGCGTTTTTATAAAGGTGCCTTTTGCAATGATAACCTTTCAAAGAAGTCGCTGTAGATCTCTTATACGTCCTGTATTTACGCATGGCCAGCGCTGTATCGCCATCTCAAGAGCAGCACCCGCGAATGGTACCACAGTTCCGCCGCCAGAAAATGCGACTCGGACGGAGGATGTAGTGAACCAGAAGTCTTATAATAATATAGCGTAAATGCTGCATAAAAAATACTATGTACCTCCCAAGTTATGTCTTTTAAATCAAGTTTCATGCCTAATATAGTCATTGTTTAAAATGCACTTGTAATACCAGATTTTTATTATCTCTGACTTGAAGTGCCTTTGGCGAGAGTCTGCAGGGCGTCGCTGATATCGAGCGTAGCGAGATAGATCGGCTAGTAAAGTAATGAAATAGAGAAATTTGTTTGATATAGCTCATCGTAACGTGTTTCAAAGTTTTATCAATGCTTAGTGTATATGTGTACGAGTTATAATACTGTAGCAATCTCTGTTTTTGGGTCTAATCTACAACAGCTAAAGAAGAAAGACTGGTTCAGCTAGTAGAAATCATCAACTGGCTTCGTAAGTTAGTAAAAATTCGCTCGGTTTCAAGCAACTATCAAAAGTGTTCAGAGTCGATTGTGCGTATATGAAAAACTCTGGTTGAAATCACGATTTATGTCATATGAGTTTTAGAACAGCAAATATACTGGTGTCTCTTCTTCTTGCTAGTAGATTGAGACGCTGCACTAGTGCATCAGGGCTTGCTTCATTTGATGTAGATCGATTTTTGTAGTAGCGTTGCACCAAAAGTTTTCTCCAATGTGAATATACAAACAACCGTCCGTGAGCAAGAACAGAACTCACTGCGATTAAACAGATCAGTCGACTGGCTCTTTATCCAAACGTATCAGGTACTTTTAGTTGCTCTTCTGATTTCCTGTTTTAATGCAGGTCAATGTTTACGATATCCCAAGTATCCAGGTACAGAAAAAAAAAATACAGGCAGGTCCCGTGAATTAACATGAAGAGTAAAACAACATGGTGGCTCTCATTTGTTCTCACAGACCAGAACAAAGCTTGAGAATAAAATGTTGACCTTTTTATACAATTCCTGATCTTGTGTCTTGTTGTACAAGGAAATACCAGGACACTAGACATTCCAATTCAAACGGTATCCGAAAAAATGGTAAATGCGGTAGAGAAATCACTTTTTGATGTGATCCAGAACTGGTTTCTCCCGAATCAAAAGAGATGAATACGAGATCATTCAGAGAGAAAAGGCACTGGATCCAGCCAACATCTGATGCTGCTACAGACCTGTTGCTCTTGCTTCTCTCTTTATTTTTTTTTTTCGTCAACAAAAAATATCGAGTACGACGCGAGAATTCTGATCTAGTCCAACAGCAATGTTATGATGGATATCGTGGGTGACACCAAACTTGGCATCAGATTTTGAATCAACAAGTGCTGATAGTACACAGAAGAGTGTAAGTGTATATACATGACCAGTGCGCCTTCTTATGTTGATTTATGCTTCATGCATCCATTCAACTTTGATCGTGTTTGAAATGACACGCTGTAGGAAATTGACACAAGTTTGTTTTAAGCTTTTCTTGCCTTAACAGGCCATCGTAGATTGGAATAGGTGGAATACCAAGCATTTACATAAACCAATTAACCTATTTTTTATTGAGATCTAGTGTAACTATGTTGCTGTTGCTATATAAAATGATACATCAAGAATTATGTCGTGTTTGGGTAATTTTATGATCTGTATAGGATCAAAGCATAAAGCAAATGCAAGGGACATACTTGACTGACGCGCATGTTGATTATAAAAGAGACCCTTGATTTCCAAGTGTATTGGATCAGGTGTCTCTTTCTCGGTTTTCTTTTCAGCCACAGGTGCCAAGTTTTGATAACAAGAAGGACAAGCAGCAATGAAACACTCGAGTATATATATATATATATATATATATATATATACACGTGTATGTATTAGATAATAATACGTTTACATGAACACACATGAACAGGCATTTCGGATGAGTGTACAAGTTAAATGTTTATAAAAAGAAGCTTCTCAACAGACAGCAATATTTGATCTCGTCCTACATGAACCATTTCAACACTGTTTTGTAGGATTTGCAGCATCTCTCCTTTGTATATCAACCTCCTTTTCTATTCAATATAGACTGATACATGCACAATGAATCGGGACCCTTTCCGACACATGGTCGACCAATCCATTGATATGCTAACTTTAGATCTCTTTGAAAACATAACGTGTTGTTTTTCATCCTGCGTACCCATATTGAAAAAAAAAAAAAAAGCTTAATTTGCTCGCCTTGTTTATTTGTTTGTGTATCTGATGGATTTGCCCTGTATCTACTATGATAAATAACGATGACAAGTTGCAAAAAAGACCAATCAACCATACACATTTGAAACACCCCATGGGGAACGATTGGTCTTTGCTAATTAATACGCTTTGCTAGATACACAAGCGACGGCATTAGAACTCCATCTTGGCACATTTAAAGGATATGAAAGGATATAAATATAAAGCTGTACAACAAGACTCCCTTGAATTTTTTGGTTCCTTTTTCTTTATTGTTTAAATAGCCTACTTTTTTCCTGCCTCCTTTTTGTTGTCTTTCTACACATTCTCCCTCTTACAAAATGCCCCCAAACACAGTGGCTGATAGACTACTCTCATCCACCTCCACGCGTTCATCCAACATTGTCACAGAAGAACAGTTTCAAGAGCTGATCAAGCAAGGAGACTCTGTATTCATCTATGAGCAAAAGGTATATCGAGTCAACAACTTTTTGGCCAAACATCCAGGTGGTGAGGCAGCGCTGCAAAGTGCATTGGGCAGAGATGTCACTGATGAAGTCCGTACCATGCATCCTCCACAGGTGTATGAAAAGATGATCAACCTCTATTGCATTGGCGACTATATGCCAGATGTGATAAGACCCGCATCGATGAAACAACAACACACATTTACAAAGCCAACAGAGGACAAGCCAGTGCTGACAGCGACATGGGAAGGCGGCTTCACCGTACAAGCTTACGATGATGCCATTCAAGATCTGCATAAACACCACGCACACGACTTGAGGAAGGATGCAGTGCTCCAAAAAGATTTAAACGGTGATCAAATCAGAATGGCATACAGAAAATTAGAGGCTGAACTATACAAGAAGGGGCTGTTCAAATGTAATTACTGGAAATACGCAAGAGAGGGATGTCGATACACACTGCTTATATTTCTGTCGCTGTGGTTTACACTGCATGGCACCGAGACATGGCACTATATGGCAGGCGCTGCGTTCATGGCCATGTTTTGGCATCAACTTGTATTTACAGCTCATGATGCGGGCCACAATGAAATTACTGGCAAGTCTGAAATCGACCATGTTATTGGTGTCATTATCGCAAACTTCATCGGTGGGCTCAGTTTGGGCTGGTGGAAGGACAATCACAACGTACACCATATCGTGACAAATCATCCAGAGCACGATCCCGATATCCAGCATCTCCCCTTCATGGCCATCACCACCAAATTCTTCAACAACATCTATTCCACCTACTACAAGCGTGTACTGCCGTTTGATGCTGCTTCTCGCTTCTTCATCAGACACCAGCACTACTTGTATTACCTCATCCTGTCCTTTGGTAGATTCAATTTGCATCGATTATCATTTGCGTACCTGTTGACTTGCAAGAACGTCCGTACCAGAACTCTGGAGCTAGTTGGTATTAGCTTCTTCTTTGTCTGGTTTGGTGCACTGCTATCTACGCTGCCTACTTGGAACATCCGTATCGCTTATATTATGGTGTCGTATATGCTGACATTCCCTCTTCATGTGCAGATTACATTGTCCCATTTCGGCATGTCAACCGAGGACAGAGGCCCAGACGAGCCATTCCCCGCCAAAATGTTGCGTACCACAATGGATGTCGATTGTCCAGAGTGGCTTGACTGGTTCCATGGTGGTTTGCAATATCAAGCAGTGCATCATTTATTCCCTCGACTTCCTCGCCATAATTTGCGTCAATGCGTCCCTTTGGTCAAAAAGTTTTGCGATGAAGTGGGTCTCCATTATTACATGTATAATTTCTCTACTGGAAACGGCGTTGTTTTGGGTACATTGAAGTCTGTGGCTGATCAAGTTGGCTTTATGAATGAAGTGGCCAAAAGTAATGCCGAGACTTGGGCTAATGACAAAGAGCATGCTCATTAGACTTGCTGTAGTCTATGCAAAAATATATATCAACTTTTACTATTACTACCCCTCCCACTACATATATACATATAAATGCATCTGTCTAGTTTTTATTCTTTCGTGCATTTATGAACGCTTGTTTGTTGGATGGGTTCCTCATCATCCAGGTGCTGCTGTTTATCCGTGCATGAATAAGGTTCATGGTCAACTATTGTACCGATGGAAGCGAAGCCTTCTCATTCATCGCTACAGTGACTGATACGTTGGTACCGTCGGCATGCGTTTTTTCCAACAGGATATACGTATTTTCCATTCTTCATCGATGCAATCACATAAAGTTGGCAACAAACAAGCGCATTCTCTTCTCAAAACAACGCTTTGGACGCGACAGGCACAGTACAGTTAGTCTAGTGTTCAAGACTAGAGCGTGGGCTAGTGGAGGCTTATTGAAACTTGAAAACATTACCATTCAAAAGCCAAACATCGAGAGAAGCTACAGATAAAAGAGCGTGCATGTTTGAGTAGATTTGGGCTGCCAACGCCATCTTGAAGATGACACACTTGTTGAAAAGAGAGAAAAAAAAAAAAAAAAAAAAAAGCCAAAGAACACTGGTTTCGGGCGCACAATACACATCGTATATCCTATGTTTTTCTGTTCGCTTTAGCTTGCCAACTAAAGAGCACAGACGATTTCGGTAAGTGCATTTACGTACAACAAGCCTATGGTGGCATGTGAAGTATAACACTACATCAATGACAGCAATGCAATCCAAAGAGCGCGGATGATTGAACGCGATATCTCTTTGATGCAACCAGTCACCAGTAAAAAGCTGTATTTTTTCATTTGTATCCCTCTTCTTTTTTCAACATCTAAAAAGATATAATATGAGTACCAAGGAAAACGTTATGCCATTATCTGAAAAGAGAGAAAACGTACGTACGACATGCTGATGGCTTCCAAACAATAATAACCTGTGTTTCATTCAATAGCAAAAGGCGTTATTGGATTCAACCAAATCAATCAACAGCAAGGTACGCTCCCGAACACTAGCACTCTCGTCAGGTTTATATCCTAATAACAGACATGTATTATCTCGTAGGAAAGCTCCAAACATGCCAACAAACCACTTTCAAAGCCTGGATTGAAGGAAACAACGGCCAATCATACAAAGGTAAGCTGATGACAAGCGAATGTTGGAGAGTTGTCAATCTTACTTAATGCCATTTAGGTGCACAGCCAAGAAAAGAAATCAACACATACAACTGCCATCAAAACACAAGTACAAATTGAAAAAGAAGAAGAAGTCCTTGTATATATCCCAGAGCAGCCTCGACGATCACCCTCACCACATTCCATTGAGAAGCTCTTTGAATATCCTGCAAACAAGATCAATATACACCACCGCAAAGAAGCCAATTTCTTACGATTTGAGCCCAAAACCGCAGACACAAGCACAACGAGATCAAAGATAGAAGCGCTGGAAAACGAATTGAAGGAAGCCATCAAAGAAAAGGAGGCATTGTCGTTAAAAGTGCAAGCAGCTCGTAAAGAACTCAAACAAAAGACACAGCAAGCACAAGAGATCGACCACAAGATTGAACAAATGACCAAGATCAAAGCCAGAATCGAATCCAACAAACAAGAGATCATTGAAAATCAAGGCATCTATGACGAGTTGATGGACATCTTGGAGGATGCGAACGACAAGGGCTTGGAGTTTGACAATACGCTCAGTGGATATAACGATCAGGTCAACGAGTTATTGAATGAGCTGTCCTTGACAAATTACCGTATTCAAGAGTTTAAAGAGTCACACAGCAAAGCAGAGTAAACCAAAAGATGATGGAATGAATGATCAAATTATAAATATATATATATATAAAAAAAGATCGCTGTGTGTATGTTTATACTCCCTTTCTTTTCCTTTTTCTCACACCATCCACATCTTACAATAAACGATGGGCAAAAATAAAGGCGGCTACAATCTATTTGAAAGCTATATTGCATCTGGACTTGCGAGTCAAAGTTCATCTGGCATGGGTAGGTGGTGGGCATCTCAGTGGATAGAGTGAGAGAGAGAGAGAGAGAGCCTCTGTTTTCTTATCAGCTAGTCTATTATAGATACTCAGTATATACCACTGCCTGACTCGATGGTAAATTTTATGAATTAGCTTTTAAATGGGTTAAATTAATTCACAAGGGATTAGAGAACCTCCACTTTATTAGAGCAAATTGGTCAAGATCACAAATGGTCCGAGCAACAAATCAATCAAGACATCCATACGATGGAGCTAAATCGACTGTATTACGTATGCATCAATGATCACCACCCTTTGTGAATTTGTCATTGTAACATCAACATGGTATTGATAGGTCAGCGATTTACGTGAATTATCAAAGAGCAGTTGGAAAGCCATTGAACTCTTGCCCATTGTCAAAGACCTCCTTAGAAAGGCATTGAACCCTGAAGGACAATCCCTCGACAAGAGCAACAAGAAGAATAAAAAGGACAAGGAAAAGAAGAAGCAGAAAAAGAAGGAAAAAAAGGACAAGAAGCGAAAGATGAAGAACCTGGGTGTTCCCATTGCCAACGGCAGTTTTACGTTATCAGATGGTAGAGATGAAAAGCCTTTGTTTACAGAAGGTGTAGTCAGCGAAGATCCTGAGACGATTCGTAACACAATTCAAAACTTAAAAGTGGATACTACCATTGAGGAACCCTTGTCCCCCACGTCTGCTGGTGGTAGAAAGAAATCTGTTTCCTTTTCTGAATTGGATCCAGTGACAGTAGGTGGTACGCCTCCTCTTGCTGCAGCTGCAGCAGCTGCTGCTGCTGCTGTCATGAGACAGCCAATGACAAACGGCACTGAATCAAGTACATCTAGCAGCAGTAGCAGCAGCAGCAGCAGTAGTAGTAGCGATAGTAGCAGTGATTCGGATTGTGATAAAAAAAAAGCCAAGCAGCAGCTACAACCTGAAGAACCCGCCATGCAAAAGAAGCCCAAAGTATTCACGGGTCGTCCGATCAAGGCTGTCAGCAGTAATCGCATCCGTATAAAAACCAGCGATGGTGATGTATTCGAAGCAGATCGATTTTGTCCTCACAAAAAGGTGGATCTAGTTAGCTGGGGTCAAGTGATGGGCCGTAGCTTGATCTGTACAAAGCATAATTGGAACTTCAGCTTAGATACTGGATTGGCTGCTAAAGGAGGTAGATCGATCAATCCATGCAAAGTCAACGACTGGTAGTAGTGGTAGTAATAGCTTGAGGCATTTTTTTATTTATTTATTTATTTATATATCATTTCTATACATGTTGCAAATCAAATAAAGTGGATTGATTTACTTCTTTTTGGGGCCAGGAACAGCAATGGCATAAGGCTCAACGCCATTTCTGTATCTTTCCAACCAGCTCAAAATGTACCTAGCAAGTGTTCAAGGTGAGTGGATGCATCCATGGGTGGCTATGTCAGACAGACATATACTCACTTTCTTTGCTTTGTGCTAATGCCCATGTCAGTCTTCATGGCTCGACTGCCAGTGGTAAATAATTGATCCCAAGTCTATATTGAAAAGTGTGAGTGTCAATGACATGGACCATGTACAACCCAAACATTACCTCGAATTTGCCTGCAACTTCATCACAACCACGGCCAATTGCTTTTAAAAATGTAGACACATCTTGAATTTGACCTATCCATAGAGCAAAATGATCAGCGTTTGGATGCAATCTTTCGTGTCATGCGTACTCACCTCGAGGAGCAGGGACCGTATTGTTGATGGCAGCAGTGTGTGAGTATCTAACACCACGAATGAGACTAGAACGAACAGATGCGAGCATTGTAGACAAGTAAAAGATGAATAAAATAATATGCTGGGCCTGGGGTATGGGTTGTATGGATGTTGAAAATTGAACCCCACTCTCACAGAGTCACAGAGCCGACAGCACAGCGATTAGGGTGCAAATGAAAGCATATGCTCATTTCTATCCTTAATTGTGAACCTACCTCTTGATTGTGAAACAAATAGATAACAGATAAAGCACCAAAACATCAGATCATCTTGATCTTGTAGGCTTTTTTTTTTTTTTTTTTTTTTTTTACCTTTTGCTTGTGTGCACAAGCCAACGGATGATGATGAGTGGAGCATTTGCATGGCTGATTACTCATAAGGTTGATACTCTTACTGAAAACAGTAATTCTACCACTTTGTTCAGCGTAATACAATCCCATTTGAAATCCTGATATTTAAGCATTTCGGAGATGTTGCTTCCAATAGAAAAATTTGTATATATAAAGGAAAGCTTTTTTTACTCCAATCACAACATTTCCCTCTCTCTCCTCTCTCTCTCTCTCTCTCTCTTCCCTTACCCCTTTTATATATATACTCTCTCTCTCACACACACACACACTTCTGTTGGCATTAACAAGCAATTGAATGAAAAATAATCTCTTTTTCTTAATCCTATCATCGTCCAATATCAGATTTAATAATAATAACAATGTCAACCGTATCCGAATCAACACTCTTGTTGAGTAAAAGACAAGATCAGAATAAGGGCTATCGACATGAGTTGAAATGGTTACTCAAGAATGCAATGCCTCTAGTGATCAGTTACTTGCTGCAGAATAGTTTGCAAAGTGTCAGTATCATTACTGCTGGCCATTTGGTAAGTGGTTGATGTCTTGTTTGTATTCATGTGTGCTGATAAAGTAGGGCAGGGCGCAAATGAATTGGCTTCTGCTACATTGGGCAGCATGTTTGTCACCATCACTGGTTTATCTGTAGCCACAGGTGCTACGCTCTCACTCGATACCCTCTGCTCTCAATCCTTCACTAGCTCGGACAACAAGACCATTGTCGGTCTCCATGTGCAACGCTGCCTTGCGTTCATGTCGTTGTTATATATTCCCATTATAGGCATCTGGTGGCATGCGGAATACATCTTTTTACTCTTACGTCAAGATCCCGTTGTGGCACAACTCGCTGGTCATTATGTACGTTGGATGATCTTGGCTGCTCCTGCTTTTGCCTTGTTTGAAGCGCTCAAGAAAATGCTACAAGCACAAGGCATTTTTCGTGCTCCTACCATGGTGTTGATGTTGGCTACTCCAATCAACCTGCTCCTGAATTATGCCTTGGTCTGGATTCCGGCTACTTCATTTGGATTCAGTGGTGCTCCCATGGCAAGTTGTCTGTCGTATTGGCTGATCGTCTTGTTGATGGCTCTCTACATTTACTGGGTGGATGGCTATCAAGCATGGCCTGCTTGGTCTACATCGGCTGCTTTCAATATGCGTCATTGGGGTCCTATGGTCAAACTCGCTGTCCCTGGTATCCTGTTGATCTGTACCGAGACATGGGCCTATGAAATTGTTGCTTTAGGGGCAAGCTGGATTGATACCCCCAACTTGGGCGCTATGAGCATCATTTTAACTTCGATTACTGCCTTGTATACATTGGCTTTTGGCGTCGGTATTGCTTCCGCCAACCGTGTTGGTAACTTGCTGGGTGCTCAGCGTCCTAAACAAGCTCGTATCGCTGTTCGCACTACATTATGCGTGGCTACGGGTGTCGCCGCCCTAAACAGTGTGGCATTGCTTGTGTTCCGTAAACAATGGGCTTATATCTTTACCAGTGATGCTGAAGTCGCTCAACTTGTCAGCAATGTCTTGCCCTTGGTGGCTCTCTTTGTGTTTGCTGACAATATTGCTGGTATCGCTGATGGTGCTTTGAATGGTATGGGTCGTCAACATGTAGGCGCTTGGTGCAACTTGGCCTCTTATTATCTGTTTGCTATACCTATTGGGTTCTATCTGTGCTTCAGCAAAGGCTGGAAGCTATCTGGTCTATGGGCTGCCTTAGCTGGCTCTTTGATTGTTGCTTGTTTTATCACCGTTGTCGTCTTGTTGTCTTCCAATTGGCAAAAAGAAGCATTGAAAGCTGAAGAAAGATCAAAGGAAGAAGAGAACAACACCAGTAGCAGTAGCAGCAGTAGCAGCAGTAGTAGCAGCGCTGGTGTGATCTGTCAAAGCCCCCTTCCCATTTAACCTGACCAGCTAAATATAGAGGCGTAGCTATTAGATTCATGCTGAATCACACTCTATATTTTACATTATTGCATCATTCATGTTTCTCTTTTTGCTTTTTTTTTCCTCGGTTTTTCTTCAATAAAATAGCCTAATCTGTCTTTCTTCTATACACTATATACATCGCCATGAATTTCGACAATAAACAGCCCACCGCCAATGATAAAGACTACTACTACGCCAGCAATTTGCCTAGCTATGGTGTTTCCAATACAAACGGCATCACACCACAGCAAAAAGAACAGCAGCAAGTGCAACAACAAATAGAGAGTAGCCATGGCAACAGGTATCCAGGCGTCGTAGGCGCCACACCTCCAGAAGCAAGAGGCATTCAAGGCTACGATGCGCAAGGCAACCCCATCATCCCTCAGTTTATCGCACAAAGACATCAAATTGAGCAATCCTTGGGTCCCACATGTAAAGATGGTGGCTACCATGATTTACGCATGCATCTGACGACCTCATCTTTGTTGTTTGCTATACTCATCATTCCTTATTGTTGTGGTTTCAGAGGTAAACGAGAGACAGTATGCAAGAAATGCAACCAAAAGTTTCCACAAATTGTACTTCCTAGCGCTTAATCCAGTAATAAAATCTTTCTGCACACTGTTTTATTCTTGTTTTTTCGATGGACTTTGATTGCCTGAGGATGGTGTGGATGACGATGGGCCGTGCGTTACCACAGAGACCATATCATGTAACTCGTTACCAGTTCGATTGTATTTCTCCCCTAAACGGCCTACTGCCGCCATCTCGTTCACTTTCTGCATGGTCAATCGATACAGCCACCATGCTACAGCGACGAGTATAAAAACACTGACGCCCATCACCATCATAGCAACACGGTGTGCGGAAGGTGGTAAATTTGGGTTGGATATATCTGCCAGCTGTGATCCGATCCATACTTCCATTGAGACTTTAAAGGATGACAAGAATGAAGCCAAAACAAATTGCTGTGTTGAGATGGTGGGTAGAATCGACAAGAGCATGTTCTGAATTGGCCAAGGAATGGGACTGAGTCGAATCAACATGATCATCTGTATTCTTTTTGTTAACGCACTGGATTCACACAGATCAGAGTACAAAGCAAATTTACCTTGAAGCCTCCCTGCTCGATGGCTTCTTGAATGGCTGTGTATTTCTCTTGCTTAGATGGCGATAGTTTAATGAATCGATTGAAATTGTATTTCTTGATGAGTCCATAGGCAACGATGGCGCCCACAAAAGCACCAATTTGAGCAGGAAATATACCACCAGGGCAACCATATATAAAGCCAGTGAGTGTAGAGGCAAATGTGAATCCAATCATGGGCGGCACTGAGGTGATGATGATGAGCAGTGTCAAGAGAAGAAAACTATAGGGCTGAGTACGCAATTCCACAGCAACGGATTGAATTACTAGAATATGAATGAGTGAGCAACAAGCAAACATATGGATCACAAGCTGCAACCTACAGTCCATGACGGTAGCGCGATAGATGGCAAATGTAGCAATGACGATCACCACTGCAATAATGCCAGCCCCTATAGTGAAGAGGCTCCTCTTTTGTAGCATGTTGAAATGAAGAGGGGGGGAAAAAAGAGCGAAACAAATAAACTCTCTAGTGGGGAATTATAAACAACTGGATTTCAACATTTGGGTTGCCAATTTAGACAGAACAACTATTGCCATGCATTTGAACCATTCTTGATGTGCTGTCTGGAGAGTGAAATCGCATTGGAATGGCAGCATCAGAGCGAAAAGAACAAGCCCTGGTATTCTGTATAACTGAATACGATGTGTTTCTAGGGCATGTCGTATCAAATGTTGGGTAAATGTCGGGTGTAAAGCTGCCACATGGCGATGGCTAGCACTGGCCATGTGGATAGTTCTCTTATAACATAGCCCATACAGTAGAGGTGCATTGAGTATAGTGTGTACTGGTGTCATGTCGAATCCATCGCAATCCAATGTGTACATTCAAGTACGCTGTTGATGAGAATCCTGTATTCAGGGATCAAACAGTCGTAGCGTAGCCCATTCATTCTCGTCTATCATTGATGTATATTTGACATTGGTGGAAGCGATCCAACCTCTTTCTCTACAACATCTACATGTTGCAATAAAAGCCAAACTAGAAAGCAGGCGTCCATTTCATGCAAATCCATCCAAACAACTAGCATTCCATTTGGACTGCTGGGAAATGATGTCACAAAAAAATCCCTCTTTCCCAATGTTGCAGTTGAACCGCGTAAATCAAAGGCGACAATGAAAGGCTGCTGCTGCTCTTCTTTTTCTGTTTGCCTCTTTTTCTTCATCCATATTGAGTACTGACCGAGAAATGACGAGTTTAATGCCACCAAACAGCACGCAGGAGACGAGTATCAATGCAGGAAAGCTCATTGAACAAGCCATCAACCGCGACCAAGATTGTCCAGACTTGGCCACCTTGCTGAACGGTATGTGCAATGTCTTTTCATCTTGAAGTGAAATCAACTGACGCACGGACGATAGGGTCTCCTGTTGAATCTTATATCGAGCCTTTACTTGCTCCAGAAGAAGAGATTGTGCGAACAAATCGAGTGCCTATTCCCAAGAGGTTCATCAACAGAATTGTCGGTGAGTAGTTATTTGGCGAGAAAGAGAGAGAGAGAGAGAGAGAGAGAGAGAGGGAGGGGGGGGGGGAAACACGACAACTGATTGCCCCCATCTTAGACTCGCAAACACAGTGTCGCTGTTTTATGGGCTTGCTGCCTGAAATCAACCGAGCTTGGCTAACAATTGATTGCAATTTATACATTTGGAACTTGAACGATGAGTGAGTTTTGGAACTGACATGTTGGACGTGGAGGATGGTAATACTGATGTGGACATTGTATCTCTGGTAGAAACGATTATTACGAGTATTCAGACCAAGACCAAATCATTGTCAGAGCCGAACTCGTCAAGCCTAAACCAGATGTCTTTGGTGACCATATCAAATATGTCTTGGTCATTTCCACACCATTGCAAGTCATTCTTTTGGCTGTGTCCACCGCGCAGGCACAATCAAACACCAATTCGGATACAATCTCTTTATTCGCTACCAACATGGCCATGCCAGCAGACGATGAACAGATGGAGCAGATTGGAGGCACAGACGATGGCAGAATCTTCACTATAGGCAAAAGTGGAAATGTCTACGAAATTGAATATCATGTAGGAGGATAGCATCATCATGGACACAGGTGAGCTGTACTAAATATTTCATCGATAGAATCCAATGAAATGGCTTTCAAGGGGATGCAAACTCATCAAGAGATCAGAATCCTCTTTCATGGAGTATATCCTGCCACAGCTTCGCAACTATATGAACTCCCCATCTGAAGGTAAGCCAATGATCAAGATGTAGGTCGTGTGCCATGCTAACACGCAGGATGAATAGCACGTTCCTTTGTCATTGACAATGAGCGAAAGGTGCTTTATATCTTGTACAAGAAGACCGATGCTATTGAAGTGGTTTACCTGGGAAACCCATTCAACAACTACAAGTCAATCTGCACACTGTCCACCATCAAAGAGAACGCCATTAAAATATGTCGCCAATTTAACCGCATCCCCAACTCGTCTGATCTCAATATTGAGACACTGCATGTCATTTCCAAAGCTGAATCCAAGCACATTCATTTGATGGCTATCACCACCACTGGATACCGTTTATACTTTTCACATCACAAAGACTCGTTCCGTGTGATTGGAAGCAGCAACAGCCAGTTACCCCTTGAACCAAACGCACTAGAATTAGGACATGTTCGCTTTCCTCCACCTACGTTGACGAGAAATATTGGTGAATTAGCACCCACCTACTTTCAGACTTATTACGATTGCGGTATCAGTGTCTCTGTCATTCCCAAGACGGAGGATTCTAGCACGCTCCGCATTACTTCAGTGACATCGGCTAAGGCTGCTACAACACCGACGTTGCCATCAACAATAGTACCTGCTACATTTACACAGCCAGCGAGACCCACTTACACCGAGACAGACATTGCACTTGAACTGGATGAACGAGTGCTTGCAGTGACAGAGACAAACCAGCATCTTGTAGGTCGACACTATATCAAGGAAAACTCTCAGCAATTAGCATCCCCTCCTCGACAGTTCATGGCTCTTTCCACACTCTCGGTCCTCTTTTTCAACAAGCTGAGACCTGTAGATATCCTATACAAAATATTCATCAAGACACGAGAGGAGCCAGACACAAAATTGATACAGTCCTTCTTTGAGAGATATGGTCAAGTAGAGTCATGCGCCATGTGCCTGTCCATTGCGTGTGCTAGTGATGAAAGGGATATTGAAATGAAGGCCAATGACACCTTTTTTGCTTATGGTGGTTTGCCTACGTCGACGCTACCAACGCAAATTCCTGGTAACCATCTAGGACGTGCTATTGGTCAAACAGATGTCGCCTACAGCGGAAAGCACGATGGATTTGTGCTTTATTTTGCTAGGATTATATCGCCTGTGTGGAAATTGAAGGCATTTGCTAACCAGTAAGTGTGTGTGTGTGTGTGTGTGTGTGTGTATGTGTTGAGGTTTTGTCGTTTTCTGACTATTTCCTCCAACTAGTGGCAATGACATGAATGCACATCTCATCTATACTCAAACACAGAGCACGTTATCAAACACCAAAGAGAACCTCTATCAATTAAAAAGGTTTATGGACCGGTAATGTATTCATTTAAAAATTGCATGGTGGCCTACAACTGAATTTGTGCGACTGTAGCAACCCTAAATTCCACAATGCTGCAAGCATCTCAGATCCTAGACTTCAAGCTGTTGATAGCAATAGTGTTTCCTTAGAACTGGTAGGCATCCTATGCATATATAACAGAGCTCAAGGACTCATTGCTTTTGACAGGCTGAGCAAAAATCAGCAACCGAGTTATACCTGATGCTCATTCAATGCATCGAGGCTTTGTCCTTTATAGAATTCCTGTTTGATTCGCAAGTACAGCACATCATCGCCGAGTAGTAAGTTATCATCATGGTAGCTCCTTCTAGAGCCCTGTCTAACGTGCTACGTACACACACAGCTTACATAACGAACATCAAACAAAGATCTATAATTTGGACATCAGTGCAATTCTCACAACAACAGAGGGCCGAGAATTAACGCGCGAGCTGGTGATTGCTGCCATTACGAAATACGGATCCAGTTACTCTCAGGGTGGTTTTGATTTTGTGAGCAAGCATCTAGAAAGATTCTGCAGCTCCTTTTTTGGTCCCAATGACATTTCCTTCTTCAAGGTAAGACGCAAGTGGCTTGTCACCATGTTTACAGCCCTGAGCTCAATGGACTTTATGTATATTAGGGTATTGAATATCTTCGACGAGCCATGCATGAGGAAACAGATGTGGAACGAGTGAAATCTTTGCAAAACTCATTATACAGCTTTAAAGACGCGGCTGCCTGCATCTCTGATGCAAAATTAGGGTCCATCTGTCTCATCTACATTGAATGCTCCTTCCACACTGGTGTTCTGGAGCTCGCTTTGGAACGGGCTAAACAGATAGATCCCCAAAACAAGGGCCTGGCCGCATTTGAATCTGTTGCATCCCTGAATGAAATCGCAGACAAGTTGTTGAAAGCTCGTTTGGACACTTACAAACACATCTTCAATGCACTGGAAGATGCTATGCAGTTGCAAGCGAAGGGAGTCCCTGAGAATCGCATCCCCATTGCCAGTCGATACTTGTCTGGCTACGTCTCCAAAGTGTTTGATAACGCCATGGCCAGCAACGACAAACTATTCCACTATCAACTGTACAACTGGTTCTTGTCTCATGGACTTGAAAGCAAACTTTTGGAATACGAAACACCCTACTTGATACCATACTTTGAACAATACATCCCTGATCGAGAGAAATCGCTTGGCTTCATGTACCAATTCTACAGACAAAAACATCAGTATGCAGACGCGTTCAATTGTCTGTGCAAACTGGCCACACTACCCTCTCAAGTTTTGAACTTGGATAAACGCATTGAACTCTTGTCGCAAGCACAAATCAATGCTCAATGTGGAAACCTGGATGTTGAAGCTAAAGACTTTGTAAATGGCTTGATCAAGGTGGCTGGTATGCAGGGCCGCATCAAGGCCATTTTGGAAGGCAATACAGATAATGTGGAAGCACGACAAGCCGTGCGTGAGTTGGATTCTCGTCTATATACACAAGAACAGTTGGGGAAACTCTTTATTAGTCGCTTTCCTGTGGTGAAGGATATCCTTAGTAACTAGGATTTCTTGTAATAAAAAACAATGCTTTATTGAAAGGGTAATATCACGCGCGCCTTGTGTTTTCGACATGGCCTTGACATGGAGTACATGTGGTCTCTCTTTATACATATATATATATATACCGAAATTTTATGTCTGAACCTCCCGTCTTGTGCTAGAACTGTCCACCAACAATCTGAAATTGTAAATGTAGTTCTCGTGCGATGCTCTACTTTTGTTTTAATGAAAACAATGTATATACGAGTAGACAGCATACTTGCATAGCCTCTTGCTACTCATAATTATGCAAATCACAGCGAAATTTGAGTGTATTTGAGCCGTGTTTTCTCGTATTAGAACCCATTCTAGACCTCCAGAATGGCACCAAACAATTGCTCTCATCCAGCACTAACTTTTTGATACCATTTCTCTTTTTTTTTTGGGGGGGTCGAAAAAACATGGCCAAAAATCGACTCCAAACTATGAGGGATACCTCATGATTTTTATCGAAAATCAAACAATCGCGTTTTTGACCGCAAAAATGAAGACTTTTATTATTAAGGTATGTATGAAACCAAAGTTTTTCTCTCGATCCAAAGCAACCCCTGAAACTGCTTTTATGATACCTTGATATGGAAATTTTTGACGTTTTGGCCAAAATAGCTATTTCATACTTTATGGATTTAATCAATAGTCTTGTTCAAAATACCTGCTATAACAAGTATCATTAGATGCGCCTTGAAAAGTACTTTTAGAAAGCTTAAGGAGGTAGGAGATGAGCATCACCAATTATATAATCGAATCTTGCAAAAATAGTTCAACAAAGTCGAAAATGGATCAGACATTTCTATTTCAAGAGAAAACTCGAACGAATATTCAATTTGATTTTTGGCTGGTAAAGGCTACTGGTTGTCGTATTATGAAGACAATTGATGTCTGTAAAGCTAATAAGAGGGTGACAGCGAGTTAAAAGGCTATACAGCCTAGGCTTACTACTGTTATTCACTATTTTTGCGCATGTATACATTTGATAGGTTTAATTTCTGAATAATGCTCATCCCACCGTGAACCCGTAGCGTGAAATGAAATCTTGCCAGCCAGTACTCTCATAAAATCTCTTATCGAGTCTACATGCTTGTGGTACGGAAAAAGTAATCGGAATACACTTGGATCAGAGATAAAATGGATCAGCTATTTGTATATACAATGCCTCGCAAGTTTGAAATAAACCCACTTTATTGGAATCCTAATGAAGATCACTAACCTTTATAAGGGTTAGTCATCCCAAGAAGATTCTTGATTTTAATAGACTTTCTATCTTGAGTCACCCCCCTGGTGGATAGATAGAGTAATTTCCCTGATACCTACAGAACCTGAGGGAAAAGTTTTTATTATGTAAAAAGAACCTGAAGCAGCTTTATATACAACCCTGGCTGAAATGCATCAAGGACGGTACACATGGCACGGAGTAACAGTATGCACTGTGAGCTCATGTTCTGTTTACGTTTGCTTACATACGCAATTTGCATAAACCAGAAAGATTACACATCATTAATAATCTTCAAGGTATTAAATTAAAAAGCTTCTGGTTATCTTTTGATCCAAGGAGGTAGCTGCATGAGAGAATGGGATTCGCAAAATTAAAGTATAATATCTAGGCGTGCAGAATCAATGTATGCATGATCTACAGGTATTTCTTTATCGATTCATATAAGTAGCTATAGCCGATGATCTGAATGAAATTTCATCCTTTTTCTTTCTTGTTTTGTACACATTGACCATGAAGCCACTTTTATCGCTGGTAGCATGCTGCTTGATGGCTGTTTCTCTTGTAGCTTGTGCTCTCAATCAAGAAGGTGCCAGTAACGCAACATTACAGACATTCAGACAGCCAAAGAAGATTGCTTTTAGTGTCTTTAGTGGTGGTTCTTCTCATGCAAATTGGGTTCTTTCCATTATAGAGGAGCTTTCCAAGAGAGGCCATATTACTACTTTTCTGACAAAGGTAATATTTGATTGGTATCGTGACGAATGCCGTTTATTAACGCGCACATTTTGCAGGATGGCCACGAAAAGTTTGGAAAGAACTTTCCCTCGATAGAAACTGTGTCCATGGGCGATGATACCAAAAACAACAATGCGTTCAAGCTGTTATCCGAGAATATCAGACAAGCGACGCTGGCAAGTACAAGTGTGAATTTTATAAAAGTGATGGGAGCCACGTTTGAAGAAGGTACACTATCTACTCTTTCGTTTACACTAACAGTAATACACTGACACATCATGCTATTTAGACTATCAAACTACTCTGGAGTTTTTCAAGTCAAGACAAATCGACGTCGCTGTCTGCGATCACTTTTGTATCAGCTGTCAAGAGGCCAGCACTACACTTCAAATCCCCTTTCTCATCACAAACAGTCTTGCTGTAACGCCTGACACAGAAGCACCGTACATCAACAGCGACGATTTGCTCATGCGAGCCCCAACCAGCCTCGAAATGACATTTAGCGAGCGTGTTTATAAGCATTTGATTGAACCTGTCGAGATATTTCTCAAGACGTACACGCTCATTCAGGAACAAAAGCAACGGTACCTTTCTTTGGGTATCAAAGATCCAGTGTACCCGCACGAAGAGAGATGGAAGAATTCTATAAAAATGTTCAATACTGCATTCGGCTTTGAGCCAGCGAGGCCTTTGGGGCCCTTGGTTGAGTTTATAGGCCCCATCATTCCGAAAACGGCGGCCAGTGCACTGTCAAACGAGTTGGAACAGTTTCTCATCAGTCATCAGCGTGTGGCGTACATTGCATTTGGACAACATGCCGTATCTACCGAAAGTGAGATCACTGTCCTACTGGCTGGGCTGCTAGAAGCATACGAAGCAGGTGATATTGATGGCATTATTTGGTCAACACGAGGTTTGGATGGTATCTTTCCTGTTAGATTAACCACAGAATCCAACACTACGTATGCCATTCAAGAGCTTATGAAACAAGAAGCGACTGATGATATTGTATTCCTCAATTGGGCGCCTCAGACAGCCATTCTCGAACATCCATCGACCGTTGTATTTGTCACACACGCTGGGGCCGGTTCATGGCATGAAGGATTGCACGCCGGCAAGCGTCTGGTCTTTTTCCCATTCTTTGCTGATCAACCTGTGAATTCGTTGATGGGAGAAAAATTTGGTATGGGTCTCAAGGTCAACTATAAAGACACTCGACAAGAGGCTGCCAGAGTAATACAGCGGGTGGCTAGGGATGAAGACGGTTCTTTCCAAGCAAGCGTCAATCGATTCCAGGCATTGGTTCAGATCAAGAGTAAAGCAGGTGTTGGTAAGGGTGCTGACCTGGTGGAGGAAGTTGCTTTTATGCATCAAGACACTCTTCTCCATCACCGCAGAGATGTCAAGCGCGACCTATCTTTTATCAAGGCTCACAATATGGATGTTTATGCATTTGGTTTTGTAATAGCTTGTTTGCCGTTATTTGCAGCCATGTTCTCATTGAGCGCCTACTTTAAGAGGTATACTTTGCATGTGAAAGTCAAAATGCAGTAAATAAAGCCATCAAACATTCTTACATTGATCCATGTTGCACTTGACGCTGATATGTTTGTGTTTGTATGTTTTGAATTCACATGATGATAAATTTCGCCAACACAAGAAAACTTGACAGCGAGTAAAGTATTGATATCAAGCTTACTGGTAAAGTTCATTTTTTGCGTGTTGGCTTTTTCTTGCAATAGTAAAGCTTCAAGTAAACGTGGATCTCCTTATCCTGTCGGCAGCCTTTTGGGAAGCTGTTAGAAATTAGGATTCTTTTCAGTTGAGACAGATGTTGTTTGAAAAAGAACTATGTTTAATTGACAACCAGTTTATAGCGTTTCCAATTAGAGAGGTGCTTTTCAAGCAATCTCTGAATCCTCTCGTCAAGGGTACTAGTTCCGTTTACTGAGAGGTGGACAAGGAGGTTGGCTTTGTTTGGTGCTTACGCCCGACTTTGAAGAAGACTTCTTGCAAGATTCCTTTGTATGTTCTACTTTTTGAATTGACATATTCTAAGGTTTACTAATCAATTTTCTTCACCATTTTGGTGGCTTCTTTTCTCTTTATAGGGCTCAATCAATAGAAGTAGAAGTAGATTCGTATAGTGTTGCATTTGGTATTTAATAGGCTATGAATAAACAAATGTTGTGCGAAAAAAATGTTTTTTTTAATCAAGTACCATTATAAAATATCACACAACAGTTCTTAACATCAGATACAAAAGGAAAGACTAGTAAGAGGATAAGAAAGCAAATACATGGAAGTGTCAATTGGGAGGCCATATTTGATGATTTTCACATATAAAACAGAGAAGTAATAAGTAACTTGTACGCAAAACTGCAGGCAGGAGCCAGTTTATCAATTAGCATCAGATTTATACAAAGGCCACTCAATGTTGGCTTCTCTTTCCTCTTTTCCACACACAAAAGACTTGATGAGAGATATCAAAGAAGGTTGCCCTGCATCAAATCATACAGTCATCAGCGCTCTTGATACTATACCATCAAGCTTATCTATACCACAAATAGAGCAATGTTGCATTGAAAACGCACCAATCGTCAAATCAAAAGCAGAGAAGAAGTTGCTCAAAAAGATCCACTGTACGCTTTTGCCTATTGCTGGCATGATCATATTTCTTCAGATATAATCAGCGTTCACATCAAGGGAAACTTTATATATACTTACGATAGAGCCATTAGTTTGTAGACAAGTCAACATTGAGCGTGGCAGCAGTGCTTGGTATTCTACAAGAAACACACATGAACAAAATTCAATACAGTTGGTTAGGTTTTTTTCTTCTTCTTGGGATACCTGGCATTTCAACTACCCAACAACTGTCTGCTTCAACGTATTCCGGTGGGCCGATACTTGGGCATCGTGTTGATCGTGTGGGGCATCATGACAGCATTGACAGCATTAGCGCAAGATTTTGATCGGTTGGCGGTCTGCCGTACTCTGTTTGGTTTATTTGAAGGAGGCACTTACCCTGCCATCTTGCTGACTTTCAACACTATGTATCGACGTAGTGAGCAATCAGCGGCTTTGGGGTTTGTGTTTCTTAGTAATGCTGTAAGTTCCGTTGTGGGTACTGCTGCGTTTGTCGGCATTGCCAAGATGGGCAGCTCTCATGGTATATCTGTGTGGAAATAGTAAGCATGCTCAATCGAGTCATAACAGCGTTATTGATGTATCTTACACATACATTGATATACAGGACGTACATTATATGGGGAACTATCACAGTGACAGTGGGACTCATAGCTTTTTTCATGCTAGTCGATTGTCCCAACTATTGGCTATTGCGAATCACACAAGAAGAAGAAACCATCATGCAAGAACGCACAAAGGACAACGCTGTGGTAAGAATATCCACTATTGAATAGCGTCATTATTGGGAAGCACTCAGAGAAGCACGATTCTGGTTAATTTGCTTGGCAGTGCTGTGCAACAACCTCCAAAATGGCAGCCTCCTTTTATACAGCACTCTTTTTGTACATGGTCTTGGATTTGACAGCATCACTTCCATTCTACTTCAAATCCCAAACGGCGTCTTTACCGTCATTTATATTGCCATTGCAGTTCTTATTCATCGCAGAACACAACAGCTCGTTTTCACAGCATGTGGGTTATCAGCTATTTCTATGGTGAGGTGTCTGCTACTGACAATACTGCCAAATACAGCTATAAAACTGATCGGTTACTACCTCACTTGGGCTCAAGTAAGGTCGTTTGTATTGACATTGACAGTCTTGACCTCCACTATATCTGGCTACTCGAAAAAGATCTTTTACAATGGCGTGGTGATGATATTTTATACATTAGGCAATTTCGTTGGTTCATTGATGATTGTAGATGCTCAAGCACCGTCTTATTATGGAGCCATGTGGGGATACTTTGGCTGCAATGTCACTGTAATACTATATCTTTTGTTGGTGAGATGCTGGCTATCCAATTTGAACAAGAAGCGGATAGATCAGAGGTCAACTACATCTACAAATGTCCATCTCAATTTGACGGATAATGAGGATCACAATTTCATTTACAGTAGTCGCTCTATATAAGGCTACTTTTTTGGCGAGGTTTTTTTAGCCTTATTGCCCGCATAGCCTTAACTGGCGCGCGTGACTTCTGTCAAAAAAGTCGTGCGCGTAGAATCTATTACTATAATAGTTGATCAAATAAATCAACTTGATACCTCCCCAGTAACATTCATTTATCTGTTTATTTTACTTCTATTGAACGTAATATCCTATCATGTGCCTTAATCAAAGATCAAGAGATCGCCTCACAATCGAGCAAAAGTATCGCATTATTATGCACAACATGCACTTTCCTAATCTGACGCAAATGCAACTCGGTCAATGGGCTCAAAAGGAATTCAACCTTCATCACTCAGTCAAGCAAAAAACTGTATCGAACGTCTTGAATTCACAGGACAAGGTGATCAAAGCTTACGAAGGAGGAAATTTGAAGGGAAAAAGCAGCAGAGCCTTGACGATGCCACAATTGGACAATGACATTTTGGAGTACATTCAAGCCATGAATGCAAAATCTCTTCCTGTCAATCGTGGAACTATTGCAGCTTTTGCAAAAGTAGTCGCACACAGAAAGTACCGCATGCATGAATTGCCAAAGAATAAGCAAATCCATTTCTCAGATGGATGGCTAACCGATGTTTTCAAGAGAATTGGTGTCAAGTCAAGACATTTATATGGTGAAAAAAGCTCAGTCGACTTAACATCATCTAAGATTGTCGAAGAACTCAGAAAGATTGAAGAATTGTTGGAGCCATATGATCCCAAAGATATTCTCAACTTTGATGAAACTGGCTTATACTACGAGCAACAACCAACTCGCACCATTTGTCAGGAACCTTTAGGTGGTTCAAGAAAAAGCAAGAACCGATTCACAGTTGGACTAATCACCAACTATGATGGATCCTATAAAGGGCACCCCATTGTAATTGGGAAACGAAAGACACCAAAGGCAGCAAACAAAAAACCTGCTTTGTACAGAAGAACCACCAACATCGGGCAATCCCATTACGTGGAGTACCATTCATCTCCCAATGCATGGATGAACACCGATATCTTTAGGAAGTACGTAAAACGTTTGAATGCGTCTTTCGTTTACGCCGGAAGAAAAGTTGCTCTCTTGGTTGACAATGCTTCAGTGCATAAATTGAAAGAAGAATTCAGCAATATTAAGTTGATTTTCCTTCCAGCAAACACAACAAGCAAGTTGCAGCCTTTGGATGCCGGTAAATCAACAAATTTCATTGATATACGTACTCATCTCTAATCACACACTCGATAGGAATCATTGCGAACTTCAAGGCTCAGTTTCGTTGGCACCAATACTACAGGGCAGTGAACAAGTATCTTGCTGGGGTAAGCCTTGATCTTACCGAGGAATACAGAATGGATGAGGTGGATGCTCTGTATTTTCTTGCTGATTCTTGGATCAAAGTTAAGCCTCAAACAATCTAAAATTGCTGGGATCATACGAAGATCCTTGATTTTAAGTTTGCTCAGAGACAGAGAGTCGACTCGGAGGATGTACTCCCATCTTTCGAGCTACCTTTAGACGATGATCTAGTCAGCCAGTTGAACGAAATCATCCCTGAACTTCCTGGAAACAGAAGTAATGATGGGGTTCAATTGGTAACTGAAGTAAACGACTTGGATCTAAATGCAGATGAGTCTGATGCAATCGTTTTTAATCCCGTGATTGTTGAATTTGAGGATGGCGATGATGTTACCCATGGATCACAAGAGCTTGAGGTAGAGGAAGAACCAGTAGAGATTTACGATGTTGATACGAAGGAGATAAGAGAGAAGTTGAAGCATGCGTATGAAACTATCTTGTACCATACCATCCCAATGGATGAAAAAGAAAAGTCTATGCTGAAAACTATCCGTAGGAATCTGAACGATATCAGATCGGAGGAAGTAGCAGAGAAAAATCAAACAGATTTACGTGATTATTTTGTTTAAATGTGTTATTTTTCAATAAAAGCTATATATTTTTTATTATCTGATTGGCCTTAAATTCAATCTCAGCGATCACCACTATGAAATAAGGCTAAAATTTTTAGAATCTGTAGCCTTATATAAAATTAGGCTATTAAGGCTAAATAGCTGGTAAAAAAAAAAAAACCTGAAAAATTTCAGCCTTATTCCCCGCATAGCCTTATATAGGACGGCCTTATATAGAGCGACTACTGTACAATTTGTAAAGGACTTTTTCAGGTTTGCAATAAAGTACATCGCCATAGTTTAGGGCTGGATACAGCGTACCAGATTACAGCACATAAGATCTATAAATAGCCCTGTTACCTCAGATACCAGATTATATGCTGTTATTTGCGCTTATCATCTCAAGCAGAATCAATTTGTCGTTCTTCATATTGACTTGACTGAAAATCGATGATGCGATCTATGTTCAAGGCAGAGCAGGTCAAAATATAATAGCAAGATATCAACTCTTGACTATAATGGTCTTGCAGATCAGACATGTCAAATGAGTTTCAAATCTATTCTAGCAGCAAGTCCATCAATGTTAACAAGGCAAACTCAATTATTATTAAGACTACCCTCTCAATAGCTTGTCATTTCATGCAGTTAAGAGTTACAATGACTGGTATATGTCATGTTACTTTTGTGCAACTTGCAATGCCAAAAGATACCTATCAACCAAACGGGCAAGCTGTCAGGAGACAGATGAAAGCCAGTCGAATAAGAGAGAAGATGTGTCATAAGTGGCTTAGGGCATATTTGATATATTAATTCAATTTCCACGACCTCACCCATTTCTTCTTTTTTTCTTGAAACTATCAATTCACCTGGATTTATACATTATATAAAAAATGGCTACTGATATAGCTCAAGCTACAGAAAAGCTTAGTATCGCTGAAAGTAGGTATCATGGCCTCCAGATTGAACCGTGTTGTACTCATGTCATTAACGCCCATCTTTTATTGAATAGCCGTCTTTGTCGACGAAGTTGCTGGTTGCGACACCAATGGCAACGGTACAGAAGCTGCCCCCTTCAAAACTGTCATTAAGGCTCTTGAAGTCAAGGGCGATAACATTAAGGTTCAAATCAAAAAGGACGCTGAAGGATTCAAGGACATTTCTGGCGCTGCTTTGAAGAAGGCCAAGAAATCGCTTGCTGAACAACAAAAGAAGGCAAAGAAGCTCCAGGAACAAAAGTCAAAGCAAGATGCTGATTTGAAAAAGAAGCAAGAAGATGAAGCCAAGGCTCTTGAGTACGCTAAGTCTGTCGTTCTCACCGAAGACAAATCTCTTCCTGAGGCTCAACAAGTATGGCAATTGAATCGATACACGATATGATATCATTGATTGACATGTGCGTATATGTAGATCAAAATCCGTCAAGCTGTTGCCAGCAGAGGTAAGCGTGTCAAGGTCTCCGGTTGGGTTCATCGTCTCCGTGTCCAAGGTAAGGACATGATGTTCATCATCCTCCGTGATGGCTCCGGTTACTTGCAATGTGTTTTGACCGGTAAATTGGTAAGTTGAGAGAATTCAGGGAGATAGAGAGAGATAGAGAGAGAGAGGAAAGGGCCGTGTTTTAACGTAAATATTGCGGTAGTGTCACTCTTTGGATGCTGTTACTCTCACCATTGAATCCACTATTACTGTTTGGGGTGTCATCAACGAACTCCCTGAAGGCAAGACTGCTCCTGACCACCATGAGTTGGTTGCCGATTACTGGGAAATCGTTGGTAAGGCTCCTAGCGGTGATGATGCCTTCAACAACAAGGTAACTCCTGATGCCGATCCTTACTATCTCTTGGATAACCGCCATCTTGTCCTTCGTGGTGAGACCGCCTCCGCTGTCCTCAGAGCTAGAGCTGAAGTCATCAAGGCTTTCCGTGCTTTCTATGACGAGGAACACTTTACCGAGGTCACTCCTCCTTGTATGGTCCAAACTCAAGTTGAGGGTGGTTCCACATTGTTTGCTTTCAACTACTATGGCGAGAACGTAAGTCAATTGATACGACTAGGATAGTCTGAGTGTGCTCATTAATTTTGTAACGTAGGCTTATTTGACTCAATCTTCTCAACTTTATCTCGAGACATGTCTTCCTTCTCTTGGTGATGTTTTTTGTCTTGCCGAATCTTATCGTGCTGAAAAGTCTCACACTCGTAGACATTTATCTGAATACTCTCACTTGGAAGCTGAGATGGCTTTCATTAAGTTTGACGATTTGTTGGACCATCTTGAGAACATGATGTGCTTTGTCATTGATCGTGTCTTGGCCGATGAGGAAACCTCCAAGTTGGTCAAGCAATTGAACCCTGATTTCAAGAAGCCCGCTCGTCCTTTCCTCCGCATGAAGTATGAAGATGCCATTACTTACTTGAAGGAGAACGAAATCAAGAAGGAAGATGGTTCTTACTATCAATTTGGTGAGGATATTCCTGAAGCTCCTGAGCGCGCCATGACTGACAAGATTGGTCGCCCTATCTTCCTCACTCATTTCCCTGCTGAGATCAAGGCTTTCTACATGCAAAAAGTTCCCTCTGACAGACGTGTCACTGAGAGTGTTGATGTCTTGATGCCTGGTGTTGGTGAAATTGTTGGTGGTAGTATGAGAATGGACAACAGAGTAAGTGCGCCATAGTATATTCCCAATGATTAGTATTCTAATAAGGCTCTTTTTAATAGGAGGAATTATTGGAAGCATATGGTACTGCTGGCATTGACCCTGCTCCTTACTACTGGTACACTGATCAACGCAAGTATGGTACTACTCCTCACGGTGGTTACGGTCTTGGTGTTGAGCGTTTCCTTGCTTGGCTTCTCAACCGTTATACTGTTCGTGATTGCAGTCTCTATCCTCGCTTCACTGGCAGATGTACTCCTTAAGCAGAAATATAGAATAGAACTCATTGGCATTTATATATTTTTACATGATAAAATCAAACAAAATCGACATTGTAACAATAACTTCATGTATATCTTGTGGCCGCATAAACTCTAATCTAGCGATCTGAAAGCGCGCCCTTTTTGCTGTAATTCAGGCACTTGCATATCCAAGCTTGTCAGACTAAATCAGTTTATATTTACAATGTTTCGTCTTGTAGTCCTTAACATCATATAATACAAGAACATCAAGCATCACATTTTGCATAAAGTTTATGAAATATTTTCTGTTAAAACCAAATCGAATTGTCATGCCTCCTGCTCAAGCTAGAGAAATTTGATAAATAAATGAAAAGAAATGAAAAACAAACATTTGAATGAATCTTATATATTTTTTGTTTCAGGAACGTGCCCGAAACTACACCAGACAAAGAGCTACATTAAGACCATCCAGAGCAACAAGACCACCGAGAGCGCCTGCCGCTTTTATTTCAGAGCTAAGAAGAATCCCGCCTCATTATCTCCAAGAAAATAATAATGCATCTAATTCAACACTTGATAGCATTAGTTTATAGAGAGGGTTTACCATATCGAAGCAAAGGTGCAAAGCCATGGTAATCAGGCGTCTAATCCAATACTTGGTAACATTGATCTATAATATGAGGGCTTGATCGCAGCGAAGCGAAGGTTCAAAACCATAGTATTCAGCAGCAAATTCGGGTTTTCATTTCTATTGTATATAAGCGTACCAGCAACATAGCGCATCAAAATTTGCATGAATCAGCTCTACCGAAATCAATATTCCTTCTATTCGAATTAAAATTTACTCAAGCTACAGAACTACCTTTCCAGCAAGCCGCAGCTACCAAAGATGCGATTCATGCCATGTAAATAAACTCTATAAAGCAATACATAACCAAACTTGACAGCTTTCAAGCCTTCATATCTTGACATGTAGACCTTTCTGAGCCACCAGAATAACGCCAAACAATTGTACTCGAGTAGTAGCAACTTCCTGACATCTTTGCTCAACTTTTTGGACCGAAAAAAAAACATGTCCAAAAATCGACCAAAAAGCATGAGGTACCCCTCATGGTTTTCATCGAAAATCAAACAATCACGTTTTTGACCTTGATAATGAAGACTTTCACTATGGTATGTGTTAAATCAAAATGTTTCTCTCAATCCAAAAGCAACCTCTGAAACCACTTTTATGAAGTTTTCATATGCAAAATATGACTATTTTTGCCAAAAACCTCATTTCAAATTTTATTAAATTGTTCAATAATTTCAGTCAAAATACTTATTACACTTAGCACCATTGGAAGCGCCTTGAAAAGTACTTGAAGAATGTATTAGGAAGCGTAGGGTGATCATCACAGTTAATATAGTCGAATATCACAAAATAAGTTAAAGAAGTCGAAAAAAAACAAAATATGTCCAATCTTGAACAGAAAAAATAAACTGAGTTTGAATTAATTTTGGCGGCGGCATTGCTGCTGGCTGACCTAAATGCCTTTCTGTTGATGACAATGATGATTGCGATGCTGATTAAATAGGGATCATGGAATTGAAAGGGCAATTGATTAGTGCAAATACTTTTTTTTGGGGGATTTTTGCCTCATGAATGTGTCTTTTGCAATGACAATATCTCAAAAAAGTCGCTGTAGATCTTACACAAGTCCTGTATTTGTGCATGGCCAGCTTTATGTCGCCATCTTTAGAGTATCAGCAACAGTGAATGGTATGGCAATTCTACAATCTAAAAAAGAAGATTGTGGTGAACAAATGCTGCAATTTCCTTTCATATCGTCTCAATAATAGGCTTCGTTTGATATCAGTGTAAGCAAAAAGGGTGCTGAGGGAAATGCCTCCTCTTCTCCTCATGGCTCTGAGATAACCTTTTTTTTTTACTAATAATTGTTTAAAATCTACTTGATATACCAAAATTTTATCATATCCGATTTAAAATGTCTTTGGCGAGAGCTTGCAGGGCGACGCCGACATCGAGCATAGCGAGATAGAGCGACTTGTACTTTCTATACGATACCATGTGCCACTGTACCTACACTGTAATTCTGATGCTCGCGATGGTGATGATTTGCAGCTTTCTTTATATTCCATGCACCCCTTAAAAGGCTGTCCGATCACTTTAATAACTGATTGTGGATAAAACAATTGCTTTCACCCGAGAAGAAAAACGGGAATAAAATGTCGAGGAGGATGAGGACTAGAAGGAGAAGCAGGAGGAGGGGTAGCAATGTTTATTCAACAACCATAATATTTATACAAAACTTCAGGGGCCTCGAGAAAACGATGGACTAATTTGGATCATTTCTCGTCATTGAGCTGTATGCAAAAACAAAAGTGTGAATGGTATCATAGCTTACGTAGATCAGCTTGCTACATACTTTTGGTTGATTCGTACAACTCGTTTTTTGTATTGACATTTTGCTCTTTTATTGCGCGGTAATAACACGTGTAGCACGAGTTGTTATTGCATCGACACATTGATATGCTATCTCTCTGGGGTATCCATAGTATTCGATGGTATAAAGTCTCAATAACAAATAAGTCTGTATAGAAGCTTATGGAAAGTATCTCAACGTATAGATGCTATATGGCGTTGGCTCGCGAGTGACGAGAATATGATGTATATACACAACCTTCTTATTAGTTTCGTTTTTTTTTTTGCAACATTTTGTATATATAAAGGCACATATCTCTTTCACTTTACTCTTTTCTTTATCGTTATTATTTATTTATTTATTTATTTATTTTTCGTCCATGTACTTACATTTCACAAATCATTTATACATTTCGATATATACAAATCAAGCATGAATTATCCCCGCCCTCCTTGATGAACTTTATGATATTGAACTTTGCTACATGAATAGATCACTCCATTGCGTTGTAACTAAAAGTAAGTGAATAGCTTATGGTCATTGAATAACTTGCCCCTATTTACATTTCTTCTCTTTTTCCCTTGTTGTGCACTAGAACAATAGAGTCAAATGTAGATTTTGCTCCTGACGATATTTGAACTAGTAGATACTGTTTCATTTGTATTATTTGAAATGGAAGAAAAAAGAAGGAAAGTTCATGATTACTTAGTTTGGGTGGGACAATCAAGGAGCCTTTTTTGTCTAAGGAGTGCACTATTTATATAAGCAAAAGTGGGGGACAAGAGAGGCGATATTGCATGAATACTTGCTATCGATCTTGAAGTGGAATCACAGATCGAGACAAGTGCGTTTGTTTGTTTATTAGAATCTTATATTTAAGACGATTTTGGCAGTGCAAGGCACAGCCGATCAAACTAAATCAAGTCAATAGGATGAGATACACAAGGGGGTGTATTGGCTCAAAATCATGTCTCCTCTCCCCCCTCAAAAAGCGCCCCTTCCTCTCTTCCCTCTCTGACAAAACAAACACAAATATGTTCCATCTTTCCTGCTCTGTTCTTTCCCAAATGTAAATATGTTCTCATAATGCGAATTGAATCCCCCGCCTCCACCCCCAATATGAGATGCATTTTTTTTAGTGCAACAATAATCAAAAGTATAAATTTGTTTAATGATCTGTAAGATTACAACGCCATCCTTCTTTTCTTTTTGCTTCTCACTCATTTTCTCTCTCTCTCTCTCTGAACCATCTTCAATATGTCGTCCATCTTTTACCAATCTCACGCCCAATCATTCCCTAGGAAGAAATCCCCCTCTTCCTCTTCCTCCTCGTCTTCAGAAAACAGTAGACGAAGATACAAATGTCCCATGTGCTCAAAATCATTCTTCCGTCTCGAACACTGCACAAGACATATAAGGATCCACACGGGCGAGAAACCGCATCACTGTACGCATTTAGGCTGCAACAAGAGGTTCTCCCGCTCAGATGAATTGATCCGTCATGTAAGAACCCATGAACCTCTGTATGACACTGATCAAGAACAAGATGTCCATATGGTGGAACACCAATCTGCCATGTCACACCAAATCAGATACCATCCCTCTTCCGTTGCCGACTTCAGTCAGTCTCAGTTTCTGCACAGAACACCTCATCACCCATCAAACCATATCAAGCTGCCTCCCTTGAGATCCTTCCCTCCTGTAAAGCCACAACCACTTGAATGCAATGTTTATCAGGATAAACCGGTTGTTTCTTTGTGTCTTAAGCCCATGCAATCTCTTTTTGAATACAAAAAATTGTTTATGGATAGTAGCAATCAGACCTATACTAGCCGCACTTGTGCTGCCTCTATACCTCAATTCGCACAACATCAACATCACCAGCAATTCAAACCTGCACTAGCAGACAAGCCAGAGCCTTTGCCATCCATCCGCTCACTATTATTATAAGATTCTAAGCTTTTTTTTTCCTTTTTTATTATTTTTTTGCTTCCCATGCGTACATACATTGCACAAAATTACAAACACATACAGTAAATTATACCCCTTCTCCCTTTCCCCTTCTTTTGTACCGTTACATATATAAATATACATCTACATGTCGTCCTTCCTTTTTACATAAATGAATAAATTCATACATCTATAATATCGAACTGAATAGCCGTTAATGATATATAGTATGTGTCTGTGATCATTCAAGTGTAGGCACAATTGGAAAGAGGGAGGAGCTGGATGTTTCCCTATTGAATCTGTTGTATTCACATAAACAAGTTTGTATTAACTCTAACAAGATTCAGGGAGAAAGATAGAGGTAGCAGATAAATGTAGACCATTTTTGAGAAATACAATATCCACTGATAATGTACAAACAATAAGAATCCCTTTCTTGACCAATTTCCCTACTATCTTTATATATATATGTATATTTTGTTTATTGACTGAACCGCGTACACTATGAGTAATAGAGCAGAGTGAAGAGGCGGGTGCAATTGAGATAAAGACATAAGAAAATATATATAAAAAAATACTACCTATTACCTATATTTATCAATAAATGCAATTCCACCATTTTTGACTTGGCTTCTACAAAATGGTGATTATATCAACTGATTTTTTCATGGGTTTTAGCACTTTTAGCAAAATGGATTTGTTTGTTTTGTATGTCTTCACTATCCCCCAATTCCGAATGTACTTGTGTGAAGCACATGGCCTGAATTTAGTTGCCAAACAACGGACAAGAGCTCTGTATACACATACATTCAACATTGCCACAAATAGACAAATAGACAAATAGACAATATGCTTAGTTGCTCATGTTTGTACACATACAAATGCCCCGCTCAATAAGGATACACCCAGATTTGAAAACAGTGCGTTTACAGGCCTATAACTATCGAGAAAAAATCTTAGGGGGAGGGGTACAAAGGGGTAAGTGTGAGACATTTTACGGACACAAGGCACTAGAAAATAAAGGAGTTGATTTTATTTATGGCATTTCTCTATCAAGCAAATACCCAATTACTACTTATTAAAAAAACAAGGGATTTGGGCGTATCAATGTACATGAGAAAAAAATTGTGCTTTGCATTCGATTCTAATTTTTCCATGTTTTGGAAGCTAAATGTACTTGCATACATACATGAGAACTTTCCGATTCAAATCTTTGAAATTTCCGCTTTGAATAAATTAAAGCCACTACACAACCCTACATACATACCTAAAGCGTCTTATCGATGTGCTTACAAATGTTCGTAACGCCCAATTCATGTCTAGGAATAAAAAAAAAAAGCTAGATCTGAGCCAACTACTTTTGTCATTATTTTTGATTTCTTGGATCTTGCGCATGTAAAAAGACACAGCTGACGCTGAGAAATCAGGAAAAGTAAGGTATTACATGTATCTGACAAGGTCAAAGGTCAGCATACACCACAGAAGATAGTCGTTCTTGTTTGTCATTGACCTGTTTTCCAGGAGACTACTAATGGAAGCAGATACTAACTTGATTCACAGATTTGATACTATAGATATCAACAGAGAAGTTGACTTTACACGATATATGATCACATTGACGCCAAGTACATGCATCTTCTAGCAGCATTAAATTCCGTTTAGTGCTACATATTGTAGTAGTCTACGCAACAGCGATATGGAAAGCAGTGTATATCCTGTATTAGAGAAGGTGTACAATGTTGCCTCCTTCCCTTCTTCTACCCAGACAACCCCAGTTTACCCCTCACCCATCCCCTTGATCATAGATCTATAAAGATGCCCCGAGGACATTTCATGTCCTAAAATTAAACCTACTATTTTGCACATACGAACATTGGTGGAATATCATGATTTCTGATTAGATAGGTACGCTAGATACTATCACCACCAAAAAAAAAAAAAAAAACATTCGGTCTGCAGCATGTACTTTTGAGCTAGCAGCAAAAGGAAATACGCTCATGCCACTACATGTATTTCTGCGTTTGTAGACATAGAAGCAAAATATAAGCAGGTGTATTTTGGAGGCAAAATCAGATAATAGCAACTAATCACTCTACTAACTTTATCTCTCGTCGTTTTTGAGTTCATTTGTATCCTTCAAACCACACGATTAGTGCTGAGTTTTTGTTTCTATCAAAATATAGATGCTTCTTTTGTAGTACTCCAATTTGAACGATATGTATACAGTTTGAAGACGGATTTGCTTTGAAAAAAGCTTAGCACGTGAGTTAAACGACATTATTGTACATTGTAGGGATGTGATTTTTAAACGAGGAGAATATGTATATCTTCAACTGGAAGACTTCCTAGAGCTCAACATAGTAAGCTACAGTCATCTGATCTTCGAAACATAACACATCAACATGTCAACTATCTATAGATATTTTGAAAGCAGCAACTTATTGAGAAGGCTACGGCACACTATGAAATCAAGGTCGACGACATATTCGGCTGGGCTAACACCCTTGAGCTGCCATTTAAATAGTACCGACAGATCCGGATGTTGCTAACTGCGAAGATCATTTCTCAGTTCACACAAAGATCACATCAGATCGTAACCTTTTATGACATGAAACTGAATCAGTGACAATCCCAATTATGGCATGTTCAAGACAGTATACTGGATCTATTATTCTATCACCCGGATCATTCCATTTAATACTACCTTAGCCTCGCTTCAGTTGTTCTGTTTCGAATAATATATAGACCCTATTATTTCTAATATAATAAATATATCCCTCACCAGATTAATTTTACATTCTTTTATCTAAATAATATATTTCTTTTGAGGCAGTCGATCAAAAACATTACGGCAGTAATCGAAAAATAACGCAAATCCTGTGTGTACCTGAACTTACCTCCTTCCAAAAGAATAAAAAAAAAAAACCCATTTCCTGTCCTGTATGTACATTTAGTAGACTACCAGAGCATCACATGCCAGTCCATAGCAAAAATACAGTGCCGTTGCCTAGAATTGAATGTGTGGCATTGCCTATCAAAGCGGGAAGCCTTGATCTTTGTATCAAACCTCAATGAACAATTACATAATCATATATAAAGATGATACGACAGATGACTTTTTTTTTCGCTGTATGGAGATTGGGAAACAATTTATAAAAGTGAGAATTGGGTAATCCTTTTCAAAACTGATTATTGAGGTTGTATAGAATTGTCATGCGCTTCGGGTAATACTACTCTTCGTAGCTACCTTACAGCTTCAATTCAGGAGAGCCTGTTTTTCAGATATTTGAGGGGTTTCATGGGAAAACATGTACTTAAATAGTGAATTTACTAAAGAATATCCTCCACATAAAACTGTGTGATAAATGCCTGACCGAATAGTTGCATTCATCACTATCTTACTTTTGAATGAAGAACTTATATTGTATCCATTTGGTCATTCTTTTATTACAAAAACGAAACAGTTTTAATGACAAATCAATAGGAAATCAACTAGTTGTAGACCTTCGTTGTTTCAACCTCTTAACCAATCAGATTGCTTGAAAACTCCGCTGACCTAAAAAAAAATTTGCGAGGGTTTCCCTCTGTTTTGATGTGAGGCAAAATTTTAAGCGCCGCTATATAGCAATATAGCTGTTACTATCATCAAATTTCCCTCAGGTGCTAGAGCATGCCTTACTTACACCACCTAGCTTTAAATTCAGGCATTGAGACCCTCAATCATCACTAAAGTAAGTAGCGATAACCAAGTGGAGGCAGCCTATCGACCTCCTAGCCTCGGATAAAGTCTTGTTGAGCTTCAGGGATAGGCACATCCACACAACGTAAAAAAGGGTATGCTTCAAAGAAACATAATAATATAAAAAGAATGGAGAAAAGAACATGCTACAATACTATAGGAGTATAGTAGTATATGTAGGCAAAGAAAAAAGAAGGATACTCACACGCAATGAGTCAAAGAAAAGCATAACAAATACAGAATCAAAGATGTTCGCAACAGCTCGTTGTTGTTGCAACAAAAATGCATATATGAGCATCATGCATGGCAGTAATAGTCGGATGTAAAGCAAAACAAACGCACACAACTGCAAAAGCAACAGTGGCATTATAAGTTTGCAATATAACATAATGACTAATGTTCTTTCATGTGAAGCCACAGAGGAAGCACCACCAGCAAAAGAAAAAAAAAAGAAAAAAGCGCAGCAAGGCAAACATCATGAATGCATTATCACGAAAAAGGAAGCAATGATATAAGCGTTCAAAGAAGTTTTATATCATTGCGACCAGAAGAAAGAAGATACCACTTACCACAGCCACAGATAGACCAGATGAGTATAGACAATCACCTGAGACAGACCGGAGAACAAGCATGCACCAAATACAGTAGACCAGGAAAGATCAGATTAGTGGCAGCAACACCAGCACCATAGAAAAACTAAAGAACGAATGCCATCAGCAGAGAGCAGACAAACGCCAAAGAAGTTACTTAACACTTATTACCACCATAGATAGACCATACGAGTGTAGGCAATCACTGAAGACAGACCAGAGAACAAGCATGCACCAAACATAGTAAACCAGAGAAGACCAGATTAGCGGCAGCAACGCCAACACCATAGAAAAACCAAAGAATGAACGATACCAGAGACCAAACGAAGACCAAAGAAGCAATCACCAGACATGATAAACCAAAGAAGCTGACAGCAGAGATAGTAGAGAAGTAATGGCAGTAGCACTCACGTCAAACAGACAAAAAGAATTATCAAAGTCCAATAAACAAACTCAATTAGTGTTAATTCTACGCCTTTCAGTGCTCGTTATCGAATGGTACCTAGCATATTCCACGTCAAAAAAAGCAGTATCAAGTTCTTCCAACGGTACAAGACAGAGTTATTGGAAGCTAGAGTGTTATTATCAAACAAACAGTTTCCAAAACGACCATGGTTTGACGCAGAACGCGTTTTGCAAAAAGGGTAAAAATGGCGGCAGGGAAAAAAGAGAGAGCACCCTATCCGACGTCACGACCAGTAGATTTAGTCTCAGTCTTGTACCGTAGCAGCCGTAATTGCGGTAGTTTAATTTGAAATTATGCAGTGGTATTTTCGTGTTCAAACTTGACTTGATTTCACATCCTTCGAACGTTTTTGCTAAATTCGACTATGAAAACTATCGTTGTCACACCCAACTTTCTAATACATCTCGAGAGGACTAAAGAAACCGCATCGAATGGTGCTGATTACTTTCAGCTCTCAGAGCAAAAATAATGAGCAATTTCCAAAAATATAAAGACAGGTTTTCTGTAAATATGTCAAAATCTAGCATATAACAGTCTCATAAAAACAGTTCCCAGTGCTGCATTCCATCTTTACGATCAATTTAATATAATATGTATTATAGAAAAAGTCTTCATTTTTGGGGTAAAAAACGCGATCATTTGATTTTCAAGAATTTTCCCTTGCTAGTACTCATGAAAATCCTCATATTTTCATGGATTTGAAATGACCCATAAAATTTTGAGATAAAGCATCAGTAAGTAAAGTGTATCAAAGGAGAGCGATTTGGCCCTATTCTGGCCGTCTACAACTCTCTTCATTCCACAAAACAACAACAAAATAAATTGTTGTATACGAATAACGTGTCGAACCCATCTTTTATTCATAAAGTATACCATGTATCATAGTGAAGAGATCCTAGATCCTAGATAAGAAACTTGCACATAAAGTTGTAGTTCGTTGCCTGTTGTTCCACAAAGAAGAACTTTGCCCAGCAGCGCCACGAGGAGGTTTATCTACACGCATGCTGCGAAGTAGTTGTTTGATCTTATAGCCTTCTTACCACAATAACTATAAAGTGGCACTATACCGGCAAGTCCTAAGGCTTGGAGAAAATACACAGCTCCTCCTAACTCTACATGATTGTTTAAACTGTAGACGGTTGCTGTGAAAGAATAACTAAACAAGCACATTGAGCGGAGAGGCCGCAAGTCCATTGAATGGAGAGCAACCAGGCCACAGTGACCTAGGATAGCATTTCTTTGCCGTATACAAAGAGCATCGCAATGCAAGCAACTAGGTGGTATGCTAACCAAATGTTCGTCAAGAAGAATCTTGGTATACGTGGTAGATCAATTTCTTTGATAAGCTCTCAATAGAGATTTCAAGCAAAAGGCAGCTGCTCTTGAGCATGATATATGTAGAACGGAAAACCCCTTTTCGTTTCAGATGTACCTCTATCAATTGCTTGAAGAATAAACATTCCAAGGTGAGAAGTGTGAGCGAAAGCTTTTGATTTCATATCGAATAGACACGCTCATCAATTCTTCCTTGAAGATAAAGACCTTGTCCAGCAAAGCCTCAACAAGAGTCATTGTTCATCCGATACATTATTCTTTAATCATATCCTTGAAGAATAGATTCATGCCAAATACACTGTTAATGAGCTGTTTGATGTTTTTTTTGCGCCAAATGCTTGACCCAAGCCCAATAAGGTAGTAATCAACAGATAAAGACCAATAAATCCTGTATTTTTCTGGTAAGCAAAGCGGATTTGATTATACCCCAAACTCATGTCATGTCTGAAGAGTATTTACAAATGAGTTGGAGCAAAGTATGCATAACAGCTCATTTGAAATTGCTCTTTCCGCAAGCATTAGAAAGAATTTTTAGGAGAAAGCTTGGCATCTATGGTATATAGAGCAAGCATTTCTAATAATTACATACATTTGAAAAACTCGCTTTTCACAAGCCAAGCAATGATGCATGGCCTCAGTTAATAAACCGTGTCTGCGAACAGCCAATATACTAAGGATTACAGTGTTTTCACACGTGTGTGATTACTGCATGGATCAAAAATGTTGTTGTAACATTTGCATTGCTCCTTGCAGCAACATGAAGGGTCTTTGCTATAATATTTTGCATACGAAACAACAAGAGCTCTTTTGCAATCTAGAGTGCTATATGTTTCCCTACGTCAATGTAATAAGCACTGGCCAAGACATTTAAAACAGGAAATTTGCAAGCTCTATTTGCAACCATGGCAGCCATTAATCTCCTGTCGCTTGTACACTGTGAGGCGCGCAATTATTCTCGGACAGACAAAGTCCTATGGCCAATTTTTGATGCAATGCAACTCATCGCACACACTCTTCAAAACTCTACCCAAGGGTGAAATACAGCATCAAAAATTAAACATCCATGTGAGTGGCGTATTCTGTAACAATCGATAAAATGGTGCTACACATCTACTGTATAAGAAACGATCCGTGCATCATCTAAAAATACACATTGTTACTGTAACTGAAAGCACCGTGTAACGACTGGCTCTTGATGCAGTACCAAGAATGAGTCTGTGTTCCATGCAAACGTGTCCAGTCATTCTACCGCTTGAATGACGATTTTGCAATCATTGTAAATAGACACTAGTGTAGATCTAAGGAACCGTAGTACCCGACATCGTGATGGCAGTGTGTCAGCAATGCCAACTACGGTCAAACAGATGCAAAAAAAAAAAAAACTATAAATTGGAAACAGGTTTGCTCCCTTTCTTTTTCTTCTTCTTCCTTACATCACCCATCATACCTCCACTGTAAGAAATGTACTCATACCCTCAATACCATCCTGACTTTTATGAAAATCAAGGACATTGGGAGGAATTTCATCATCCATTGTCGCCCAATCAATATGAAATGTACGATGAAAATGATTACTACTATCCAGAACCTATTAACAACAAGAGACACGGGCAATACGATACTAGCCTCCGCAGAAAACCAGGCACAATGGATGAGTACTTCACGCAGCACCCTCTCACACCCAATAGATATGCAGATACTTACTACCCAGCCCCTGACTATTATTACTACGAACCAGCAGAAGACGAGACTAATGATATTTACTATTACCACCAAAGTCCTCATCATCGCCACGGGGCAAGATCAGCATCACCATCAAAAAGGAAAGACCGAAATATACAGCACTCTCGGCTTCGCCATAAAAGTTCTCTCAAGAAGAGTGAAGCGTGGATACAGCCAACTCCTTTTGTTAATCCACAACCCATGATACTAGATCCCATGATGAACTTACAGCAGCAGCAGCAGCAACAGCAGCAGCAGCAGATTCTAGGCATTTGTACTACAGATGCAATGATGCCCGTAATTCCAAACAATTTTGGGTTAATGCCCCAAGCACCCATGATCAACCATACACAACCTTATTTCATGCCATTGCCATCAGCGAGTGCCAATTACCCACCCTCATTTGCATTTCATCATCCACAACAGCAGCAGGCCATGCTTTCATTTGTACAGCCTATGCCACCTCCACTTTTATTGAATGATTTGTTTAATACCTTGAGCATCCAAGACAACAGCAACAAGAGCAAGGCAGTCAATGAAACAGATCAAACAGGGACCACGAACGCAAATCAAGAGTCATCGCCAGCACAGCAAGAACAGCAGCCAAAGACCACACCATCCACACCCATGGCACGGCCTATGCAAGTACCCCTACAACGCAGAAGATCCATGATGGAAACTGTACTCTCCTCATTTTCCCTTTTAGGGGACAATCAAAGTAGTACTAATCTCGCTCACAAATCATGGGATCCATCCACTTATGTGTCATTGAACGAAGCACTGAGACTTGGCACTACTAGTAAAGCAAATGATACTGATGCCAAGAATGACAGTGCCATATCCAGCAGCTTATCACCACGCTCAGTTGGCTCTGCTCCATCCGCAGTAGCAGCATCCAGCACCAAAAATGAAGAAGGTGGTAGCACCGCACTCTCTAGACGGGATTCGTTGAAATTGTCGCAAAAGATGAATGCATTACAAAGCCGACATTACATCTGGTGTTACAAACCGCAGAATGAAGAAGCTGCTTTATGGGCCGCATTTGATGTGAAGAATCAACGGAAATTAGATCATCATTATGCCAAGCTTACATCAAAGAAGCAGCAAATGATCCAACAGCAGCAGCAGCAGCAACAGCAGCAGAAAGAGAATGACAATGATCCAGCGACAGTAGTAGCAGCAGACACGACAGCAACGACGTCGTTCTTACCAGATGATGTGATCACTTTGAGCAAGCAATCGCAGCTATGCGGCCCCGTGATAGTGTCGCTGAATAAGGCTACGGCATGGTGCTTTGACAATGATTCATCATTTTCGTTTGGCTCCAGTGGACAAAAGCATATCTTACTGGACATTGCATGTCTACCTAGTCAGCAAAATCGATTTGTCGTGTCAAATCAACTGGTGTCCAAAGATCCGGTAGTAAGAAGATCAAAATCAGTGGATGGCGGATTGGCCACTAAATTTATAAATTCTGTTTTCAAACGGTAAATTCTACTTGTTCCTGTAATTTCAATAAAATGTAATATACCACATCACTCAGCATGCTGAATACTCTCTGGAAAATAAAACAACCTCTTTGAAATGACGTATTTATTAGTGAAAAATTGTATCAATGGTAAGGTAGATCAAAGAAACCCCCTTTAGACAGATGACTGATAAACTCCACCACACATGGATCTTCTGCCTTTCAATAAGGCAGGCAGGAACATCCACAGATTCTAGCATGATCTTTCACGGTGACGGCCTTTGATAGGTTTCAGCGATACCATCTGAAGACTATATAAAACGAGGAAAAAAGAGCAACGCGCGCTCCCCTTTCTTTACGCTATATACACGCATTACCAAGATATAAACCATGTCTGCATTCACTAGAGAAGTACAAAAGAAGTTTGATGCTGCCAAGGAGAATAAAGATTTAGTCTCGTACGAGACAACTGAAATTGAGAAGGAATCAGGAGGTATGAACGTAAGTATTATTGTTGGAGCTATGCATGAAGGGAGGGCCAAAAGAGAGCTCACCAGCAACGTAGTTTATCCTTTCTTTGGTTCCTGCCCTTGCTGAGAAGGCCAAGGCCAAGCAAGACAAGAAGGAGGGTGAGGAGAAGCACAATCCTTTCTTGAACCCCAATCCTGCCTTGGTCGTCAAGGAACTCGATAACCACATGATTCTCTTGAACAAGTTTTCCGTGACTCCCTGCCATTTGCTCATTGTGACCAAAGGTAAGTCGTCATCCTATATAGCTAGCATTAGCACACTCACCATCGATTATTTCTAGAATTCAAAAAGCAAACTGATCCTATTTTGCCGGATGAGCTTTATGAAGCATTCAAAACCATCAAGGATTTCGGTTCCTCTCAACCAACACTTGCATTCTATAACTGTGGACCCAACTCGGGTGCTAGGTAAGGGACAGAGGCAGAGACAGTGAGGCCAAGCCAATCAAGCACATACTGACAACTTGGATTAGCCAAGGACACAAGCATATTCAAGTGATCCCATTGAACCGTGATTACGAATTCCAACCTCCTCTCAAGCAGCTCTTTGACGAAATCTACGACCGTCAAATTGGCCAAATCTACGCCATCAACAAACTCCCCTTTGTCCATGTCATCATTGGACTCGATAACAACATAATCCGTGCCGCCAAGGACAGAGAATCCCTCACCAACTACTTGGCTCAAATGTTCTTTGGTATCTTGGATGCCATGTTTCAGCAATTGCGTGAAAACTCGCTTCCTCTCGACACATCTTACAACTTTTTGATGACCCAAGATTTCATGATGTTGGTGCCTCGTTCCAAGGAAACTGCTACCATTGAACACAAGGGCAAGCAATTTGAGTTCTCCATCAATTCATTAGGGTTCTCTGGTTCCATCTTGTGCAAGACGGAGGAAGAGTTGGAGGCACTGAAGGCACAGGAGAATTTAATGGATATGTTGACTCAAGTGGGTGTTGCATGGAGCCCGGATTCAGAGAAATACGATGCTGAAAGACAACTCGCTGAAGCTGCTGAATTGGTTTAAATAGCCAATTGTACTATCATTACTCCCCCCCTCTCTCTCTCTCTCTTCACTTACACATTTTCCATGCCATTTTCATTTCTACATAGAGTCAAATAAATTTATTTTCAAGAACCCAAACGAACGCCTTGGCCAGGGAATTGGTTTTGTGTATTGTTGTTTGTACTGGAGGAGGGACGAATGGGTGTGTTGGCATTGGTAGGCATGAAAATGGGTAAATAGCTATTGCCAGCCGAGTCGATCGAAACAAAGTTGTGTGATCTAGTAAAGAATTGCAGCCAGCTCTTGGACTCGTATTCATTAAACTTGTCTTCAGAAGGCACCAGGAAGCCAAGCTTTCCTTTGGCATCTATACACAAGCAGTAGATGAGTGGCTGTGGTCGGGATAGATCAAGTCGTACTTACAGAGGAAGCCAACAATGGCAGCACTGATATTGAGAAACACAGAAGCATCTTGCACCAAAAAGATAAAGAAAATAAACACGAGCACAGGCCACATCTTCTTTGGCATGCGAATAGCACCAGCAATCCTAAAGAAATGTATGGCTTCAGTCTCTTAAAATCCTCTCCAAATGCTCGTCTGTCTTACATTCTATCCTGCTGATCCTCTTCATCTTCCAAGTATGACCAAAAGACCAATCCAACGACCCAACCTGCCATTCCTCGACAATCCCAGACAAACAGTATATGTGTGTTTAGTTTACCAGCTGTGATGGATGCCATGACTAAAGAGTAGACAATACCCGGGATGATGGTGAACAAGACGAGCAGAATCCATAAGAATCGCAGTGAGCCCTGCTTTTTCTCCAGCTTGTACAGCTCAGGAAGTAACCAGATATCGATGATGAACAACTGGATGAAGCTATTTGTTGCAAATGGATACAATACAAGCCTGTAGACTAGTACGCGTTGTCATTTAGTATGGAATTCTGTAGAGACATAGCATTTACGTACCTTGAAAACTAACGGCATTCAGTGATATCAAGGAGGAAATATCGAATTGCAAGCTCAACAGAGGAAATACAATTCTATCGAGGATACAAATGATGATGGGAGTGTATAGCGCGATTTTAGTTACGGGCGGAATGGTGGTAAGGTACTGTTTGACATGATCTAGGAATGTTGACAGCGTATTATTGTAAGGTCTTGATGTAGAATTCTGTTCCATTGTTGTAAAAGCAAAAGAAACCCTTTCAGTCAATTGATGCAAATTTATATATTTGTGTTGTCTCGGCCAATGGTATTTGCTAGCCCATTTTTGCGCCACACACACACACGTATTTAGCTTTTAATTTAGCATATCTCTCTATTCTTAAACCTTGCATCTCTTTATTCTTTGATCTTACTGCTATAAAGTCTCTAGCATGAATCTAGGGCGAGAAGAAGCTATTTCCTCCTTTTGGTAAAATACACAGCACATCTTTGGCCCTTTGCCAAACCACAACAAAGCATGAAATATACCTCAATACCTGTGGATCTTTGAGTGCCCGCCTCATACAGACTCCAAACACAAGCTAGACAACAACGAAGCAAGTAGCTGTTTCTCAAATACAAATGGTCAAAAACAGACATGGCATTGTGCAAAATGCAAGCAGGAAAAGACCTAAAGCCATACACACCCACTATTACATGCCATCTTGTGAGGTACCACTGGATTATGCAAATGGTTTAGGGTCTTTGATTTACTTGGAAATTATTGACCGTACAGCACGTTGTTTCGAAAACATGAGATGAAGAGCAGGATGGGGTAATAAAAGTCATCGTCAATAACATGATGAAGGAGAAACTTCGTTGATATTGCAACCATCTTTTATTTTACATATACATCATTCACACGTTTTATACCGTTGATATCGCATTGATTTTTTTTTTACAGTCTTATATCTTTCACTAATCGACACTCTTTTTCTATACCCTTGACAATGGATAAACGCTTTACTACTATATATCATCATGAACTGACATAAAAATTAACCTAGATCAGCCAGCATACCATCCATGTCCAAATGAATTGAGAGCTCTCTTCCAAAATATCCTCATCACATGCCGACATAGGTTGTCAGACAGTGCCAATAGTCTTTTTTTCATGAATCAATGAAACACGTACTGCTTACATGCCATGTTGAAATGCTGAAAATCATGATTAGAAAGCTGCGATTGCATATGTATATTTTGATGGTAAGCCAGGCTGGTGAACCTCATTAATCAGCATCCCAATCATCATTGTCACATCCTCGAAACGGCCTTTGGGTCAGCCAGCAGCAGCGAGGCCGCTGCCAAAATTAATTTAACCTCAGTACATTTTTTCTGTTCAAGATTGGCCAGATTGCGTGTTTTTTCAACCTCTTTCATCTGTTTTGTAAGATTCGACTATATAAGCCGTGATGATCAACCTATGCTTCCTAATACATTCTTGGAGTACATTTTATGACGCTCCCAATGGTACCAAGTAAAATAGATGTTTTGATTGAACTTACTGAGCAATTTCAGAAAATATGAAACAACGTTTTTGGCCAGAATGTCGAAAATTTGCATATGATAACCTCTCAAACGTGGTTTCAGGGGTTGCCTTGGATCGATAGGAGCATTTTGATCTAATACATACCATAGTAAAAGTCTTCGCTTTCAAGGTGAAAAACACGATCGTTTGATTTTCGTTGAAAACTTTTTTTTTTTTTTTTTGGTTGAAAACCATGAGGTACCCCTCAGGCTTTTTGGTCGATTTTTGGCCATGTTTTTTGGATCCCCAAAAAGTTGAGCAAAAGTGTCAGAAAGTTGCTGCTACTCAAGTACAGTTGTTTGGCGTCATTCCGGTAGCTCAGAAAGGCTTACATGTCAAGATATGAAGCTTCAAAAGCTGTCAAGTTTGGCTGTGTTTTGGGCATTTGCTTGTCAATAGGCGCATTTCCGTCATGATACAAAGCCGTAAAGACATTATACGCATTAATCTGGGTTCAGAGTATGCTATTATGTCCAAATATTCAGCTGGAAACATGAGATTGAGTGGCACTGTTGTGTCGCAGTATCATAGCACAATGATACAGCTTATTAATGAGGTAGTAGCGGTTGTAAGTCATGGTGGACATTGAGACGCAATAGATAGTATGCATCTAATAATTTTCGACTTTACAAAAGAGATTTTTGATGCAGAACATGACAGTAAGCAACTTGTATCTAGTAACATCCCATGTGGCTTTAGCCCTCTAATGAGAATTTGGTATAGTTGTATGCCAATTTTTGTAAGCTGGTAAGCTTCTCAATGAGGTAGTTCATCAAACTCTTTAGTTACTTTTGGAATTAGTGATTGTCGATTGTTTTCTGACCTCATGGTGAGGCTTTTGGTAGGCCTGCAGACTATACACTGTACAGTACAGTATATCTGTTTCCAGAGTCATAAATTACTACATTCGACTTGATACACAACTGTTTTCGCCACACCTAGAGCTGGCTTTATTGATTTGCATTAATTTTTCTACTATATCTCCTGCTTCGCAAAGAAAGAAATTTACAGACTCTTTTTATTTTTGAGATCCTGCACAGTTTCCTTCTTATCGCCAGGATGAATCATGGAATGTCCTTTAGCAACTGTACAAGAAAGCAAAGATGAGCACATCATTCATACCAAACAAATTCGACTATACACTTACTGATCTTGTATAAAAGAGAGCAAAACCAACCACAGCCCAAGAAGAAGGCGCCTCTTTGTGCGTCGTTCTTGAACATACCCAACAAAGGATATGGCCAATAACCATTATGCTCATAGCAAATGTTGACCCACACAAAATAGATCATGGTAAAGGCGTAGATGGCCAAGATGTGGATAGGAGATCGCTTATATCCAGTATTGAATACCATAAAGTCAACCCAGCAGACAATGGTAGGGATGAGATGCAAACTGACGTCCAAAGCCAAAGGTAAATCAAAGATGGTGTCATCGGGCACCAACATCTTCTTGTCGTATAATACAATAGGCCAGTAAAGAGCACTGATCAATCCCTCTACCTACATTTTTGATGTGTCGTCAGTAACCGACATTCTCTAAATCAGTTGGTATGTACTTACAGGCGTGGCAATGGCTGTTAATGCCTCGTAAACAGCTAAAACATCACAGCTTAACTTAGCGCACAGACATCTCTACACACACGCACACATAAACAGTGGTCAAACTTACGTCTCAATGTGCCTGTCAACAAATTGACGATTCTAACAATAGAGGATAATGTAGCCACCAAAAGCCCCACAATTGTCAAGAACTACATAGCAGCAAGGCTTAACAACGAGTACAGCACCTTGCTTTACTACATCGACTTACTTGGAAATGACCACCATATCCCACGATGGGCAAGCCAAACTTTACGCCATACAAACCGTACAAATTAACGCCGAGACCAGCAGCTACAATCAACAAGTTCAATCCTTTGGATGGCATATTTCTATAATTTGGAAAAGAGAAAACAAAGAAGAAGCAAACATCGTTCACTGATGTTTCTTCTATGGAACAATTGACTGGCCGCAAAGTGACACATTGGACCCCCACTGGTAGCACGGAATATCCTTCGCCTGATTCCATGATTTAGCATGATCTGGCTATCTGGAACGTCATTGGATTCAGCACTACACCACGTTGACTCCAGCATCATTGAAAGGAAAATGGCATTGTACTCGACTCCAACCTCACCTGTCGATCCAATTTTCATCAAGAACATCTGAGATATTCAAATTGTTGTAATTTAAGGAGTTCCAGTTCTGAGGCCGCCTGCACTGAGCAACTGTCGATTTTCAACAAAAGTTGAATCTCGTCCACATTTGAGCAGTAAAGGCTTTATGAATTGAATGACTGTTTGGCGGTGATGGCGGTGACTATAGAAACCCAACGTAAATACAGAACAACCAAAGGCCATTCAAGATGTCTTTTCTGTACTACCTGAAATGCAGGAGAGAGTGAAAAGTTGAAAATGACTTGAAATTCACACATAAGAAAAAAGCTTATTCTTATAAATGCAGCACAATGCTAATTTAGCATCTCTCTTTTTTCTTCTTTTTTTTTCAATTTTAAATAATCATGTATACAGATAAAGCTGAAATTCCTTCAATTGTAAATTCCTTGAGAGAGACATTTCAAACAGGTAAAAACGATGATCTCTTCTGTGCATTCAATGTTGGCAATCCATTGAGCCCCTATTTACTATCAAAGGTCTTACCAAGGACAAGGAATACAGAAGACAGCAATTGAAAAGCTTCTTGAAATTGTTCAACGAGAATCAGCAAGACATTATTGATGCGGTTGGGAAGGATTTGCACAAGCACAAAATTGAAATCATCTCTGGTGAAATTGCACCTGTCGTTGGTGAGATTGAGTACATGCTTGCAGTAAGTAAATGTATAGCCCTAAAATGGAGAGCAGCCCTTTTCTAACGTATATATATATATATATATAGAACCTTGATAAGCTGACCAAGACAAAAACGGTCAAGCCGCAATACAAGGTCAATGCACTGGACAAATGCACCATTCGTAAGGAGCCAAAAGGCGTCGTGTTGATCATTGGAGCCTGGAATTATCCTGTTTGTATTGCTCGCACAATGCAGCGTTACGCGGTGCTTTGTTTACTTATCGCCTATTGAACGATATAATAGATTCATTTACTTCTCTTGCCGCTTGTTGGTGCTATTGCTGCAGGCAATTGTGCTGTGATCAAGGTATAAACAATTTACAATACACACGCATCTAAAGGGAAATCATATTCATGATGATACGGTTTGTAGCCATCTGAGGTGGCTAGTCATACAGCAGAATACATTGCTAAAATGGTGCCCAAATACCTTGATCCACGTTCTGTTTCTGTAGTACAAGGCGCTGTAGAGGAGACTACAGCTTTATTGGGTATTTAGCGATTACTATACTCTATTTACTGTTTCTCATACTCATCCAAATTGTACACCAGCTGAGCCATTCAACCACATTTTCTATACAGGCAACGGTGCAGTAGGCAAGATTGTCATGGCAGCAGCAGCTAAACACTTGACGCCTGTTACGTTGGAATTGGGTGGCAAATCGTAAGTTGTTTCTTCAGTGGCAAAGCACTGCATGTCCACTCATCTATTACTCATAGCCCAGTTATCATTGCCCCTGATGCCAACATCCAAACTGCAGCTAGTCGGGTGATGTGGGCGAAATGTTTTAACGGAGGACAAGTGAGTTTGATGCCTACATTTGTATTACAAACAAAGAGTGTGCTCATAATGTAGTATAGATCTGTGTTGCTCCAGATTACGTCTTGATTTCCAAACATCAAATGAATGAATTCATGGATGCCTGTCGAAAGACAATCCAAACAAGGTTTGGAGATGATCCTCAGAGGTCGGATTCCTACTGCAGAATGATCAATGAACGTCGATTTGATGCGCTTCAAAAGCTCCTTGATGATGTTGATCCCAAGCAAATCGTGGTGGGTGGAAAGACAGACCGAAAAGACCTTTACATTGCTCCTACTGTAGTAGGTCCAGTGGCACCTTCAGGACATCCTCTCATGGAACAAGAAATCTTTGGCCCCATTCTTCCCATTGTACCCGTAGAAGACATGGATGCAGCTATTCGCATTGTCAACTCCAAGGACACACCTCTAGCACTGTACATCTTCACAGATGATAACGCTACAAGAAACAAGAGTAAGTACCATGGTGACAACGTGAGTAGTATGAGTATCCTAATGCAACTGGCTAGTTTTAAACCAAACTCAATCTGGAGGCGTCGTTGTCAACGATTTATTGATGCAAGTGCAAGAGCTTGCTCTACCTTTTGGCGGTGTAGGACCCAGTGGCATGGGATCTTATCATGGGATCAAGTCCTTTGAGACTTTCACGCATGAACGTACGACAATGATCAAATCCTCTGGTTTAGAGAGCGTCATGATTGCTCGTTATCCTCCTTACTCTGACAGCAAAACTGTCCTCTTTTCCTTGTTGACATTAGGATTACCTAAAGGTTTCATCAGCAAAGTGAAGGCTGTTTTCAAGGCCATTGGATCTGCTCAAGATGTCTTTTTTGCTAAAAAAAAAAAAAAAAATCCAGTAATAATGCAGTAAGCGACAGTAGATTGTAGCGGAATGCACAGTCTAAAGATAATAAAGCTCATTATCTATCCGTAAAATGCAATGCATTGAAAGCAAGTCATTTGTCAAGAAACACACTATAGACATTTTATTATAAACACATGGATCAGGCTTCATTACTATTTTCTTCGCCACCTTGCTCCTTTTTCTAGAATAATACAGATCCCAGTGTTAGTCACGCCACACACTCTGAAATGCAGTATAACTGAACTTACCTTTTGCCAGGCTTGTGCCATTTGCAAGAATTTAAGTGAGCGGTTTTGTACTTCATCATCTGCAAAGATGTAGTCAAAGTATTCCTCCCAAATAATGTTGTCCTCAGTTGAATCGGCAGCTCTTCTTCTCTTCTTGACCACCTTGGGCATCTTCTTCTTGACAATCTCTCTTGTTGTATCATCGCCATAGTTTTCTTCAAAGTCTTTCCATGCTTCAAGTAACAAGACACGCTGTACATCCGGTACCATGTCAGTATGCTTCTCTCCCTAGAAAGCCTCCACCAATAAAACCTACCTCCTCCTTGAGTTCCTTCTCCTTCATCTTGCTATAAGCACCTTCAAAGATCTTGCGAGCACGAACCACACCTTGTTCATTACCTCCTTCATAAGGTATAGACAACTCGAATTGTGCAAAACTGATATACACCTTGACATGCTCTGTGCGCTCCAACAGGCGATAATATAGGTCTCTTGTCTTGTCGTATTCCTCCTCTCCAATTTCGAAATCAATGTATGCTTTCCACAACAATTCAGGCATATTGAGGTTCTCTTGAGACACAGCGAGTTCAAAGATGGCACGACATCTCTCCACTTCATCCAACACATTCTTTTCTAATTCTGCAAACTGGATCCAGGCTGAGCAATTGGAGGAATCGTATTCTAGGTATTTAGTGTAAATTGTACGGCAGCGGTCAAATTCTCTCAACTGGAATTCCAAATCAATGTATCCCTTAAAGAGCTTATTCTTGGGACACATGCCAATGGCTCTTCCCAGCAGCTTTCTTGCTTGTCCCACTTGCATTTGTCTAATTTCGAATTGTGCGTACATTAACCAGATCTTTGCAAATGTGAACTTTTTGTGTGGTATCAGTTGGATGCATTGTTCGTAGATTTGTCGTGTGCGTTCTATATCTTGGCTCTCCAGTTCTTCGTAAAGCGCATAGTTGATCCAGAGGTAGATGTATCGTCTCCAGAATCGCTTTTCCTCTGCTGGTGGCACCTGCGCAATGGCTCTTTCATACACTTCACGCACGCGAGTGGGATCACCTGCTGATTCCTCCAGCTTTGCATAGTCGAACCAAATGTCGTAGTTCTTTGGACTCTCCTCAATCTCTTGCTCGTACTGCACGCGTCTTTTGCCAATGACTACATCCTCGATGCCTGCTTTATCACCGTATTGCTTTTCGAAATTGGTGTATTGGTTGTATAAGGATTGTGATTTTGACTTGGGAAGACGGTCTAAACCGTACTTGAAAATAACACGAGCTCTTTCAAACTAGACAGACAAGCGTTGTTGGTTAGCAACACATCCTTCAGCCTTTAGTTTCAGTTAAGGACTCTACCTCTTTGGCCTTGATCTCAAATTTAGCAAATGCAACCAGCAGTTTTTGATCAATCTTTTCCTCTCCCAAATACTCTAAACCAGCTGTATAGATTTCTCTGCACTTGTTGAGGTTGTTGTGTTCTTCTTCAAATTTGGCCCATTTGATCCAGTTAGCAGGCTCAGGGTGAATACTGACAAATCGTTCATAAATGGCACGAGCACGTTGCTTTTCGTTGTAACGCAGTTCCATCTTGATGTACGCCATCCAGGCATTCTCTGTTGGCTCCCACTTCATCCAGCGCTCAAACACGTTGCGAGCCTTGGGTACATCGCCCAACGTCTCTTCCATGTAGGTGTACTTGTACCAAAACTGATCAACACGAGGCAGCAAGGTGGTGGCACGGTCAAGCAAGTTACGGGCATGGTTGACACTCTTATTCTTCAGTTCCATATCAATGTAGCGTAACCACAAGGCATTGTTTCTCCATTCAACATCCAGAGCACGCTCAAACACTGAACGAGCACGCTGAAATTCCATTTGACTCTCTTCCCAGTTGGCATATTTAATCCAATTACTTATATTCAATCGATTCTTTCGGATATTGTCCTCGAATTCCTTGCGTTTACGCTGTCTAAACTCTGATAGTTCTTCTAAATCGGCAATCTTTTGCTGTGGGATGTTGTGTGTGGGCTCAAGACGACGGTCATGAGCTTCACGAAGGATCTGTTCAGCCGTGATTTGAACGGGTGCGGCACTCTTGTTCTTGACCTGTCAAGTAGATTGAAGCGTAAGTATAAAGATATGCCTCGCATCCAAATGGTATTTACCTTGGGAGGTCTGGGGTTTTTTCCGAATCCACTGGTTGTTTCTTTAGGATCCATGATGATGTATAAAGTGTGTAAAGAATACAAGAAAAAAGTGATGTGAGCCCATTTGGTGTCTACATTGGATACGCGGAGTGCCGAATCCTGCCTTGTAAGCCACCTCTTGGTACGTCACCGACAGATTATGCTCATTTCTAGACAATAGAAGCATGGCACTCCATTGCAGATGTATGGCAGATACAGGTGCAGCGTCCAGGAGTGTACGGTGAGCCTCTGTATGTCCACAAAAAGGGTAGATTTCGAATGAGAAACGACCAAGTCTCTAGTAGAATATAGGCTACCCAAACTCAGACATGGCCATGGACATTGGCACTCGTTTGATCAAGTTGATCATGGTCTCTAGTCATAAGCCAGGGCTGAATTGAGTCAACAATAGGGATGCTGCGTTGTATGTATACCTCTGACCCATCATTCAACTGAGCTGCCGTCTTGCAAGCTTCTATTCTAATTGATCCACAGTGTGACCCTTTTGCGGGATCCCTTGGACCTACAATTGAATTTCAACCCCTACCCTTTTCTAATTGCAACAGGCTCCCATCAACCTGCTTTTTTCTTTTCTTGCCTTACCACTCCAACCCTACACATATACAATACAACCACAATGAGGTGCCGTGTACTCCGTGATATCAACGCTCGTCAAGCAGTTGCCAACAACGAAATTACTCGTCAAGCATTCAGATACATCACTCGCAATGAGACATTACCTGCTCGTGTGCGCCATCAAGCACAACTTCAACTCAATGCCATGCCTAGAAACTCTTCACCTACATACATTCACAACCGTTGTGTCGCCACTGGTCATGGCAGTGGTGTGCTCCGTGAATTCAAGTTGTGTAGATTTCAGTTCCGTTTAAAGGCCTTGAATGGTGAACTTCCAGGTGTTAAGAAGTCATCTTGGTAGATCAACTATACTGTCTATCTGTTTTTCTCGTTTATTATCACTACACTTCAACTGTCAAAATCAATAAAATCGCACACACAAACACACACACACACTCTCGCAAACACTAGAATTTATTTACTACAGGTTATACAGTGGGTAGCCCTTTTCTAGTGCACAGAATCGGCATTTGGGTCGATGGGATAACAAAAGGTTATGCTCATTCACATGTTGCTGTCGTTCTTTATCTAGTTCCTCAGTTGCATCCGTCTCTTGCTGCACTTCTTCTGGATCTGGATCTTCCAGCGCTATGAAATCGATCTGTACATCCAACTCGTTTACATGTCGATGATCTATCAGCACCAGAATTTTGTCAGACAAGGGTGGATAATCATCTTTGAGATAATGCTGTCGCTGATACTGAACCAAAGCGCTGGATTGAATCTTGATCTTGATCTCTACTACCTCATGCTCCAAAACCAAACCTTCACTCATCTCAAAATCAAGCATGTTTTTGGCTGAAAATAATGAAAAGTTCCTCACAGATGTCGAACTGGTGTTTTCTATTTTCAAATGAATCACTTTGGCGTAGATGGTTTTCGGTGATATTTCGCAGAGAAACTGAAGAGGAGAGGCGGGTTCGATAGCGTATAATGATAAAGGAGCATGGGAAGAGGATTCGGTGCTGGTGTTTGATGATGACGGAGCCCTTTTCTGATGGTAGTCGCTGTTGTCTGATTGTGCATTCTGGAGTTGCTGTTGCAGCTCTCGTTGCCGTTGTCGTTGCTGTTGTTCTCTGGGTGAGCATTGTTGACGGGTGGACGAAACAGAGAACCCGTTTGAATACGTCTGCTTCTGGGTATATGGGTGGTGTAATTCTATGTCGGGCAGCTCGTATTTGGGGTAGATGCCCAAGGATTTCGGCAGGCTTATCTATAGGGGAGGGGGGGGGGGGGTTGATCAGTTTTCTGTTGAATGACAATTGGGCTTTACTTACAAATCTTGAATCCAATGATGTTTGGATGGCGGTTTTCTGTCGACTCCTGCTGCTGCTTCTATATGATGACTAGCATGTGGATTTTAGTTGATTTGTACAGGCAGCATAATCCATACTACTCACATGTGTATTATTGTCAATTTGCTCCTCCTCCTCCTCCTCCTCCTCCTCCTCCTGCTCTTCCTCTTCGTCAGTCTGTTTTTGCCAATCATAATCAAATGGCAAAGAACGAGCGCCAAAGTATTCACCTGGAGACGTTGACCGACTATGACTTTTTGAGAAGCTTGGACCTCCCAGTGGAATATAATGCTCGTCTGAATGTCTGTTTGCTAAATAACGCTGCCAGGAATCATTATCGCCATCATCCATGTCCTCTTGATCAACATCTTGATTCGCTGGATTGTCCCCCACTATCTCATAGTCGGAATGAACAGAGACATTGTCTAATGGCTTGTTGTCTTGCTTGAATGGAAATGAGCGTGCTCTGTTCATGTATTCTTCAAATTCTGCATCGACTGATTTTTCAAGCTGGTCCAAGTCTGTGTATAAGTTGGAGCGGTCTAGATACTCGTCTTGTATATTCCCAATGCCCATACTCGATGCAAATGATAGTGAGAGATCATCGTCTAAGCTCATGATGTATTCAATAGAGGCAAAACAGCTGGAAAAGGGTAAAGATACTGTAGTTGTAACAAAATTAGAGTATCACTTAAATCGTGTTACTCTTTCTCCCCTGCCGGTCCGGCATGCAATGTGTATTTGAAGTGCACTCATGCAGGAATACACGGGCTAGCTGGCTGCTTCTCTCTACGCCTGTAAAGATGAGGACGCTTGTTTCACGTTGAGAAACCAGTTTTGTGTAGATCTTCCGTTGAGAGTATAATAGGTGAGGCTAAAGTACACAGGACAGGACAAACAGCCATGTGATTGGGTAAATGTTACAATAATCAGACACATCAACATTGGTTTTACATGGGATTTCAGTATAAAACTCGGGTGTCTTGATGCGATTTTGAGTGGTTTCCTTCTTGTTCAATGTATAAGAAGAGTTTGGCTATTTTGATCAGAACCATGACGAGTAAAGCTGGCGATTACAGCGCCGTGAGAAGAGATATCATTGCTGCCATTCCAACGGAACGATACGATAAAGGCACATTTGGGCCATCCATGTAAGCATTTGATGCTGCGAGATGGCTGTAAATAGAGTAGATGACTAATTATAGGCTGGTAGGATTCGTTTGACATGGCATTCGTGTGCTACTTATGATCGACATCAAAACAATGGAGGAAGTCAGGGTGGTACAATGCGCTTTGAGGAGCAATACTCGGATCCTGCTAATAAGGGCCTGGAAAATGCCAGAAACGCATTGGAGCCTGTTCATGAAAAGCACCCCTGGATCACATACGCAGATCTATATACGTGAGTACTACAGTCTATGTAGTGTATGAGACTACACTGTATACTTAACAAACCTCGCATTACATTCAGTCTTGGTGGTTGCGTTGCAGTGGAGCAAATGGGCGGTCCTCACATTCCTTGGGAAGGCGGCCGATACGACACCAACGACAAGGACAGCATACCATCTCGTAACCGTCTACCTGATGGCTCGCTAGGCAAGAATCACGTCATTGATGTCTTTCTTGATCGCTTGGGCATGTCGGTGCAAGACACAGTGGCATTGATGGGCGCCCATGCAGTAGGTGAATGCCACAAGAGCCATCAAGGCTTCGACGGGCCATGGACACCAAACCAAACTGAATTTACCAACAATTTCTACAAGATGCTGCTAGAGCGCACATGGAAGGAAAAAAAGTGGGATGGCCCTAGACAATTTGAAGATGAAGAGACGCATGAATTGATGATGTTGCCTACAGACATGGTCATGCTGCAAGAACCTTTCCTGCAATACACGAAACTGTACGCTGAGGCTCAAGATCGGTTCTTTGAAGACTTCAAGAATGCAATGCTCAAGTTGATATCCTTGGGAAAAGATCGCAAAGACGGTGAACCCAACAAGCTACTGGCACAATATTGCAAGAAATAAACATAGAGTTAATCTGATGCATTTCAAGCGTTTGCTCTATGAGAGATTGAGCGGTTTAAAATCACGTATGTTTTTATGAGGTATGACATATCGCTATTGTGAACGGTATCGTTCAACAGATGCTAGACTAGTTAAGACTGGACATACCCAGGCCTGCTCAAGTCTACCGCTATTTACTTTAAGCCTACCCAGATTGATTGGGTGCTACCTTGAGCTGCCAGTTGAGCTACCACACACTGCCATTTGAGCAGCTCAATGTGTATATGAGTTGTTCTGAGTGTATCCAAGTAACTCAAGGTCTGCCTACACCCACCTCGCCTACCAGGATGCTTACTTGCATGAAATTAAGTAGGATACACACATACATACATACTTGATTGCTTCTTACTGTTCAAAAGCATGCAAGTCGCAGCGTAATTTAGCTGCTTTTGAGCATTGTTTTCTCGAGATATAAGCCGTTTCAGACAGCCAGAATAGCACCAAACAGTCCCTCTTATCTAGCATTAACTTGCTGACACCTTTGCTCAACTTTTTTGGGGATCCAAAAAACATGGCCAAAAATCGACCAAAAAGCATGAGGGGTACCTCATGGTTTTCAACGAAAATCAAACGATCGCGTTTTTCACCTTGAAAGCAAAGACTTTTACTATGGTATGTATTAGATCAAAATGTTCCTATCGATCCAAGGCAACCCCTGAAACCACGTTTGAGAGGTTATCATATGCAAATTTTCGGCATTCTGGCCAAAAACGTTATTTCATATTTTCTGAAATTGCTCAGTAAGTTCAATCAAAACATCTATTTTACTTGGCACCATTGGAAGCGCCTTGAAAAGTACTATTAAAAAGCATAAGGAAGTATCGAGTGATTATGACTATTTACATAGTCGAATATCGTAAAATCGCTCGATTCAAGTCGAAAAAGTCAAGACTCATCCAATCTTCATCAGTATGTTGTATTGTTCAGGAATAAAGGAACCACTATAATATGTAGGAAGAAGAAAGACTGACGTTTATTGATGTGGATGCTTGGATCTTTATACCATTGATATGGTGTTACACGACATCCCACCGCTGTGATAAGATATAGAATTTAAATAAGGACTATGATATAAATGTATGAATGAAAATCGCGTTAAAAAACCTAATATAGGAAAAAGCTTGATGATAGGTAGAAGTTGATCAGTGAGATGGTTTCAGAAAAGACACATGGGTGTTTTTGTGTTTTTGACCTGTGGCATCATTGATTACATCGTATCTTGTGGTGGACAGGACCTTCTGTATTGTGCAAGGACCTATCCAATCTACTTGTAGTTTTCTTGGATTGTTGCGAGTGGAAATACGATTGTTGAAAATGTATACTTTGTCATTGATTTCAAATTGTGGTGTTAGTTTTTGATTATCATATATTTTCTCCAAATGTTTGTGTACATGTTCAAATGTAACTTGAAGCTTGATTTGTAACTGTTTCGCGAAGTGTGATTCCGGGGTGTCTTGTTCATTGTATGAATCCGGTAATTTCTCTGGTATTATCGTTGATAATGGTGTGCGTGCTGTGCGCCCGTGGACCAACTCAAATGGGGACGTCTTGATAGAATGGTGATACATATTGTTGTATACAAATCGAATTATCCTCAAGTTGCTGCTCCATCTTGTAGAAATCTGGTTGATATCCGTGTATGATAAAATCATTGTTCGTAGTGTTTTCATGAATCGTTCCACTATCCCGTTGGATGATGGATGATACGGCGGTGTGTATACGATGTTGATGTCTACATATCTTGCTACTTGCTGGGCGAATTGTGATCCAAGGCTGTTTCCGTTATCACACATGATCTCGTTGGGAACGCCATGTCGCAATATAAACTGAGTGTACATGATGGAAGCCAATTCTTGAGATGCTGTAGACCTGGTAGGATATAGTTCTACGTATTTTGTGAATGTGTCTATAACCACCAACACGTATTGATGTCCCGCGCTTGACGTTGGCAGAGGACCAAAGTAGTCGATTGCGACCTTGATGAACGGAGCTGTTCCATGGGTAGTGGTCATATTATGCTTAGTAGCAACATGTCCCTTGATTCTTTGACAAATTTGACACTTCTGAATATAGGCATTGATATCATGAGTCATGTTGGTCCAGTACAAGTGCGCTTTTACCAAGGAAGCCTTGGTCTTGGCGATACCGCCATGTCCTGCAAACTTGGAGTCATGATGTTTGCTGATCAGATTCGCTACCAGATGGCTAGGTACCATTATGTACATGTCTGTGGCTATGGTCTTGTGCTGTTTGTTTTCTACCTTGTATATTATGCCATCGACGACTTTATGCTTGGAGTACTTGACATTCGTGTTGTTAAAGTATGGTCGTAACATGGGATCCAGTCTTTGTTCCTTGGCCCAATCGATGTCCGGATGATGAGAGGCAATTGCATGAATCGCAGCACGAGATAGTGTATCCGCAGCATGGTTCACCTTTCCAGGTATGTATATAACCTTGAAATCATAAGCCTGTAGAAAGAGGCACCATCGCCAAAGTCTGGGTTGTTTGTCCGCATCGGTATTAAGAAGCCACTGGAGGGATGAATGGTCAGTGAATACGGTAAATTGGTTGCATTCAAGATACATTCTAAATTTCTTAACCCCAAAGATGATGGCTAAAGCTTCCAATTCACGGATGGAGTAGTTTTTTTCAAACTTGGTGACACTGCGGGATGCGAAGGAGAGAGGGTAAGGTGTGTCATCGTACCGTTGGCAGAGTATGACAGCAATGCCTGCTGAGGTGGCAGCATCGCAATGAAGCTCGAATGGAAGTTTGAAATTGGGTTGTTTCAAGTAAGGTAATGCAGCGAGAGACCTTTTGAGTTCTTGAAACGCGTGCTCCTGTTCGGATTCCCAAGCGAATGGTACATCTTTGATCTTCAAGCGTCGAATTGGTTCCACCATTACTTGATACTTGGATATAAACTTGGAATACACTCCTGCCATGCCGAGTAACCTTTCAACCTCTTTTATATTTGTGGGAGCCCGTAGATTAGTGATAGGTGTAACTTTATCCATGTCAGCATGGACACCCTGATCAGAGACAATGAAACCTAAGAAATTGATTTGATTTAGCCCAAATTGGCACTTTTCAATGTTGATGGTCAAATTGGCTTCCCTCAGTCTCGTTAGGAGTTTGCGTAACTGGAGCACATGATTGTCAAAGGTATCAGAGAACAGTATGGTGTCGTCTTGATAAGCGATAGCAGTTCTGTATCTCATGTCCCCGAGTACCTGATCCATTAATAATTGAAAGTGTGCTGGGGCATTTTTCATCCCCATGGCCATCGTGTTAAAAACATATGTAGAGTTAGGTGTTACCAGGGCACTCTTGGGCTTGTCAGCAGCAGCAATGGGAATTTGAAAATAGCCTGACAGGAGATCTATTTTTGAAAAATATTTTGCGTTGCCCAGAGACTGCAGTGCATGATGGAGGTTGATAAACGGATACTTGATAGTCTTTGTGATCGCATTTAGTTTGACGTAGTTTCCGCATATGCGAAGAGAGCCGTTTGGCTTAGGGACCGCTGTTACTGGGAAGCCCCAATCCGTGAAGTTGACTTTGCTGACAATTCCATTGCGTTCCAGTTCAGAGAGCTTGGCGTCGATCTTCGATTGTATGTCAGGATGGTAATGTCTTGGTCGAATGTAAATGGGAGGATGGTCTCCCGTGTCGATGGTGAATTCCATTTTGGTAGTAACTGAGGGCTTGTCCGAGTCTTTGCGTAATAATTCTTTGAACTCTTGTAATACCATCTTGTATCCGAGCGTCTTGGGAATCGGTTAATTGGATGTTACAACGCCTCGTAGCCGTGGTCTCGTAATGTAAGTTTATAAGATGATTGTCAGTTTGTAGTGTGAACATTTTGAGTTTAGTATTCATATTGACCTGAAATCTGCACATGAAATCCCAGCCGATGATAGCCTGACGAGCCAAACCGCGTATAACATGAAATTTCGTTTCGTAACCAAAAAGATTCAATTTAGTAATACCCATCGTTTGTGCTGTACGATTGTTCACGTCTGTGTAACTGATGATCTGATTGTTGTCTATTGTCAACTGCAGTGTAACGCATGTGTCATAATCCATGGCAGTGATAGCAGAACCTGTGTCCCATAATGCATGAATAGTGTGATCTCCAATGACGATTTTAGTTGTGGGAGTGAAACTGTCATGTTGAGTGGTTCGAATAGCATGCATGGAAGTAGCACGAATGTGATTAAGAGGAACCGGGGACCCCAATTCCATTAATCCTGAGTCATCCTCTGGGTGTTCAATAGTGTCTGTCTGATGCACAGAGGATGCCTGTGTGGGACATTCGTAATTTCGATGTTCGCCGAAGCAGTGACCGCAGACAGGATGTCCTTGTTTGTTGTATAATCGAGGTACAGGATCCGGAGGAAATCGTGAACGAGGTTTGGAATTGAATGACTTTTTGCTATTTCTGAATGGTCTTTTAGTACTTTTGTCTTTGTACGAGTTTGAGCTATTAACATAATCAACTTCCATTGGGTCATCCATCGTGGATTGAGTGTGGGATCCCGAAAAGTGTGCTTGTTCATCAGTATTATCATTGAGCCTAGCCTTGTGTTCAAAATCGATGGCCTTCGTGATAACTTCTTGCACCGTTGTGACCTTAGCGAGTTCTACATACGCTGTTAATGTAGCACGTAATCCTCTGTCGTGTAGCGATTGAGTAAATAAAGATATTTGATGAGCATCCGAGATATGATTATCCGGCAGCAGACTTAGCAAATGTTTCCATTTAGCACTATGTAGTTTGATGGACTCCTGCTTGGGTTGTTGACATCGCTTCAAATTGGACTTGAACTCTCGATATTCCTCGTCGGCAGGACGACCAAATTGTAACAGCATTTGTTCAGTTACGTTGGCCCAGTTTTGTCTGACTGAGGAAGGTAAGGTAGGTAACCAGTTTTTGATGACGGGAGGCATGAAGCGACCTAGTTGGACGGTACAGATATCCATGTTTTCAATGCCTACGAAATTTGCCTGTAATTCAAATTCTTTGATGTAGGTACGTAAGCTAGAATGCAATTCATACCGTGGCATGTCAATAGACTTGACCTTTTCAAGGTTCATGTATTGGATGAACTCCTTGGTGTTGGAATCGGCCATGTTAACGGACTGTGGGGTGGTGTGATAAGATGATGTGATAGACGAGGTACTGTTTGTTGTGGTGTAAACCTTTCGAAGGGATGCGATAAATTTTACTTGCTGCGTGAAGTAGTTTTTTGGTTCTGTTGTTCGGGCCTGTTTGCGAGTAGGTGATTGCAGCTGTGTGCTGGAGCGATGTTTTGTGATCTTGCGATATGTGTGATCTTGCGATATGTGTGATTTGGTGTAGTCGAGTGTGAGCCTTTGATATATCTAGTGGTTTCCGGGTTCGAGAATTCAGTTAGGGAGCCTCACCATGTATTGTTCAGGAATAAAGGAACCACTATAATATGTAGGAAGAAGAAAGACTGACGTTTATTGATGTGGATGCTTGGATCTTTATACCATTGATATGGTGTTACACGACAATGTAGATTCTGAGTTTTAATCATTTTTGGCTGGCTGCCCGAATGCCTTTCCATGAAGGCAGCCAGTGTGTATGAAGCTAATAACAAGAAGGGAACAGCGAGTTTCACAGTAGCATCGCTTGGCATCGCTACTACTCTTAAAGAACTCGTCTCTAATCAGGTTGCTCTTTTAAAACGTGCTACGTTGGGTCTCTTTTTTTTTTTTTTTTTTTTTTGTTATTGTTTTGAGAAGATACTACCTTGACTATGTATAGTTGGTTTTTGCTATCCAAGGAACTATCGCGCAGATGATATCACCTACATTCAATCCAATATCACCATCATTTTCTGCAATCAGTGTTCTCTAAATTGTCTTCTGTCCAATCAGTGCCACCATCATTATACACAAGAGATTGAAAACTTTCAACCATCTGTTGTGTTGACTGAATGCAACAGGAATATCGCAGGATGAGATATGTTGGTGAGCATAAGTCTTTAAATTTGCGTTAATTGCCGTTTGAAGCTGGGAATTGGAAGCTCCACAGAAAGTGAGAGAGAAATGATCCACTGAATGCTTCAATGCTTCAATTACAAAGCCCTGCGCATATTTGAGTGCTTTCAATGTTGTCAATAGCGGCCCTGGGGAGGGGTTGATCATAAATTTGTGCCATGGCTGATGATGCCTCTCTGGTGTCTTGAGATATGCTGGACTACAGGAGTAGGCTAATGGTGCCATTGCAGGAATGCTGATAAGCTATCCCATAAATCGAGACGGTTGTATATACATACATGATGCGCACATCTCTACAAATCAAAGGCGATGTCTCTGTTACTGTAGCTATTTTGCACCTTTGACCTCCTGACAGGTTATCAGCAGCTTTCTTCTAACTTGATGTCCGCCAATGTAGAAGCGCTACCAGAGTAGTATAACAGCTGTATGCATCACATCTTCTTGCTTCTTCATAGCATCCAACCAAATCCCAAATACATTCGACAATGGCATTGAGGAATATGTATACCCTGAACTGAAACGCTTACTAGAGCAGATAGGAAGATGTTATGAGAAAAGCAAAAGTATCTGTTACGGATGGTTTGTGCTTTTTTTTTTTTTTTTTTTTTTTTTTAGAATCCAACGGCTAAACTCTTTGCTTGCATTTCAGTGGATGAGAGATGAAAGTGGGAGAGAGCAAGGAACAACGGAAGGGATTTCACTGGTTTGAATAGCCGCATGTTTGGCAATAATAGGGTTAAAGAATCAAAATTTTATATCTCTCTTTTCTTTTTCTCATCCTCACACCTAGAGATACATACAATACAAAAATGGCAGCAGAAGACAAGAAACGTGTTTGTTATTTCTATGATGGTAATCTATACGCTATGAGATAACCAGAGAGAGAGAGAGAGAGAATTAATCATGTGTGTGTGTATGTCCATGTAGCCAACGTTGGTAATTACCATTATGGACCTGGTCATCCCATGCGCCCACATCGAATTAGAATGTGCCATGGATTAGTAATGAATTATGGACTGTACAAAAAGATGGAAATCTATGTAACTATGTTATAATGTGTTTATATAAGCAATAGATTAAACAAAGACATGTTTCTTTTGTTAGAGAGCGAAACCAGCCAACAAGTGGGAGATGACCCAATTTCATACAGACGATTACATTGAATTCTTATCGCGTGTCACTCCTGAAAATATGGATTCGTATCAGAAAGATCAAGCCAAATGTAAGTACATGGCGATGCAAGTGCATTCAGATTCATCTACTGATACTCCTACTCTATAGTTAATGTGGGTGATGATTCGCCTGTGTTTGAAGGTTTATTCGAGTACTGTGGATTGAGTGCTGGTGGATCAATGGGTATAGACAGACACGTCAGGACATTTCCATGCATATTGTCTTAATCAGTATCTTGAATGTAGAGGGAGCTGCTAGATTGAATCGCGGGCTGTGCGACATTGCCATCAACTGGGCTGGTGGTCTTCATCACGCAAAGAAGTCTGAAGCATCTGGATTTTGTTATGTCAATGATATTGTCTTGGGTATCCTTGAGTTGCTGCGATACTATGCTCGTGTCTTGTACATTGATATTGATGTCCATCACGGTGATGGTGTCGAGGAGGCCTTCTATACAACAGATCGCGTCATGACTGTTAGTTTCCACAAGTATGGTGAATTCTTCCCAGGAACTGGTGAATTGAAGGTAAGAATACTGCAACACAACGCATGGTGGCGCGGTTGACTTATGATAGCATTAGGATGTTGGTGTGCAAAAAGGCAAATACTACAGTGTCAATGTGCCTCTCAGAGACGGCATTGACGATGATAGCTATCAATCTACATTTGAGCCTGTCATTGAGAAGGTCATGGAATGGTACAGACCCGCTGCCGTTGTTTTGCAGTGTGGTGGTGATTCCTTGAGCGGAGACAAGCTCGGCTGTTTCAACCTCTCCATGAAGGGCCATGCCAATTGCGTCAAATTTGTCAAAAAGTTCAACCTGCCTACCCTTGTGCTGGGTGGCGGTGGCTACACTATGCGAAACGTGGCCAGAACATGGGCTTACGAAACGGGTGTTGTCGTTGGCGAAGAAATGGGCCCTGACATGCCTTACAACGACTATTACGAGTACTTTGGTCCCGATTACAAGCTGGATGTACGACCTAGCAACATGGAAAATATGAACACACCCGACTACCTGGAAAAAATCAAGACTGAAGTGTTTGAGAATCTATCGCGCACTCTGTTTGCTCCCAGTGTACAAATGCAAGAAGTGCCTCGTGATCACGACATGTCAGAAGACGAAGATGAGCAAGATCCAGACAATAGAATGGGCCAAAACTACTGGGATCGTCGCATTATGCCTGAAAACGAATACTACGACTCGGATGAAGGAGAGGCACAAGGCGCAGGCGGCAATTTGAAGAGCAAGCACGAGAGAAATTACAACGATGATAAACCATCTGATATGGATATTCAAATGTCACAGGAAGAAGAGGATCAAATCGCTGCATTGAATAGTAATGACAATCACGATGAACACGGCAGAGTTCCAAATGTTGAGCAAGAGAGCAAGCCCGTCAAAGTAGAGCAAATGGAACAAGATACAGTGATGGAGAGCATGGTAATTGATGATCAGAATACAGCCTCAGTGCAAGAAGATATAGTCATGACAGAGGCCGTTGAAACAAAAGAGCCTTCCACATCAACATCACCATCTGCTGCTACTGACGCAATCATTAGTGAGTCAGAACCTTCAGCTACTGCTCCTCTTGTCGAAGCTGAACACATTGAAACCACAGCCACCACAGCTGATAGTCAGTTACCAGCACATCCGTCTTCAGAAGCTGATACGACATCCAGCACAAACAACACAGCCATTGGCAATTCAGATGAGCCTGAAAAGGCTGCTGCTGCTGCTGCTGCTGCCTCAAGCCCTGTCGTTACCAACGCAACAGCCGCAGACAGTGAAGAGGAAGGAGAAGTCAAATCAATAAAGTCTCAATCACCACCACCTCCTACCCCACCTCCTCAAGAGACCGCATTATCATTATCTACTTCCTCCCCATCTTCCGCCACTACAACCACTACAGCCGCTATCATCACCAATACTAATACTACATCTAGTACCGATGCTGATGATACGGCTGCTGCTCGTGCTGATGCCACTGCTGATAAACCTACCGCTGCGGAAAACACAACCGCTACTGCCATCACCACATCAGAAGCTGAGCCCAGTGTTGGCACCTCTACTACGACACCTATCACCACTACTGACACTACCACACATGATGATGGTGTTGAAACCAAACAAGCCTCAGAGCCTGTTATACCTGAACTCACTGAAGCAGAAAAAGTGAAAGAATTTACAACAGCTATTGAAGAAGCTTTAGAAGATGGTGAAATTGCAGAGTAGATTTTCTTGTTCAACCAAATAGTAATATAATAATAATAATAATAAATAAAAAAAAAAAAAAAAAAAAAAAAAAAAAAAGCTGAATCAACCATGCGAGCAAGAAGGAGGATACAACAAACAAAAGAATGGAAACAAGGAGATGTCAATTGAACAGAACTGATGACGCTTGATTACCGAGGGAGAAAGACAAGGAGTAAGCAGAAAACAAAAGAGGGAGACAAAAAAGCAAGATGGTAATTTAGCGGTTTTGTGAAGATCGTTTTTCATGGCCACTGCGTACACTGAGCAATCAGACGTTGCATCAACAAGTAAATTCATGTTTAGATTAAGGGGATGTATCAATTTGTTGTTGTTGTTGTTGTTGTTGTTGTTGTTGTATATGTATGCAATTTACGATATATCAAATATCTTGCAATTGAGAAGATCCGTCTCGTTTCTTCTCGCTTCTCCTCTTCTTTCTTTCTTCTCTTTCCTCATTTCGTTATAAATATATACATCCAATGCCTTCTCAAAAAGTGACACTACTGGAAGCACAAAGCTTATTAAACACAACGATAGACAACTGTTCAATCAGACTCATCTCTATCCTCGGCATTGGCGCTTACGGTGTTGTCTACTTGGGAGTCCATGTGTTGAGTGGCCGCTATGTTGCCGTCAAACGATTGACACACATGAACATTAGCTACAAAGAGTCTGATATCCATGCTTACCTATCGGGCCATCCCAACATTCTCAAATTTGAAAAAGTGGTACAGGAAAATCACAAAACATTCATGGTGATTGAATACACAGCAGAAGGTGATTTATTCGCTGCCATTACAAAGAACAAGTACAACATTGTGGGTAACAATGATGCCATTCGACACATCTTTTTACAGATCATTGACGCTGTACACTTTTGCCACCAAAACAACATTGCTCACCGTGATCTAAAGCCTGAAAATATTATGCTGGGGCCTCAATTGCAAGTAAAACTGGCTGATTTTGGTTTGGCCACTTTGAACTCTGTATCAAACGAATTTGGATGTGGATCAACATTTTATTTTTCTCCAGGTACACACAGCATGATAGATGCACATTGATAAAATAAAACTCATATTCTTGATTAGAGTGCCAAGGAGCTACTGCTGCACAACCTACGTATGCGCATCCACAACAGCCATTGAAAGGATACAGCACACAGAAAAATGACATTTGGAGCCTGGGTGTCATTTTGATCAATCTGACAGCAGGCAGAAATCCTTGGAAGCAAGCCACCATCAAGAACTCGACGTTTGCTGCCTATGTTCGCAATCCACGCCATTTCTTCAGAACTATATTGCCGTGTATATCAGAGGAACTAGAACGCATACTATTGCGCATTTTTTGTCTCAATCCTGCTCGCCGCATATCACTTCCAGAATTACGCCTTTACATTCAAAAGTGCCAATCATTTGTACAACCACAAACAATGGTGCAGCATATGAACAAGAAGAAATCATTGCTTGTGTCCGCTAAAAGACACAACCATCATCTTTATCATCACCCTATCCATCAACCCAAGGCCAAGAAGCGAGCGGCTGTGAATGCCATGTCTTACTCTGACTCTGTCACTGAAACCATGATGCATTATGTGAATGGATTTACGGATGAAGATTATTGCTATTAATATATATATATATATATATATATATATATATATATATATACACCATTTGCATTCAATAAACATACATATATGAGTCAAATGTATATACATCTATATCTATCGGTTTTTGGTATACTATATTAGACCAAATACATAACACGCCATTCTTTTGTTTACGTGTTGAATGCATCTGAAAACATAAATGCATATTGGCATTAAATCGTTATGATACATGTACACTACCCATTCAATCACTACATATATCTTGATTTTCTGAAAGCCCTAGAGACTCTATATGATATCAGCATGTGCCATTAGTCATGTTGAGGTGTACTATTGGAGTCATCACGTCGTGTGCATTGAAATAAGCTTTTTGATCCAAAGAAGGTTAAATTACCGCTCTGATCTTGGAACCCCTCAATTTTAACACTGTAATAGATTTGCTGCTACTGCTACATATGAAATGTAATTTAGAGCCAAAGATAAACGCTAGCTCATATTTAACATGTAAACATAAATATATATATATATATATATATACTTTGTTTCCTCATAGTACGTGTAGAGAGAAAAGCTCAAGAGAAGAGCGCATGAGTTTGACAGGATTTAATGCTTGACTTCCGATGTTACAGCATGCATTTGCCTTGGTGCAAAGAAGGGATTGTACTCAGGTGTAACATCCAACAGGAAGCATAAAACAGAACCGGGTTAAACTGTGAGAGGTCCGTCAAGTAGAGCTGATTTGAAACGGCATTGGCTGCTAAACTCAGAGATGTGTCAAATGTAACATGAAATGTTTGATTGTTTTGCATACATGGTACACGCTACTAACATGAAAATATACTAATCATCATTATTTGTGTTTTTCCGTAGCTGATGAATTGATGACATGCTTTTGCCTCCCAAAAAACACGTTTTCTATCGAGCAGTATAAGCTCTCCTATTCTGTTGTCAAGGCGACGTAAAATAATGTCATTCACCATATGGCATAAATGTAATAACTCCTACATGAGACATTCGACCAAGCTGGTTCCTCCTCCTCCTCCTCCTTCTTCTTTCTCTTGTTGTAGGGGTAAATAGCGGAAAGAACCTGTATTTATATTCTTGTACTTCAGCCTCACAAATAATATCAATGTGTACCGTACAACAAAACGTTGTATCCAGATGGCTAAACTTCTTCGGAAGCAGGTTCATGTATATTTTGACATTGGCTGACTTTATTTCACAATAAGATTTCGGTCAGCATGGAATTTTAGTGCATTTGCATCATGTATATGTTTTAACCACTCGAGACATTACATAATAACACACAGTATGGTATGAAATTATATACAGCAATCTATATTTACCTTGCTACAGGGGGGATGCACATGATTTCAAGCGATTTCTTTCTATGTCACAGGATGTGCCTGATATTTTCATTCAGCTTATGAAATCCACTAATAAGTTTGTGATACATTTCAATTCGAGATTAGCTAATATCAAATGAATGAATAAACGAAAACTGGTGTTTGTTTTACTGTAAAGTTATTATATGTATGTATTATTATCAGTTAAGAGATGTGGAAATGAATGTGGAATATACAAGTTTAAAGGTACAAAAACAGAATGCGAATAATGATGAGAGAGAGAGAGAGTGTGTGTGTGTGTGTGTTAGGGTGAGCGTGTGTATAATATAGTGTAATGTTGGGGGGGGGGGGGTGAGAGCAAGTGGAGAAAAGGAAAAAGTGTACAAAATCGGAATGGGGGTAAGGCCTAAATGGTAACAAAGTTTCATTATTCAGAAACAGTAGGCAGGTTGTTATTGTTATTGTTTGATGTGTATGATGATGGTACAGGTGGTGGTTTACTTTTAGGTGGTGGTAATTGAGGTGGTAAAATGGACTCCCAGTCTGGTATCTCGGCCAAAGATTGTCGATTCTTTGAGGACGAAGAATGAGGCCTCTTTCGGTTATGTAAGATGTCGGTATTATTGTTGTTGAATGTCATGGATACAGGCAAACTCTGTCGGTAGTGCTGCTTTCTATCCAGTCGAATGGCTGCAACTTTGGAAGGTATCAAGATGCGGTAATCATCAGTCAGCTTGACGGAAGCCAGTATCGAGTTGTTCAGCAAGCCATCGTATCCAATTTTAATGCATGCCACAATCTTCTTCATGGCCTCCAACCAGCATCGCATTTGATTCACTGATTCACATCGAATAAACCATTTGCAGAGGGGTTTTCGCAGTTCAATGATGAAGCCCTTTTTGAATTCTTCGGTAACAAACACAAATGTGTCATCTGTTAATACAAAATGTTCTTTGGCTGGCGTGGTGGATTTGGACGATTTGAAGTTATACACAATGCGGTCAACAAGGACGAAGAGCCTGCGTTTCCATGATCGGGAGAATGCAAATGTCGGTTGCTCATATTTACATAGCCAATCGGATACAATACAGGTATCTATCGCTAGTTTGACGGACATACACCATGGATCTACGTGGTTCGTTATGCTTTCCGTGCCTAAATCTAGAGAAGATAAAGACGGCATAACAGTAGTGGCAATGAACGGATCTGAGAGTGATTTCTGATGACGGTTGGATGACGATGATGATGATGCTAATGAAGAAGGGTAGAATCTGCTTAAAACTCTATTGCGAAGGTTTTCGGATGTTGAGTAACCAGAGAGTAAGTATCGTGAAGAAGGTGATAGTGAAGATGTGGTTGCAAGATTATTTGGTGGACCTATATAACACAGTGAGGCAGTTAATCCCAGATGTATCAAACATTTCCAATCATATCGATACATTACAATAAGCCACTTGCGTATCGTCTTCATTACTACTGCTGGCTACACTGAGTCTTTGACTGGAAGTGCTCGCGGATGTAGTCGTGGTGGATGATTGAGAGGCAATCGAGAGCCGAAACACTTCTTTATCATCAATCGTGAGTGGAAACTCCATATTGACGTGCTGCTTTATTGGCGGATCTTCAGTTATGGGATATAGAAATGACGTTGTATTCGACATAAGGTAATGTAATAAAGTAGAGAAAGGAGGAAAGAAAGAGAGAGAGAGAGAGAGAGAAGCAAGGAAAGAGGAAAAAGTAAGACGGAAAGCTATACAGTTTTTACACTTCAAGTTCAGACAATGTTAATTTCTTTCTGGGCGAATCAAAATTAATTTTTTTGGACAGTGTGTTTACCTTTTTTTAGACAAATAAGAGAATGAAGTTGAGACAGAAAAGAGTCAGTTTTGAGACTAATGGAGATGATCATTCAGACTTTTTTTTTTACCTGTAATAATCTAAATCCCAAAGAGGGAAACCGTGTTGATTAACGGCGATGGGAGAACGTAACGTTTATCGATTGTTTCTTCTGAAGATTTCGGGTATTGCATTGTCGATCCAGACAGGAAGAGAAATGGACATCATGTTTTTTTGCAGCGTTTACATCTCTTTGCCAAAGTGTATTACATGTTGTACAGACAAGTACACTTTGACCTTTGACGTTTGAATGGCCTGTCAGTGTCCTACTTTTGCATATATTGCAAATTTGTGAGGTCAGAAATTCGTCAATAGTTATGACTAGAAGATCACCAGCAGCTTCTCGTTTCTTGAGACATCTCTACATGACCCCAGCAACACCACAGCGTAAGCCCTTTCAGTTTTACCAGATCCTTTCCAAACATTCCGTTTCCAAATACAACAAGTGGAACTTTGGATTTGTCTTCTTCCTGATATTTTAAAGGTCTCCACTTATTTCGCCTAGTAAAGTGCATAAAATGAGTAGGTTTATAGGAACACATGAAACTGAATTAATGAACTTACTTTCTGTACTGCTGTTGCTTATTCTTTCTTTTCTTATTTTTGTACTTGTGCAACGGCTTCGTTTTCTTGTTATGTCGTTTTTGTTTTTTGTTCTTCTTTTTTAAAACGCTTCTTCTTATTGTATTTAGCACCGCCGTTTAACAACATGTTGACCATCATGTCAGGAGCTCTTTGTTTTCCTTGGTATAAGTTAAACCGATGTTTAGCAGTACTGAAGCCATAAAAGGTGAACAACGTGTCCATGTTTGCAAGTATGTAATCTACATATCGTAAAAATTGGGTATTTCTGGCAGTTTTCGCTGAAGGTATAGCAGACTCAATTGCGGTGATTCCGGCGGTGTCCTTTTCTTGTTGCAACTTCTTTGCATACACTGTGGAGCCTGTCAAATGGTAGTACTCTTTTGTTGTGCACCGTCTCACTTGATGTACATCAGGATCTAGTCCAATAGCTGCAGTAAACACTGTCTTTCTGCCAGGGTCAAGGAAACTTGGTCTATACAATTGGGTGACCTCTTCTATGGTAAAATCCTTTATACCCAAATCGTGGTTTACTGTTGATATTTCGTCCGCTGTACCAGAAGTTCTTTTATAAAAGAGAAAATCAACACAGAAGCCATCAGACCTGACGATATTGCCAAACAGCACGTCATTCTCTCCATTAGGCATCAGTTCTTCAATACTATGGTTAAAGTCAAGTTGGTGTCTTTCCTTGGTTTTAGATTTCGAGATATTGTATTTACCTGCTATAGCCTAGTAATTTGAAATTGAATACTTGGTAAAACAATCGAAGTTGATTGGCATAGCCTCTAGGCAATGGATTCTTGACAAAGACAGACAACGCGTTTGCACTGATAGCCAAAGATCTCCAGTGCACTGAAGGTGTTGGTAAGATACTGAATAATCTTGGTATAGGAAGCCGCCGAACATCAAAGGCATGGTGAAGCTCGTGTTCTCCTTCATATTGATTCAAGATGTGCTCGAGACATTTGTACACCTTTTCGGGGGGCAGAGGATAGAGTAATCAGGGTCACCCTTTGATCAATGAGAGCTCTTACTGACTCACATTCTTGGTCTACACGGTTTTTTATAGCATCTTCTAAGAAGCCTGAGGGTATAGTCAAATCGTTTGGCCATATTGGATCTCCTTGGCACACGTATTGGTAGGAATAATCTTTGGCAATCTTTTTCACAGTGTTAGGATCCATTTGCTATATGTCATATATATATATGTGTGTGAGTTATATATTTTAGAAGGAGTGCTTTATATTTTTGCTTTACCTTGAAAATGTTTTGCAGCTGGTAATATAGATATTTCAGAAGATGCGCCTCAAAATTCTCTACTATATTGTTCTGGTAGCTAGTAGCTATCTCAGTGCACACTTCGGCTATACATTGGGAGGCTCCTCCTTCAATCTTTTTTTCATAAACAATAGTCCTATGAGTAGATCTAAATCTATTCCAGACTACTAGTATATCTGATGGTATGTTTGTACTGCTTGTAACTCTTTTTGCATTCACCATTTTGACAGACGGAATACCAAAATTGTTGAGTAAAGATACAGTGAGGGATATCATTGTTTTGCTGTTGTTGGGAGCGAAGTGTAATATAATAGTTTACAAAGAGCTTGGCACGGAATACTATCTCCCGTATATCTCTGCTAACAGAAATGATTGCTGGCTTCAGGCGGTTTATATATTGTTGGTGGACACAGTTGTCGAGAGGCAGCTTTCTGGTGAAAGCTTGATATCCCTGGCCAAGATTTTCTTTGAGTGTGGCTTGCTTGGAGGCGATATGAGCTTCACATTTTGGTGATCTTGCTGATTTATGGCCAGTCTTGTGACACTTCTTGCATATATCTTGGCTGCCTTCATTGCTGGAAGAAGCTCTAAGCTTCTTTGCATGTCTTTTGTCGGCTTTCACACTGTCACTCTGTTTGCGTTTTTTGCTGAACGTCCCAACTTTGATATAATAACATCAGAAACAAACAGGCTATAAATACTCTTTCAAAACATGTATATTTACCATCATCGGCATTGATTTGTTTATAAAGTTTGCATTTGAAATAAGCTTTTGAAAAATGACCAGTTTCTTTGCAGTCTTTGCATACAATTGTACTATTAGCAGAGCCAACTCCTTCTTGAAAACTGTTTAACAGAAACGTTATGCAATATTTTCTGCAATATTTATACCTTCTTCTAAGCGCCTTTGTTCTTTCACAGACCGAATCTTATTCAAAATTGTTGCTTTGTACATAAAGAGATTTTACATAAACTTAGAAACTTTGATAACAGAATATTGCGATAGAAAGAGAAAGAGAAAGGAAGAAAAATATCAATTGGTTTATCACGCATAATACGTATAAGTTTAATTCTGACACAACAGATCAATAAATCACTACTAATTTAACAGTTAAAAGAAAGCAACTTTCTACAATTGATGATGGCCAGATCTTCAGCATGTATTACAGCAAAGAGCCGTTCCTTCTTGATTCAAGAAAAAGAAAGGACACCTAAGCTGATGGTGGTACTAAGAAAAAATACAATAGAAATCAAGAAGCAAGCAGAAACAGAAAGCCAGGAACAAAAGGAGAGAAGAGAATGACAATATGTTTGCTTTTGTAAACCAGTAGACCGGATATCATTACTGCAAAAATATATACAGTATATGCATATTAATGTATTTGATAGAGAGAGAAACTATACTAAACGCAAGCCAAAGGCACGTCTTTGGTATTATTTCGAGCCGATATGTTTGGCAAAGATTCGATCCGCTTGAAGGGATAGAACTATGGAGTCACCGGGATCTTTTACAAAGCTTTGAAGAGGAGAGAAAGGAACGGCGGTTTGACAGCTGTTTCTATCGATGATCATTCTGCTCCAAAAATATGTTTTAAATGTATGAGCAGCACTCAAGGTGTATCAAGCAGCATCATGGTTGTATTGCTCCTGTTTGTAAGGCAAGAGGTAGATAAACCAAACAAAAATCGGCGTAATAAGCACGGTCTTCCTTTTTTACACTTTTTCCCAAAAATGAAAAGAGACAAACTCAGAGGTTCGAGTGTCCTATTTACTACAAAGGCTGTTTATTCAAGCATGCCTCAAATTTGTTGACAAAATAACGAGCAAATCCCTCAAGATCGCTATACAAAACGCTGCTACATACATCGGCTATTCTACTAGTGAGGTTCTCGTCTGACAATAACCTTTCTCTTTTCAGCTTGCTTTTTACGACATGCCAAAATTGTTCAATAGGGTTTAGCTCAGGAGAGTATGGAGGAAGATATACACATCTGTAGCCTTGCTGAATGATATATCTTTCAATGTCATTGGCCGTATGAATAGGCGCATTATCCATTATGATATAGAAGCCTTTGAATCTATCATCCTTATCCAAAGCATCCAGTGTCTTAGCCACAAAATTGAAACAATGCCCTGTTACGGTACCCCCCCAGATCCTACTTTGCCAGAGCCTCCGCCTATCTTTCTTTTCTTAACAGAGGCACCTGGTATTCTTACTTGAACATTGGTAATGCCCCAAACACTTACTGCACCGAGAATAGTTGTGGTTTTGGCCCTCAGTACAGGAACAGCCACCTCAGCACGAGTTCCCCTCTCAGACCAAGCCATTGTTCGCTTCAGGTTGATAAGGAAAGCAGATGCATCAAGGAAGACGTAGTTCGACATGTAGTCCATATCTGTTTGCTCCCATTTCTTAACCCATTCGTAGCGATTTTGGATACTTTCAGGGGAGTTTCTTTGCTTTGAGTGGAGATGGGCCTTCTTGAATGACAAGGCACAGTCATTGACCATATATTGATGGACCAACGACTTACTGATCTTTAAGCCAGGAAAAGCTCCAATTAAATTTTCCATGGCCTGATCTATAGTGGCAGAAGGGCTGTCCACAAACTCTTTCTTTAAGTGCGCGTTGTGGTCATCGTTGAGAAGCTTTGATCGGCCAACTTTCTTCGTCTCAGTTGAGCCAGGAGTGTCTTCGCCATTATCGCTTCTCCTATTGATTTTGTCTTGGTCATCTTTATACCATCGGTACGCAGTAGACCGAGATATGTTGGCAGCTTTAGTAGCTTTGCCGGCGGTCATATCGTCATTGTATATGAAGTTGAAGAACCTGGCCTTATATTGATCGGTATAAACATTATGGGCTCGAGTAGACGTGTCCTTGTATTTGGCATTCTTCATCTCAACGTCGCGAGTAACCTTTTCTTTTTCAGCAGGCTTTTTATCGGAGTAGACACTGCAGTTTGTAATGTCTCCTCATGGATAGTTCACCTCATCTACCTCCATGTTGACAGGCTCATTTTCATATTCGTCTACAGGAGGATTAATGCCATCCTCTTGATAAAATTTGTAGGCAGTCATTTTTATGATTATTACAAGGTGAAGATGATTTTGTTTCGTGTCCCATTTGCAATTTGTCTCAATTCACTCTTTCAGGTGTCTCAAGTCAACTTTTATTTTTGTTTGAGAATTGTCCCATCTGTTTTTTTAATTCTGTCCCTTACGTTTTCGCAAAGTGTCCCAATCATTTTGGGAAAAAAGTGTATTTATTACAATTTTGTGGGTTTAACCTCACCCAAGAAGAGTGTCTTATCCGTACTTGCACTCATGACGATGGGCTCCTTTGGATGCCAGTCGACATCATTGACACATCCCTTATGACCAGGAAGCTTATAAAGAATCTTGCGAGTATCTACATCCCAAATAACGACTGATCTATCGGCGGAACCACATGCAATTTGACTGCCATCTGTTGCCCAACATGGCTTGATCAAATTCTTTTCAAAACCATGAGGTGCTCCTTCGAAAATCTTGAGACAGCGATCAGCGGCAGCAAATGGCTTGATGTCCCAAATACGAACTGTTGCATCAAAGATGAATGAGCAAAAACACACAATGCCATTTTGTGCACCTCCCCATACCTGTGTTATCCATGGAGTTTGTTAATAAATTGTTGCCATCAGGACTCAGAGACATGCCCGAAACCGTATCCATGTGTCCCTTCATAGTGTATGCCAACTGATTTTTGCGCACATCCCACACTTTGATATCGTTATCGAGCCCTGCTGAATAAACCATGTCGCCAGCATCACTAAAGCACACACTGGTTACTTGGTAGTCGCTTTCAAATGTGCTGACGGCCTCTTTTGTTCTACTATCCCAAATCTTTACTGTACAATCATCACTGCCAGATACAACCAATTCAGCTCCTCTGCGTGCGACTTGACAGCTGTTGACGATGCCGGTGTGTCCTCTCCATCTGCGTGTGCGCGTGCCTGCCTTGACATCAAAGATGCCAACAGTTTTATCGGCTGAACAACTGAATATCTGGTTTGAGTCTCGAGACCAATGAATTTCCATCACTGCATTTGTATGGCCCTTCAATACACCGTAGTTTTTGACTTCTCCATACGTATTCCATAATACTATAGGTATTGTTGAGTATGCCTGTCAGCAAACAGAGCGCTCTCTACTTACAAATTTGTCTATCGAATCCAGCACTAGCAATATATTCGCCTGACTGATCAAACTTACAAGAGTAAATCTCGCCCTACAGATTCTCCCATTAGCACATCCTGTCATATTCAATATCGACATTTTGTATCTTTACATCATGACCTATCAGTTGCATCACAGGCGCTTCGAGTCCAGAAGTACGTTTAATCTACAGGACCACACGTTAGTACTGTACGTTGACTGTTGACTGACATACACGCGTACAGTTCCTACGATGGCATTCTTGGTGCCAGCTCTTTGGTTGGATAGGTTGATGAGTGATTTGCTGGTGTCTTCTTCATCTTGCTTGGCACGCTTGATGAGGGCTCCACTGCCGCCATTCGATGTATCCTTTCTCTTTTCGGCCATGATTTGAAATCGTTTTGGTTTGAGCTCAAAAAGTATCCAAATTTCTATTCAAAGGACTTCCAAGTGAAACCTATAATTTTACGCCACTCAAGAATTTTGCAGCGTAGTGCCGTTAGGGAGGGTGATATCGACGTCATGATAATGTTTCCGAACGCGATCCTGAAACGCGTTGTATTGTCTTTATGCAAAAGTGCACCGGTTTTTCGGTTTTTTCAGCCTTTTTTTTTTTTTTTTTTTTTTTTTTTTTTTTGGCTTTCCTCTCACTCTTTCGATCTGGTCTTGGTCTCTTTCGATCTGGTCTTGGTCTCTTTCGATCTGGTCTTGGTCTCTTTCTATCTGGTCCTTTGGCGGTATCAAGTGGTGCCTTTATATCCTTGGCCGGCTTGTCACTGGTCTTGGCTCTGAAAAGATGCTGCTTTTTACGAAGAGATTGGGTTGCTTTGCCTTCTCATACAGATCTATCTTGGCAATCATTCGATGATGGAGTATTAGTCTGAACTCTCCCCAAACCGGATTTAGCCACAAATGCGTCCATTCGTATACTACGGAATACATGCCATCTCCTAGTAACTTTCGTGTTGCTATGTACGCTATCCGTATTGGTTCGTTACGAGAATAGGGTAGTTGGTAGGGTGACGGCCTACCAAGCTGTTGATCTCGCGTATACATGTTACATCATGTGCTCTTTTGCATATGGTCTACACAGTGTAATTGAAGAGTAGGTAGTTGGTGAGGTAACGGCTCACCAAGCTGATAATCTTCGTGTGCTATCTGCCCAAAGTAAGGAAAAGTTCCTCCTGTGTATGAAAGCAATCCAATCTAGGGAATGCAATCCTCAAGGGAACTGTTCTGTATGGCTGCTTTGATATTCTTTCTGGAGGTGAAATCGAGTCAAAGCGGCCATATGCAATCATATACAAACTGGTACGTATCTTTTATGAATGCAAAAGGTTCCTTTTACTAATATTGTTTCTCTGCTTAAAACTGCTTTACGCCCTAAATTTATTGATGGGCGTGGGTGATTAGGGGGGCATCGTTTGTGTGCGCCGCGGTCAACCCTCCTTTCACTCACTCGGTTGTAAATAGTCGGGCTATCGATACCTACTCTGGCCTGGCGACCCTCTCTGGTGAACTGTTATCACTGCTATTGGAGTGATAGTAGTTTCTCTCCTTTGGTCGTCTCTTTCTATCTGGTCTTGGTCTCTTTCTATCTGGTCCTTTGGCGGTATCAAGTGGTGCCTTTATATCCTTGGCCGGCTTGTCACTGGTCTTGGCTCTGAAAAGATGCTGCTTTTTACGAAGAGATTGGGTTGCTTTGCCTTCTCATACAGATCTATCTTGGCAATCATTCGATGATGGAGTATTAGTCTGAACTCTCCCCAAACCGGATTTAGCCACAAATGCGTCCATTCGTATACTACGGAATACATGCCATCTCCTAGTAACTTTCGTGTTGCTATGTACGCTATCCGTATTGGTTCGTTACGAGAATAGGGTAGTTGGTAGGGTGACGGCCTACCAAGCTGTTGATCTCGCGTATACATGTTACATCATGTGCTCTTTTGCATATGGTCTACACAGTGTAATTGAAGAGTAGGTAGTTGGTGAGGTAACGGCTCACCAAGCTGATAATCTTCGTGTGCTATCTGCCCAAAGTAAGGAAAAGTTCCTCCTGTGTATGAAAGCAATCCAATCTAGGGAATGCAATCCTCAAGGGAACTGTTCTGTATGGCTGCTTTGATATTCTTTCTGGAGGTGAAATCGAGTCAAAGCGGCCATATGCAATCATATACAAACTGGTACGTATCTTTTATGAATGCAAAAGGTTCCTTTTACTAATATTGTTTCTCTGCTTAAAACTGCTTTACGCCCTAAATTTATTGATGGGCGTGGGTGATTAGGGGGGCATCGTTTGTGTGCGCCGCGGTCAACCCTCCTTTCACTCACTCGGTTGTAAATAGTCGGGCTATCGATACCTACTCTGGCCTGGCGACCCTCTCTGGTGAACTGTTATCACTGCTATTGGAGTGATAGTAGTTTCTCTCCTTTGGTCTTGGTTTTCCTCTCTTTGTCTGGCTTTGGCTTTCCTCTCTCCTTTGGTCTTGGTTTTCCTCTCTCCTTTGGTCTTGGCTTTCCTTTCTCCTTTGGTCTTGGTTTTCCTCTCTCCTTTGGTCTTGGTTTCCTTTCTCCTTTGGTCTTGGTTTTCCTCTCTTTGTCTGGCTTTGGCTTTCCTCTCTCGTTTGGTCTTAGTTTTCCTCCCTTTGTCTGGCCGTGATTTATCCTTTTTTTTTATATAATAAACATAAAGCCATAGTCTAGGCAATCACTATTCTCCAAAATCTTATAACAGACTTAAATGAAAAAAGAATCGTCGTGACTAATCAGATGCATATAAAAAAAACCTTTGTTCGCATTTACAATCATGCTCATGAGGTTCTGACTAAAGAGGAGGAACGATAAGCCTGAAATTTTGTCAACGAGCATGTTCATATTCGACTGAAAAGTCAAGTGAGATTGGAGCTAATTGTTCGCGAAAATACGCGCACTCAGAGCCTGCCAACTGTCAACGAGATTGCAGTCATCATCCCTAATGAATATCATGACACAAGTTTTAAAGATATCCTCATCGCATACCGATCTAGGTTGTCAGACAGTGCCAATAGTCTCTTTTCATGAATCAGTGAAACACGTACTGCTTACATGCCATGTTGAAATGCTAAAAATCATGATTAGAAAGCTGCGATTACATATGTATATTTTGATGGTAAGCCAGGCTGGTGAACCTCATTAATCAGCATCCCAATCACCATTGTCACATCATCGAAACGGCCTTTGGGTCAGCCAGCAGCAGCGAGGCCGCTGCCAAAATTAATTTAACCTCGGTACATTTTTTCTGTTCAAGATTGGCCAGATTGCGTCTTTTTTCAACCTCTTTCATCTGTTTTGTAAGATTCGACTATATAAGCCGTGATGATCAACCTATGCTTCCTAATACATTCTTGGAGTACATTTTATGACGCTCCCAATGGTACCAAGTAAAATAGATGTTTTGATTGAACTTACTGAGCAATTTCAGAAAATATGAAATAACGTTTTTGGCCAGAATGTCGAAAATTTGCATATGATAACCTCTCAAACGTGGTTTCAGGGGTTGCCTTGGATCGATAGGAACATTTTGATCTAATACATAAATACAAAAAAATTTTGATCTAATACATAATACAAAAAAAAAAAAAAAAAAAATTGATCTAATACATACCATAGTAAAAATCTTCGTTTTCAAGGTGAAAAAAGCGATCGTTTGATTTTCGTTGAAAACCATGAGGTGTCCCTCATGCTTTTTGGTCGATTTTTGGCCATGTTTTTTGGGTCTCGAAAAAGTTGAGCAAAGGTGTCAGAAAGTTGCTGCTACTCGAGTACAGTTGTTTGGTGTCACTCCGGTGGCTCAGAAACGTTTACATGTAAAGATATGAAGCTTCAAAAGCTGTCAAATTTGGCTGTGCTTTGGGCATTTGCTTGTTAATAGGCACATTTTCGTTATGATACAAAGGCGTAAAGACATTGTATGCATTAATCTGGATTCAGAGCATGCTGTTACATCCAAATGTCCAGGTTGAGTTGCACTGTTGTATCGCAGTATTATAACACAATGATACAGCTTATTAGTGAGGCGATGGCGGTTGTAAGGCAGGCAGGACATTTTAGACGCAATAGATAGTCTGCATCCAGTATACTGTGTACAATAAGATGTACTTTTTGATCCACGAATATGTGATTTTTGCATGGCTAGCAAAATTGTTTCCCATTCGCAGTCTGGATTGACATGTCAAGCAGTGATAGTAGGCTTTTTATTATGCCTGACCATGTCATTGGATCAATCTCGTAAAGAGCCAATCTGGCTCAAATTTCATATTTCGATCATTGTCAACTTGTAAAGCCAAGGTCAGTTGCAACAACTTTGGAATTGACCCAGTACGATTCATTGCAACTATGTGTTCATACTTTCAGCTCCAGATGTTTTCTAGTTGAGCACTCCATATCTTTACCGCCCTTCAGACTTGCAATCGAGACAAAATGGTCACGACGCAACACCCCACATTTGGATTGCTCAAATACCCCCTTCCACTTTCACCATTCCTATTTTCTCTACATTTATAAATCAACATGTTTGCCTGTCAACGTATCGCAATTTCAGCTATTTCCAGACGTCAATTTCACACAGTTCCCGCCATGATGGCAGAGAGCGAAGGTCTTTTTGGAAAGTTGAATCCCTGGGCAAAGAAAGAACAACCTCAACAACAAGTTACCCCTGCTCAACACACCTCTGAAGAACCCAAGGTCACCTTTAATGTTAAATACGAGGATGAAGATGATATTGTTTCGTAAAGTATAAGGGGGTTTCAGTGGAAATGCGGCTGGATTACTGACATTTGCAATATCTACTAGCTGGAAGAGAACTGACATCCTGACTGATGCAGCAGAATTAGAATCCACTGTCAAATCTGTCATTCTTCAGCATGTGCAAGGCGCAACCGAGACAAACTGGAAGGAATTACCTGTCAATGACAGCAACACCAAATTTCAAGTAAGATATGTACACTTTAATGAACAAGTAAGGGTTTTAATCATTGCTATGATAGATTGTCAAGGAGAGTATCAAACAAACTGGCAAAGAAGTCCCCAACCATGAATTGAACAGTTTCGAAACTACAAAGGACATTCTGGACTACTTCAAGAGTGAAAAGGCATTGGCAAAGAAGGCCACCATTGCAGATTACTTTGAAGAACACAGAGAGTCTTTACCAAGCAACTTGACCTTTGCACCCAGAGAATAGAAATCATACATATGTACAGAAAAAAATAAATACAAGCGCTAGATTTGCACACGTTGACTGATGTCATTGAACAGCTTTTGATGCATGCTCCAGAGCCTGTTGGGTGGAATGATTGAGAAATAGATGGCCAGCAGCTCTTGGTGCTTTGTCTTTTGGTAGAGAAAGTAATATTCACGGTCATTGGATTCCTGCAATACTCGGGATCTGTGTGGATCCTGACGATAACATAAGCCCAAGTGGATCATCTCATTGCACTAATGGTAATGGCATTAACTGACATTGCTATTTGAGTTGGTGTTTGTTTGTATTACCAGTTTCTTCAGGGTGGGTTCGTTGGGCCAGACCCATTTGCACCGATCTGTGATGGCGGCATTGTATTTTCCATAAACTTCATGTAAGAGTTCATGATTCTTGTCCAAATCGTTTAGATCCACCAAACAAGGCGCTGTCATGATGCCCCTGTCAAAGTGAACAAAGTGAACGAGGCCTGGATAGGTCACAGCAAATGAAAGATTCGTGAAATGAGTTGCTTCCTTTGTGAGTAAGAATGTAGTGAAATCGGATAAACATGACTTTAAGGATGCTTTAAACCGTTTCACTTGCAATGATGTAGGTTTCCAGGTAGATTTTGTGCTTGTGGGTGGCATTTTGGTATTGGTATTTGTAGGGTGCTGTAAGGCAGAAGTCTATCAGTAAAGCAGTGTGGACTCTTTCTCTCTCTTTCTCTCTCTTTCTCTCTCTTTCTCTCTCTCTCTCTCTCTCTCTCTCTCGTTGTAACAATTACCTTGTCAGGATCATCTTTGCAGACAACAACAGCACACAACCCATCACTGATTAATATCAGCAGGAAATTGGCTAAATAGATATGGCCATCCAACTTTACCCAACGTCGCACCAATTTGACATCTTCTGTTTGATCCAAATAGCTTGTTTCACCGTTTATCAGGTTGGTGAGCAAATGCTTCAACGAAGAATCTTCTCCTCCTGCTGTTGTGGACACACTTTGTGATCTAGAACGGTGTGTGGGGGATGATGGCGCAGATGAAACTCTTTGGAAGGGGTTTCTTTGTTGACTATACGTGGTGGCTGTTGTATTGGATGTGGCTGTAGTAGATTCAGAGGGCACACTGCTTGACAAAAAAGACATGTTGTTGGTGGTATCATCCGCATTCAAAATGTCGGCTATCATGGATTGCTGCAGTTGAGGATTATGATGCTGTGGCTGCAGTACATTGGCGGGTATACGGTCAATCTCCATGGCTTTCATGGGCGCCACCAAGTGATGTGCTTGGATACTGCTGCTGTTTGTCAAGGGATTGCTCCAGTAGGATACAGAAGAGTCTGAGGATACCACAGTTACTGAAGATGCGGACTTCTCCCTTATTTTAAATGGAGCTGAACTAGAGTTGGCGTCGTACACATATGCAAGCGAGGATGGCTGACTGGAGCTATTGGTTGTGTTGCTAGCAGACGTCTCTGATTTAGTGGATGTAGGTGATGCTGCTGTAGTAGTGGTGGTGTTATTATTTAAGGTTTTCCCCGTAGTGTTTGTTGTGATGGTGGTATTTGTTGTGTTGGAATGGGCAATGACAGTGGTATCCGTGCTGGATGGAGAGCTAGATGGAATGAATACACTTGGAGAAGGCAACCTCGTAACAACTTACTTTGATATGTTTTGCGGTAATGTGGTTGTCCGTATGTGATTCAGGTAGTAATTGCCTATGATTCAATCAACAAAAAAGTAAATAATCTACCACCTGGTTTAGCTTCTTTTCCTCAAGTACCTGACTCTTGCTTTTCCTGCATAAATTGTGATACTACCAGCTTTAAAAAATAAATAAACTCATCAGGCAGATCATTGTTTTCTATAGTGCTGCTATTATGACACTGTGTTACGAGCTTTTCTCTCGCAAACAAATAACAATAACTCCATGTTGTGGTCATAGTTGACACAACGCTGCTGCTGTTGCTGCTATCTTGAGAGTGGTGGTAATCAAAGATGGAGGTGGGTCTGTTTGTTGTTCTGGAAGATGACGCTGTGGCAGATGAAAAAAAGGAGTTGCGATGATGATGCTGGTGGTGGCCATGCTGATGTGTGTGCTGGTGAACAAATGCACTGTTACAGCAATTCATCATACTCTCCATTAACCGACATCGTAGATCATCGCTCACTTGCACTTGTTCACTGAAACACAAGCTATCACACGATCGCATGGATAATTTACCGCAAAGAAATGGCAACAGGGATAGACAGGCATTGAGATCTGATGATGTGAGTGATTTCATGCTGCTATTGCGATTGTAGTTGGTGCTGTTGCTGCTGCCCTGAATGTGAAGACACCAATGAGGTCCATAATGAAATTTTATAAAGCTGTGCATAACTCGCAAGTGTTGTTGTAGCAGTGAGATTGGTATATTGTGTCGTTTGGTGCAAGCTATATACAAAAGATTCTGTTGCTGTTGTAGATACAAAGCCTGTCAATAGCAAGAACGTGTGCTTGCTTTTGAATACTCACCTCTCTGAAAGCGACCGTCTTGTTTCCCACTTTGATGTACTGGACAACGTCGTTGAGATTCGCTTTGATCAGATCTTTGATCACAAGCAGAGGCAAGTAGCGTATCCTCTGGCTTTCGTTGGCAGTGGCTGTATTACTGGAGAGATGCTTTTTTGTGTTTGTTGACTGATAAACAACCGTGCCTAGCTTGTTTATAATAAAGTATGTTATCATGTCTCTTGGTTTAATGTAAAAAGAAAAAGAAAAAAAAAATGATAGCGTTATAAATGAAAAAGGTTTAAAAGGATGAGTTTGTACGACAGCTGCTTATCACGTCCCTTTTTTGCTCCCTCACCCTGCTTCTCCGCCTGTAAATCAGTGTCAATGCCAAAATTACATGATTTTCAGGAATGCGACGTTTTGTATCGTGAGCAGCATGTAGACAAGTGAGCCTAAAGCATTCAATTGAGTTGGATGTATAGTCGAAACTGACAAAATATTGTGTTGTTTGGTGCTGTCATCAAAGTCTGCAATGTGGGTCCAATGCTGCCAAATCGCATTAAAGATGATACGGGAGCATGCAATTATATATTGAAAGGCTATTTTTATCTCTGAAAAAAAAAGGGGGGGGTGTTGTAACAGTTACAAAGAGATTTGATTGCCCTCAAATGTTACAGGTGCTTGTTTGCGATGTCAATAGCTCTGGCTTCCAATTGCCTTCTCAAGTGTATATAATGTATATTTAGATGTCAAGCAAAAGATTAAAAAGATGTGATATGGTATAAAGATTATGATAAATTGTAAACATTGCTTCAAGATATATAGATGGATGTGCTACTGTACTAGTTGTTGATGACGGTAGAAAAGGCAACCTTGATCATCATGCAAATGGCGGCTTATGGCTACATTACACATTAGTATCAACTTCCACTTAATAGCAGCATACTTCTCACCTCGAACTTGCTCGTTCTCTTTTAATCATGTCAATCTCACGTCTCAGTCCTGAGATTTCAGCCTCCATATCATAATCACGACGTTTTAATAGGGATATATACTCTACGGCTATGGTAAATGCATCATCGTTAAATGGCTACAGCAACTTACAAAAAGCACAGCGCCGCTCACCTTTGCTAAGAATCTCCCATTTGCTTGTCTTCATGTTCTTCTCCACTGGCAAGGAATCTCGAAGTTCGTCAAACAAATCCTTCATCTCTTTTCTTCTTTTACGTTCGGCTAATTTATGACTAATGCGTAGCTCTGGAGAGCGGGAATAAGGAGTTTCCTTTCTTTTCTCCTCTTCCATCATGCCATCGCTCATAGGCCCATGTCTACTGATATAGGGTTCACTGGCATCTTCGTTTCTCAGCTCATGGAGCCTGGATTGTTGCTGTTGAGGTAAAGGCGGTGGGGGCGGTATGCTCGATCTGTCATAGTGGCCACGGTGCAATGATGTGACAACTGGCATGGATGCTCTTCTTACGAGTAAATGTTCAGCACTAGGCCCATCATTCAAGTCGTCCAGGATAGAAGGTCTACGACGAGAAGGCAACAGAGGGCCACCGCCACCACCACCACTGCTGCTGCTGTTACTGTTTGAGGTATAAGGTAGTCGACTGATGCTATTTTTTCTGCTTGGAGTACCATTGTATTTCAAGTCTCTGTTTTCATGCATGAGCTCCTGATGACCCACGTTGCCTAATGCTGATTGCGGCGGGCTAGGAGGTGCAGAGTAGGTTCTGTAATTGGGCGATTCCTGAATAGTTGCAGGAAACTTGAAGGCTATTTTTTTTTTTTTTTTTTTTTTAGATATATTTATACGAGGATCAGTACATTCATGCATATTCACTCTTTTGCGTTTTTTTTTTTTTTTTTTTTTTTTGTAATACCTCTGTATTTGGTGGATGATGGTACGCTGTTTCTGTTACTGTGGTTGTAGGTGGGTTCAGCAGTAGCAATTGAATGTCTTCTTTGGTAGGGCTCATATGAGTTGCTGCTACTGTTGCCGTTTGAAATATGATGGTGATGCAAATTGTTGCTGGGCAGAGAATCCCGTCTACCACTGTTATTGAATGCATAAGGATGAGGAGCAGCTGCGTCGTTCTCGTGATATCTTTTGGAAGAAGTAAAAGGTGAAGGAGATGGAGATCTTGATGAATAGTCGTAATCTGTTGTTGCAATGGACCCTCTTCTACTCACCACTGTTGAATTTGGTAGGGGCAAATTGCTCATGTCTGTGACGGAGGGTCTGCGGAAGTTGTGATTGTGAAATGCGGCTGGGTCTGTTGCAGAACCCCTTCGAGAGTATGAGAGCTGTTCATAGTATGTTTGCTGTGAGCTTGGTTCCAGGGGCGATAATGGCTTTGTAGTCGCCAATGCTGAGTCATATGGACGCTGTGGTTGCTGCTGCTGCTGCTGCTGCTGCTGCTGTTGCTGTTGCTGCTGAGATACAGACATGTCTGACATACGATGTCGAATATAGTCATCTGTTTGAGATGAAATTGCTTGCATGGAAGGCAGAACTGGTTTTGCATCTACATAATGTGAATACAGCGTTCATCATTTGAATGCCCTCCAATACCTGTTGTCTCCATGAATGGCTCATCAATCATCATCTTGTCGTCTTTCTCTTCAACAGACAAAGATGAGGTTCTCAACAAATCTCTGGCAGGTGGTAATGCAAAGTTGTTATCTTCAGCTTTTATGCTATCCATGGTAATTTAAGGAACCAAATGTGAGAGTGTGCGAGAGAGAGAGAGAGAGAGAGAGAGAGAGAGAAATGTTGCGAAAAAGGGAATATGAGTGAGACAAAAGAAAGGGAAAAAAAAAGGGAAAGGAAAAAGGAAAGAAAAAAAGAAGTTCATGGGTCAAAATAGATTTAAAACGTTTATGCTACCGAGATCCAGAAAGAGACAATGCTTATTTGAACAAATACAGTGTGTATAGAGATGGAGAGGTGGCATACGCTATGGAGGAGGTGTGCGCACCAGTCACGAAGCAGAGGGCATCATGGTCCTATTCAAATGGTGTACAGCCATGATGGGGCTCCTTATTGATCCCTGTGTTCCATCCAGGCAAACCTGACATGTACATTTAACCACCCCTTTTTTCTGGTGAATTCGCTCCTATCATGTCTCCTCGTCCAGCTTTCTCTCTTGCTGGACTATTAGTGTGGATGTTTGTTTATCAAGTGTTGAAGTGAAACGTTGGTGTTTATCTGGCGAGATCAAACATTTGACTCGAAAAGGGAATTCATGATTTTCTGGATACATTTACAGTTCAAAGATAAAAGATGTTGTATCACCCGATTAAGATGACAATGCTGAATCGCGTATAGACTCCCCTGCTTAAAATTGCTTTTTTATACATGTACCATGTATGCAATTGCATGTTATAATGCTATTAGAAATGGCTTTAGTGAGATACAATGTATGTTTTTGATCAAGTATACTATTTTCTTTGTTTGGCTGGAACGTGGTGAATGGAGAACCTGATCAAACAAATAAAGGTTGCTGTACCTTTTCTATTTGGAATCTTCCATCATCTGCGTTTTGGGGTTTTCCCACTATAAAATATCAGCAGTTTTGGAAATTCTACATCAACGTAGGGCATGAAATTCCGCATTGTAGAAATATCCGTCTTGTCCCATTACGTAATATGGGCATATTAGTCATGCTTGTGTGCAGTGGCTATTACTAGCGTTGTTTTCATACGATAACACATATTGAGCCGATATGGATTTGACAGCTCTAGAATGCATCATGTCCCGGTATTTTGTACAGTATATATGATTGCCATGGCTACGCTCATCCTCACAGTCTTTTTTGATGCAAGACACGGCCAAGCATCCAAGACTTTTGCTGGTTTTGTTTGAGATTTGCCTTCCTTCCATTTAAAATTTTGAATGTATGCATCCTTCTATTATTATATTTACATGATCAATTAGGAGAAAGTCATGGTATAAGGAGGGACGAGGTTGTCAACAGTCAACTGAAATCTCCCTGCTGCTGTTGCAAAATATCATGATGGAATAATTCAGATTTTATTCTTCAGGTTGGTAGTTTTACCATAATTCACATTTGGCAACAGGGTTCATTGGACTTCCTGATGGACATTGGAAAACCTCTGCAAAGTATTTGGAGTTCTGAACTGCGCCGTTGACACGCCACTTGGCAGGCGAATGCTCATCCGTAAGAACCTGTACATGGCAATGATTAAATCATGGGTTATCTACTTTTATACACATTCAGAATACACTTACGCCCTTCTTGGCTTGAGCAGGTGTCACCTTATTGCACCAAATACGACCAAAGTTGACAAAGAACAATTGCTCAGGAGACAAGCCATCTAAACCAGGTAATCTGACATTGTTGTAACGCTTGTTCTCCTTATCGCTGTCATATCTTTGCTTCCAGGCAATGTAGGATTCTCCCAACCCACCATTGTCAGCCAAATTCTCTCCCAGTGTGAATTTGCCATTGACATGAATGGCTTCTCCTTTCTCATCGATCATGGTGAAATTGCTGTATTGCTTGACAAAACAATCCGCCTTTGCATCAAATTGAGCAGCTGTTTCGTTTGTCCACCATTGGACAAGACGGCCCTCGGCATCAAAGTGTCTGCCCATACTATCAAAGCCGTGCTACCACACCCAGTTAGTATCCCTGATCCATTGAACATATCCACAAAACATACAGTCAACTCATGCCCAACAACAACACCAATGCCACCATAGTTCAGATAGTCTGGGTAGTTGCTTCCAAAGAAGGGGTTTTGAAGAATACCAGCGGGGAAGACGATCTGAATAGACGGTTAGTTAGTTGTACACATCAGCACAATTGAGCTTACCTCATTGAACGATGGGTTGTAGTACGCATTGACCTCTTGAGGGTTCATCAACCATTTGGATCTGTCAGGTGTCTTGCCGACTTGACGCCATCCGTCCAAGACGGCAAACTTGCGAGCATTGACATAGTTACCAAAATAGTCATCGCTTGCCAAATTCAGTTCACTGTAAAAGTTGGACAAAGACACAGGCGACATGATATCGGGAGAGCTGTCAGGATATCCAACCTTACGAATCAACTTTTCAACCTTCTCCACAGCTTTTTCACGTGTAGCACCATCGAGCCATTCTAATTCAGGCAATCGCTTCAAGAACACTTCCTTGATGCTATTAATAAAGTCATCAGCACGTTCCTTTGCCTCACCGCCAAACTTGTCAATCACATAGTAACGTCCAGCCAAGAAACCAATAGCGCCATTGACTTCATCCAAACAAGTATCCCAGCGAGGTTTGATGGATTTGGGGTTAGTGCCAATCAATTTGGATGTTAAGCGGTGAATAGGGGCGCGGATTTCCTCGCCAAGAGCATCAGCATAGGCAAAGATGACCTTCCAAGTGAAATAGGCTTGCAAAGTGCGAGTAGTCTCTTCTTGAAGTAGTTGCGTAGAAACATTGCCGATAAAGGCAGGTGAAGTTACAACAAGCTTGCCAGGATGAGGAGCATTAGGGGGTAAAAGATGGCTAACGTAGAGTCCCCAATCAACATTAGGGGCAATTTTAGCCAACTCTGAGAGAGACATGGGGTTGTAAGTAGCCTCGGGATCTTGGAACTCTTCAGGCAACTGACTGATGGATGCCAGTCTCTTTTCGAAATCCACAATCAAGCGAGCAGTGGCGTTGGCATCGTATCCAGCGAACAGTTCGGTGGCAAGGCTGGATTTGCTTTCGTAGATGATGGTCAGCGTATCAGCGATGGTTTCGTAAAGAGCCTTGACAGATTCATCTTGAGTGTAGTAGACTTTGTTGGGTAAAGTCAAGCCAGACTGGTACAATTGCAAGGAGTTCACACTGGGATCTTTGGGATCAGCATCGACAATGATCTCGAATAACGCACCAATGTCTCTCTTTGCCAAGAAGGATAGTGTTTGAGTCAAGCGACGAGTTTCAGAAGAGCCCTTGGACGAAGCAGGGTACATGTCGCGGATTTCTTTCAACAGTGGGTAGATAGGTTCAGCACCACGGTCGTCGATCAGAGCCTCATTCATGCAAGAGTCATACAGCGACTTTACTTTCTCAAAGTTTTGCTTGTCAATCACTTTCTCGGGATCAGGCAACTGTGAAGCGGGTGAGTGCGTGCGATCATAAAAGTCATCAAAGGAACCAGAAAAGATGATGCGGAGAGCGTCCTTGTTTTGATTGACGAGAGATACAAACGAATTGATGGATGACTTGCCCTCAGGAATCTCGTGATTCTTTTCCCAATTGCTACAGGTGTATTGATAAAAATCGTTGCAAGGGTCAGCTGTCAAGTCGACATCCTTTAAGATTTGAGCTGCTGTCAAGACACAATCAGGTGTAATGCAAATAGGCTAGCAGAAATCCTCATCAGCATGATAGTCATAGAAAAACAAACAATTCATCTTACTGCTGTATTGTTACTTCCAGGAGGTGCAGGTACAGTGGGTGGAGGGTTTTTAGGCTTCTCTTCATAGACACGTCTTGTATAGAGCCCTGCTACAACACATAGAGAGATGAAAAATGTGATGGCCAAGGCGAACAAGACCTTTTCCAAAAGAGTGAATTTTCCGTTGTGAATACCGTTATTTCGACGGGAGGAAGGACGGAGGCTTTCTTGGTGATCACTGCCACCACCAAGGCCTTCATGCTCATCCTGTAGGAGAGGTTCTCTTTCTGCACTCATAGCTTTCTTTTCAGAAATGTATATCTATATAAAAAGAGAGAAAGATAAGGGTATTTGTGTATGTCGGCGAGTGTGTGAAGAAAGAGGATCCTCTTAATGATGGTGGTATCATAGCTACAAACACACCTTGGTCTTGTGGAATGAGCCTTCATTCTCAGTTGTGCCACATACAAATTTGAAGACGAGTTGACTGCATTCCAAAGTCTGAAATAGGTAGTATAAACGATGTCCACGATATTAACTCGGTCATCACATGCAAGTCTGAATGGTAGTCTTTCGTTGACTCAATTGGAAGGCGGATGTGATTCTGCGACTATAAAGACAAGACGGTTTGTGATAATCAGCAACATTTCATTTAGTGCACTGGTTGATAAACTTGAACTACTAACCTTTTTTGTATACTATTTCATGCAAATTTAACGCATGTAAGGGATAATGACCAAAGAAAGTCGTATAGTATACTTTGATTAGACAAGGTAACAGCAATTGATCTTCAACAGTTCATACAACTTGGTTTATTTTTTGCGATTTTCATTTGGCATGTAATGATCTAGAATAGGATATGCAATGTATTATACAGCATATAATACACCATGAGGATTGAGCATGAGCAAAGATGCGTAATGTAGTGTGATCACTTTAGTTGGGCATAGCAAAGAGACATGAGTGGTGCCATCAGATGGCTAACCTATGCCTTGGTTTCTGTGGGGCGATAGTCTATGACAAATCGTTCCTGAAAGCCTGTCTCCATTCAGACAAATGTTTTTGCATCAAAACTATCATGAAGAACATCTTATCTTAGATCACCATCGTTGTTCATTCCTGACAGGAGGTCCATAGAATCCTACGCAGTGGCGAGTATTCGCTAACTGCCTCTAGACTTCTACTATTGTCTTTCATCCACGATCAAGGTCTTATTGCTGCAGTACTGTCAAATAACTATTACTACCTTCGAAATTTACTCTAGTTTTAATTTTCATTCAGTCTTGGAATAACATAATAAACAAAGATGGTCAGTTTCATTAAACCGGGTGTTATCAATAATATCAACTTTGGAAAAAAAAACCCCCCTCCTCTTAATTCCGCGTTCTTTAGTATTTCAAAGAATATGTTACTTAGGTTTCTATTACGACGACGTGGTTTTCTCGATGGTCGAGTACGTTCGTTTTGTTGTCTCAACCGCAGCCATTGGCTAAATCTCTGACGCTTCGGGCCGTCGTTCAAAGAAAACGTTGAAAGCATTGAGCAGAAGAGGAAAGAAAGTAGAAATAACAGTAGTTTTTTGTTGATTGATTGTAAAATCATTAATCATTTATGAGCCACCAGGCCTGATTGATGCCTGGAAACTCAGCTTTCATATTAATATCAAGGCTGTAAAAGTGTCTAGGGACTGAACATTTAATATAATATGATTATTTTTTACCAACATTTGACTAGAGTAACATGTTACTTTCAGAGCTATAGCACCACCAGTAGTTCAAAACTCAAATTTGGGTGGCCCAAGTCTCTAAAAAAAAAACCGAAAATATTATCGTTCATCCAGAATCTATATGAGGTAAAAGATAGTAACGCACGAAACTGAAGCTTGTTGGAAAACAATAGTGATAAACAACGCATGTTTGGCGGGGCATTTGATAATGATGGGAGGATCCTGTTCCTATTATACTGCTGTGTAGTACCTACTATGGCTACTATTATACAAGTTTTTTTTTTTATTATCATATAATAAATTCAAAAGATATCGCTTATATGAAAGTGATTAATCGATGCTAGAACAAACGCTTGCACCTTATCATAGCTTCATATAAGGAAGGCTTTAAATTGTATTCATTTGGCTACCCTTTTATTACAAACACAAAATCAAATTTATTGACAGATCATCAACAGGAAATCAACTAGTTGTAACCCTATGTTGTCTCAACCTCTCAGCCAATCAGATTGCATAAAAACTCCGCTGACCTTAAAAAAAATTGCGAGGGTTTCCCCCTGTTTTGATGCGAGGCAAAATTTTAAGTTCCGCTATATAGCAATATAGCGGTAGCTATCATCAAATTTCCCCCAGGTGCTAGAGCATGCCTTACTTACACCACCTAGCTTTAGATTCAGTCGTTGAGACTCTCAATCATCACTAAAGTAAGTAGCGATAACCAAGTGAAGGCAGCCTATCTACCTCGTAGCCTCGGATAAAGTCTTGTTGAGCTTCAGGGATAGGCACATCCACACAACGTAAAAAAAGGTATGCTTCAAAAGAAACATAATAATAATAAAAGAAAAAAGAAAAGAACATATCACTATAGGAGGAGTATAGTAGTATGTAGGCAAAAAAAGGACACCCACACAAAGTGGGTTAAAGAAAAGTATATCATGAATACAGCATCAAAGATGCTCAAAAGAGCTCGTTGTTGTTGCAACAAAAATGCATACATGAGCATCGTGCATGGCAGTAATAGTCGGATGTAAAGCAACATGACACAAATACGCACAATTGCAAAAGCAATAGTGGTATTATAAGTTTGCGATACAACATAATGACTAATGTTGTTTCATGTGAAGCCACAGAGGAAACACCACCAACAAAAAAAAAAGAAGAAAAAAGCGCAACAAGGCAAACATCATGAATGCATTATCACGAGAAAGGAAGCAACGATATAAGCGTTCAAAGAAGTTTTATATCCTTGCGACCAGAAGAAAGAAGATACTTACCACTTACCACAGCCACAGATAGACCAGAAGAGTATAGACAATCACCTGAGACAGACCAGAGAACACACTACGGCCCAACTGATGTTCTCATGAGAACATCGAGGTGCTCATATAAGAATCTATTTTATGTTCTCATTCGAGAGCATCGATGTTCCCAAAAAGTGGAAAATGCTCTCATATGGGAACATCGGCGTTCCTAAAGATCTATTATAAGTCGGCCGATGTTCTCATAAGAACATCCGAGATGTTCCCATATGAGCACATCCATGTTCTTAAATAAGAGCAAATGTAGCTGTTTATGAGCGCATCGATGTTCTCAAATCAAAATATCGATGTTCTTAAATGAGCAAATCCATGTTCTCAAATGAGAACATTCATGATCGCGCATGAACCTATCGATGAGCTGAAATGGGATCATTGAAGGTCTGAATCAGCTTAAATATTGGTAGCTTTTATTGGACCATAATTCGTGGTTTAAATATTGGCAGCTTTCATTGGCTCAGAAATTGTGGTTTAAATATTTATACATTTATTATTGGTTAATTTTAATGGGTAAACGAAGGCTACGTGCCAAAAACGTGCAATAGTAAAGCCTTGTAGTGGTAATGGTCATGCTGTAGGCTATAGTAGAGTCAAAGATAATTGAGAATAATAGCCTGGATCAGTATGAACTGTTTCGTGTTTCCCAATATTATCAGTTTTTAGGGCAATATAAAAGTGATGTTTCCAGGCGAGATCCAGAGAGAGCATAGAATGAAAAGGTTGAAGCCATCAACAGTGTTCCATGTAGAGCAACGAATTGTACAAAAGCCAGCATAATATCAAAGATGTGCATGTACCTATCAGCAAAGATGTGAACTGAATCAAGTTAGTAAAGCGTTCCAGCAAAGGCGTAATGACTACAATACCTCTTTCACAAGACAGATAGAAAGTACAGCACACCACCAGGCAGCGACTCATTGGGAGCAGACATTCTTGAAAAGAAAACATCGAACGAATGTTAATGCGTCTTATGCTGTCAGAAGAATCAGATGTATAGACCGCATCATTCAACTATGAAGCATCTGCCATTGTTCACTGGATGCAAAAGGGGATCCATAAAGTATGCAAGAGATGTGCTCAGTTATCAAGCCAAACCCGCCAGACCCACTCGACGCTGGCACTAGTCAACTTATCAGGTGAGTAACGACTGATTCTTCCTGGTGATGCAGCAAAAGATGACTTACTACTTGAACAGTGATAAGCAAGAAAGCAGATAAATGGAACCAGCAAGATGGAGGGAAACGGTTAACCAAATGGCATACTTGCGACATCGAAATTGACCTGGCAAAGTCGCCTTTACATTTCTACAAGATATTTGTTAGCTTTTATATGGCAAGAAGCATTGGACATACCATAAATTTGTTGTCTCGAAAGGGTGTAAATGAAGATTCCATCCTGGATACTATGGCAGGGATATGAAGCTTCCCACGGCGCACATTTGAAATGGTATTCCTTCTTCAATGGCATTGAAACCTAGCCTCCACCTTTAAAGCCATGGACGGTAAATGCTGCCTCTTCTTCTTGCTGCTACAGAGTACATGTCTCTTATGCTGATAGAATTAAAGTGAAAATAGATGAAAAATGAAGAAAAAAGAGAAACAAAAGCACTTTTTTCTCAAGGGATGACCTAAATATACAAAGTTTCGATCTAAAAATATAGAAACACGCTCTAATCATGCACAGTATCAGACTGATGTAACCAAATCAAGTAACTTTTTAAGCTGAAGTGACCTATCAAATGTGATTTTAAATGTGGCATCGCAGCTAATCCATCATCTCAAATCCCAATAGAGCAAGGCAGCATCAAATGTACAAAAGCAAAGTAATTTTATTTTGGATGAAATATACAAGATCTCACAAACGCACACACCATTACATATTGCTAGTAGTACTAAGGTTGTCATCATCCTCAGCATTACCAACACCGGCAGTTTGAGCAAGCTGGGCAATATCACTGTCTCCAACAATTGCTGATTCAGTCTCCTAAAAGCATTTGAAATGTTTCCAATACTTAGATGTTAGCCATGGCCAAAACAAATAATAGGAGCTACTTACCAGAAGATGGCTTCTTGCCTCGTTTTCTTGCAAAGACACATTGGCAGCAGCATTGGCAGCATTGGCAACATTGGCAGCAGCATCAGCAGCAGCATCAGCAGCAGCATCAGCAGCAGCAGCTCGGTTTCTGCTTGCTCTATTTGCTTTGAAGGCCTGGGAGAGCAACAACCTGGCACACCACTGCTTCTTGCAGAGACAAA